TATATCGCAGCAGGTGTGGTCTGTGCAGTGTACGTGATGTGAGGGCTAATTTGTAGTTTGCGGCTCAGGTACGTACATGGATACGAAAAGATACGTGCCAAAAGAAGACATCAGAGCTGTATTAATTTCACCTTAACTTTATCGGCTTGAAAAACTGACTACTTGGGGCGCAAACGACACATTAGCCGGTGTTAGTACATGGCACCACTTGATGAAAGTGAGAAGGACAAGGTAGGAGGACGCGTACGTGTGCTGGTAAAATGTCGTAGCGAAGGTAATGTACATGCAGCAGCTATATTTGCTAGCCATCAAGCCATCTTTTGGAAGCCATCAAGCCGGTAATATAGATACACATCATCATGATGCACATTCTCATTTCCTGGTGTTCACACGTTGCAAAATGTTTCATCCCCCGTACGTGCTCCATCAAAAAAATATGTCTCCTTTTTATAACTGAGTAAGAGGCGCTGCCAATATTTCCACTGTCAGAATGACATCTTTAACGTAAGGCAAGGCTATGGTCATGATGTACTTTTTCTACAAACCATTCTTTATATGTCAAATAACAGGCATGTACGGCGGACCAAACATCGCAAAAAAAGCCGCTTTTGTAAACATTGAATTTGAACACCTTCAACAGCTGCCACTCATTTACTTGCATCTCAATCAAACAGAAGTTCTTGTTCTTCAGACGCTGGTAGACTTGTGTATGTGCTGCACGGTCAAATATCATGAAGGCTGCGAGAGGATTACTGATAAGATTCTGGATAGGGATACTCATTTGATAAGAACGCAAAGAGGCGTCGGTGTTGTCCATGATTAAGACACGATGTTAAACATTCCAACATTGTCTTGGGGTTCAGCATATAAGTTCACTCCACTTGTTGTACCATAAGCCAGCTTTACACATTTGCACACATAGGGGCGTTGAGATTGGGGAAACATTAGTTCCATCTCGGCGCCCTGATATGATACCCTCGTCCCGCCTGGGCAGCACTGGGGGGCAAGTTTCATTTTACGTCTTCTTAAGTTTGGAGATGAAATGAACACCCACCTCTACCTGGGGGAAATTGAATCGGCGTCGGTATGATCTGGTGATAAGAACCGAATGAATTCTATTCTTCGCGGCAGGATTGCAGAAGCGCCGAGGAAATGCAGGCGGCCTTGGGTATCAGTACTTCAGTCCAATGCCACAGGCAATGAAATCGGAAAATTGAAAGTCTTTCCAACACTTTACCTTGTGTCAATCACTACCGGGAAGCAGACGTTTGGAGATGGACTCACACAATACACAATAACGATACAACCGAAGCTGTACAATCATAGTCAAACGTAATTGGCTGAAGGTAAGGTGATGTACTGATGAGGACGCCTTTAATCATTGGAAACATGTCCTGTTGGGGGCTACGTTATGGTCATGAAAAAAGTAATGGATTTTAAGCCCTGAATTTAGTGGGGAAGAATCGTAACGTCCGTTAAAACTTAAACTGCGTTTCCGACAAATTCCTACTGTCAGTATAAAAACGTTACATTCTGATCCCTCTACGGACAAGTCATCTTTCCAATCCCACTACGAACAAGTGATCATAATGAAATCGCTTTCCTCCGTTTCCCAACTACATAAAATGTCAAAGATGGAAATTCCATTGCCCCAAAGACGTCACCCATGACCTCTCCACTCCGCATCAGCTGTTCTACAATTTGGTGAATCAATTTCATTCCTGTCTGAATCTCCCAGAGACCGGTTTCTGGGAATGAGGTACGCCGTCCGTGAGGTGTAATGAGGCCTAGCCTGACCCCTGATAACCAAACCTTCCACGATTGGCGATTAAATTTGTGGATAACTTTCTGTTGTTTCACGGGTATCAAAGTACTTTGGTAAATGTGTATTGTGAATTTGGGTCACGTATGACTCAGGCCTTGGTTAAGTCATAAAATTCGCTGTCTTCTACTACTCCACATAAAAAAAGCATTATCAATTTCTTCTGACCTCCTACAAAGATAAAGTCTGGCATTTCTTGGTATAGATTAAATCATTTTTCATGGTAAAATTCCCATGTAAATAAAGATAAACGTCACATTGTCCCTGTGGAATAGGTCACCTTGAAAATCATAAAAAAGGAAGGTTGTGCCAGGAAAATGGCCTGCTGAATGAGATCTAAATCTGATCTGAGCTATCTGAATCCGCCGAAAACGCACAGTAAGCTGGGTAGGCTGTTACTATGACAATAAATGGGTAGAAAATGGAATACGGAAAACTCCCCATCGACGTTAATACAAGGAAAGCATGGACATGAAGAGGGTTATGTGCGATCAAAACAAATGAGTTAAAAGCATTTGAAATAGAATAAGATGCTTTGAAAGGATATCAAGATGTAGACACCCTTAACGTAGATGTGGAGGCATGTAGATAGTGGGATATATACTTACAAATAGAATAGAATAGATAATTCACTACAAACCTAAGACTTTGATAGCTTTTAATTTGTAATGTTATAAAAGGTGCACAGAATAGGTGCACAAATAGTTGATCATGTGTGTGTGTGTGTGTGTGTGTGTGTGTGTGTGTGTGTGTGTGAGTGAGTGTGAGTGTGAGTGTGAGTGTGAGTGTGAGTGTATGAGTGTGTGTGCCCACAAGCTGATGAATTGCTAAAAATTATCGTTCTTTTCAGGTAGCGATGCACTACATTTCTCATGTACGCATCTACAGCCACCGAGACCGTATCCAAAGACAACGAGATTGCGTTTTCAAGGCCACGGATTGACCAAAACCTTTCCTAACTACGAGGGTCACGCAAGGCAATCTTCTTGGTCTGTGGAATTCTGAGAATCCGTTCATGAATCCTGAAAACTCAACTCGCCATTAAACCCTGTCTTTACACTGATTTAGTTGCCGGGGTTATCGATCTGTCGGTGAAGGTTGGAGGTGAGAATACAACCGTGTGCCACACTCGGATAGGAACAAAGAAATGTTGGTTTTGACTATGACGTGTTTTTTTCTGTAAGGTTAAGAATAACGACAAACATCATCGTTACATGTAACTGTGAGGTCTGGGGTTATTCTACAGGATAAGGGTCTTATCAAAAATTGTGGACGAGAAAATCGGTACACTTTGTTCAAACTTAATATGCCTTGGGTGGGAATCGAACTCTCGGTCGAATTTTCGGTCCTGAAAAGTAACGAATGGCGCAACGCCAACGATATGTTATTCTTGGACTTCGCCAAGGCCTTTGATTCTGTTTCCCACATTCTGTTAATTCACAAACTTCAAATGTTTGGTTTTGGCGGTAACCTCCTGGCTTGGTTCAATTCATATCTAACCGATCGCCGTCAACGTGTGGTAGTGGAAGGCTGTCAGTCTGATTGGCTCCCTGTCACTTCAGGAGTCCCTCAGGGCTCCATACTTGGACCCTTTCTTTTTCTCCTTTTCATTAATGATCTACCCTGTGAAGCTAAGAATTCTATAGTAGCACTCTTTGCTGACGATTCAAAATGTTTCAGGGAAATCAGCAATTTAAATGACTGTGTAAAGTTGCAAGACGATCTCACTGCTATGCACAACTGGAGTATCAGATGGAAGATGTCATTTCATCCTTCCAAGTGTCAACTTATCCGCTTAACTCGTTCAAAGAGTCCGATTTCGTACTCTTATCTCTTGTCTGACACTTTTATAAAGTCTGTTGACAGTATGCCTGACCTGGGGGTCATTATCCAGTCGGACTTGCAGTGGGATGGTCACATCGCCAAGATGGTTGCCAGAGCTAACTCCATGACTGGCTTTATTAAGCGTACAATTGGGTTCAATGCCAACACTGATGTACGTAAGGCACTTTATACCACTTTGGTCAGAAGTATCCTAGAATACTGTTCTCCCTTGTGGTCCCCACAATCCCGCAAACTAATGTCCCTTGTAGAAGGTGTTCAACGGCGCGCTACTAAATTCATCTTAGGAGCCCAAGCTAACAACCAAACCTACAAGGACAGACTGGTAGCCTTGGGTCTGTTGCCCCTCTCATTCAGGCGTGAGGTTAGCGATGTTATGATGTTTGTCAAATCAAGGTCAATCGCCCTAAAGTATGTCTCTTTTCCGTCCCGACCTTCTCGATACTCCAGATCACACATGCTCACCCCATTCAGAGCGAAAACATCTGCCTTCAGCTATTCCTATTTCCCACGACTTGTCACAGTCTGGAATAATCTGGGCCCTGATCTTCGTAATCTGGGAGTCCTAGCCAATCAGCTGCCCAACATTTCAGCTTTCAAGCGTCAACTTGTTAAAGTGTCATTTACCAGATTCAATGAGCACTTCAGTCCTGACGCTCCGTGCTCTTGGTCGTCCGCATGTGGGTGCGCCTCCTGTACGGCTTTAAGACGCCACTAGTATTAGTATGGTTTTCAACATTGTTCCAATGTATATATTGTATTATTGATTGTTCGATATTGTATTATGTGTATCATTGTAATGTATTATTGTAATGTTTGGGAGGACAACTAGCAAAGGTGTATATTCACCTGTTTTGTCCTCCCATCCAGTTGTCTGGAAAATTCTAATAAATAAATAAATAAATAAATAAATAAACGCTACACCGCTGGCCGGACTCTCTAGGACAAACGATTGTTTTGCTAAACTTTTCTGGCACTTTGTCACCCCCTAGCGACGTCTGATCTTACAGCAGGTTGTGTTTCACTGCGTCTATTGTCCTTGGGCGAAACCAGGATTAATATTGATTAACGTATTATACAAAATTGCGATGTTTTGAAAATGATTAAAGCTCGTGTGAGAACGAGATGAAAGCGTGACAAACGTACGTTTTGAGTATTAAAAAAACATCTGAACTGCTATTTATATCAAAGCATGGGATGAAAGAACAGTGTTACTTTCATCTACTTTCTGGCGGCAACGCCCACTCTTGGACCAGGTATAGGCCGGCCATTGCTCTGGGCCCTCACCAGACATTCTTCATCTGTACATCTGGTTTCTGACGCGAGGTCGTCGGCAATGTCCACCAAACACAACGAACCCAAAGAAGAATGCCCTGACACCAGTGGGTCCAGCGACAACAACGTGAACCACTACGTCAACAAAGATGAAATCACAAACAGCCTACGACAGGCTACTGACCGAACTCGCCATGGTGGACAGCCGGCTGCAGAAGATGCAGACACCGTGGGCCGCAGGGGGGCTGGCATGGTCCAGAATGTGCTGTACGTGCCTGGTGCGATACGACAAGGAGGTATGTTTTGTCGTTTTGTATCCTTGTCCCATTTACCATTTTTGGCTTAAAAGCAGTTTTACGCTAAGCGAGTCCCCGTCAAGTAGGTCAAAGAAGAACACAAAATAGAATGTGGATACTACCACGATAAATGAAGAAGAACAGTGTCAGTGTTGAGTCATTTGCTGTTCGTGTTAATCGGTATCGATATATGGTGACCAGATGAGGTAACACGCCACCTTGGAATATTATGGCATGGTTTGAATGAATGGTTTATCCAGGTCGCAATTTGCTGAATTGTGGATTTCATTACAATACTTGGTACTAAAAGACAATGGTAGAATTTACATTCATAATATAAAATAAGTCCTTTTTATAAATGTTTAACAATTCCATCGAAGCTTAATATTCAAAATTCCCATTACAAATGAATAAAAATGGGTACAAACCTTGGTTATTGATTGCTTTACTGTACTCATTGGAATATGCATTTCAAGATTCCTTTGATAAAGTGATGAGTTGTCCTTGGTTAAAGCAAACGACCTTCGTTTTAACACGACTATTTTAACGGCACTCATTAGCAGACATCAACTCTATTGTTTACAAACTTTTTTCACGACAATATATAGCTCAATAAATTGAAGAGGCAAGCTGTAATCATGGGAAGATATGGCTTTTATTACGCAACAATGTACAAGGTACAAAGTATGGCAGAAATGAGAGAACAAATCTAACAAATCAGTCCACGTAGTACAATACTAGGTGATATGGGATGGAAAGGCGCTTATACAATCATTAAAAGAATTTCTTACGTTTAGACATTCTTTAAAATACTGGCCTATATTCACAATGTATGGATTGTCAAAAGTCAGCAAGTATCTGAATTTGCTAGATGAATTCATGGCGAGAAATTCTGGTATAGAAGTTGATATAGTTGCATATAATGAATTACGTATATCAGAATATTTGGGACAAACAATCAAAAAGTGGTATTCGTCTTCTATTAATTCTGGACAGAATGGGCAAACCTTCTGGTCAGCAGGTATTTTCTGGAATCTTCCTGTTTCCATACTTAATTTGTGACAGCCAATCCTGAGTTTTGTGATTGCTCTTCGTATATCAAGGCTTTTTATGTGTGAAAGGTAGTTTTCCTGTTTATAATGTTATGAAACCTGTGTGCTTACAGATCGCACGGATGTGACATGTCGCCGGTACGTCCTGTCATGGGTCGTTGCTGTAACGTTAGCAGCCGTCTTTGGGATAGGAGTTGGTCTCGTCACATATTACACGATCGTACAGGAGACTAGTACTCATCCGTTCTCACACAACAGTCCTCCGGAGCGGCGTGGTACGTCAAGCCAACCATCGTTATCACCAATTCCCGCCACCTCTGTCGGTATCACATTGGAAAACCGGAAAAATGAAGCCCTCTCGTCCACATTGGAAACAGTCTCGGTTAGTCCCCTACATTACATGTACAGTTTTAGTACTATAGTTCTATTTTGTACGTAGGACAAACGTAGAATTTTTATTTCCTTATCTCACAAAGCTTCCAGCCAATGTTTATATCACGGTAACCAACCATAACTGCATTCTTATCTTTAGCCGGAGCGGCGTGGCACGTCAAACCGACCAGTGTCACCAATTACCGCCACCTCGAGCTCTGTCGGCTCTACATTGGAAAACCAGGAAAATGAAGCCCTCTCATCCACATTGGAAGTCCTGCCGGTTAGTCCCCTAGTGACCCCTACATTACATTACATGTACAGTTTTAGTACAACAGTTCTATTTTGTACGCAAGGGAAAGGTATAATTTTCATTTCCTTAACCCACAAAGATTCCGTCCAACATTTATATCACTGTAACCAACCATACATACATTCTTATTCGTCAGCCTTATATGACTACTACGGAAGCTCCAACCGATTCAACAGCTCTGTCTACGTGGAGGACAACTGGTAGCGTGGCGAGGAGTACTGTGTCTTTGATGGCAGATTTGCGTCTAGTTCTGGAAACCAGACTGTATCCGCAACTCAGAACCATAAAATTAATCAGGCCAGCATATACAGTAAGTAAGAAAATATCTAACCTATAACGAATCATATAGTATATATACATTATATAGTGATACAATGAAATCATTTTGTGTTTTATTCGAAATGTCCGCTACATTATCTTTAGTGAGCTAGAACTGGTTCGAGATCACTTTCCCTTTTTATCTTCTATTTTTGTGAAGGCTCAGTGGCCGCCTGGCTGTGGGCTGGAATGCAAAGACGGGTTTTGGGAAAATGGAGTCTTTCATATTCCAAAACGGAGAGGTATGTAAGGCTCAAAAACTAAGTTTTCGTAGCGTATCTGTACATAAGATACGGATTTATTTTAATATACACGGCATTTTTTTTTAAATCAGGATACGTATCATACATGTCTCTAAAACAGGTCATCAACTGTATAGATCTGTAACGGTTGTAGAAAAGCGTTGATAAGACCAACAGCTATGTTGAAATGCGCTCTATATAAGACCATAAGAAACAAAAAAAACTTGTTGGGGCGCTTTGTCAGAGACAACAGATAACAGATCAAAGAGATTTTAGAAGGAAACTGTACTTTAAAAAAATAATGAGAGAAATAAATAATCAACATACTTTCGATTATGCATCAAAATGCCGATTGTCTACAGAGTGTACTAGGCACAAGTGCAGGCAGTTGAAATAATGACCATATTTGTTGTGAAATAGGTTGCCAAAAGGGGTGGGTTTACCATCAGCCTAGTCGCCTATGCTACAAGGCCTTCAACGACAGGACAACCTACAGCGGTGCAGTCAGTAGGTGTTCTTCAGACGGGGGAACCCTTGCCATGCCCCGCGACACTGCAACCAACAACTTCCTCATCGATCTGAAAAATGAAGTCGACAACGACGCTTGGTTCCGCTTTGGACTGACTGATGAGGAAGGAGTTTGGATGTGGGACGATAACGTTCCTCTGGGCGACTTCAGAGCTTGGGGTACAGGAGAACCCAACAACGCAGAGGAGAACTGTGCCGAGTACTTTCCCGAAACCTTTTCCGAGTACAAAGCAGGCTCGTCCTTAAAGAACAGATGGAACGATGGACCATGTACCACAGCCGACAGGACGTTCATCTGTCAAGTCTCTCCGCCATCAGGTCAGTTTCACAATATCGACGTTTGTGCTTTCCATTTTGGAACGTTTGAGAGTTGTTGCGTACATTGTTGTACATTTTGTGTCTAGTCTGTTTTTTTTCCACATATTTGTGGTTAGCATAACTCAAGAAGGTCTTGGGGAGACAAAGGAGAAGGTTGTTTTGTCTTCGTGGCGACTGTCCTTTGTTCTTCCGGTTTTGGGATCTTATCATATAGCCTATCATACAGCATGGCGCATGGACGTTCTGTTTGTAAATATGAATCAAACGTTTGGCTTTTGTGCCGTGAAACATGGATTTTTTTAACCTCCTTGCCTGAACAGTGCCAAGGACGTAGCACTTTTTATTTTTCCAAGGAAATCTATAGATTAAGAAACACAGATCTATCCGCGGAAACCATATCCAGTTTGTGAAAAACTGAGCAGGGATTTCATTTTTCTGAGGAAATCTATATACTTTTTATATTAAATTATCCACAAACCGATCATCTGAAAACTTGTAACGCCTGTGGATATCTCTGGATAACTGCCTAATCCATCAACCGTAAAAAAAATGTCCAGTTTGTGACGCTGATCAAAAGCATGCAAAAATTTCATTTGTCTGGCGAAATTTCCGGATAAACGCCTGATCCGCCCACAGGGAAACGTGTCCGGTTTGTGACGTTATTCTGAAATCAAGCAAACATTCTAATTTGTCTGGAGAAGTAACTATCACTTTGAGGCTCAGTGGCCGTGGTGTGGTCAAGATAAGATATTCCATAAGGTTTACGAGTTGTCATAAAATGAAAGCTAGGATGGTGGGTGTAGTCCTGCTGTTACTACACGTTTCAGTAACAGGTGCATACTCCGGCACGGAGAAGGGTGATGTCGTGAACAGCCCTGACACTTTCGTCTGCAACAACTGTGAGCTGGTCAGGTTTCCAGATATTAACCCAGAAAACCTAACATCGGTGAACCTTGCCTCGAACAATATCACCGATATCTCAGACCTCCCCTACTTCCCTAAATTAGAGACGCTAGACCTGGGCAGTAATCTAATTACAAACATCCACTGGCATTGGTTTATAACGCCGTTCTTAAAACTCCTGGATCTGTCTAACAACAAGATTTCTCACGTTTCGGGAAGGTTTGTCGCTCATTTCATGCCAAAGATTCAGGTCATTGATCTCAGTGGTAACGAAATATCGTCTTTTCCAAAAGAGACCTTTTTGTTCCCCACCGAAAACTACGCTAGCGTACAGCTAGGTGGGAACCCGTTCCACTGTGATGCACGCTTGTGCTGGCTAAAACGTGAAGTTGAGTGTTTGTCGCAATGTTGGCATTGTGGGAGGATAGATGCTGTTCGAGTGCCAATATCAGTTTTTAAAGAATGTTGCCCTAACTGTCCCAGTAGCAGCCTGTATTTCGAACTAATGCAATATAAGCACATCGAAAAGTTAATATGAGCAAGCCCCAAACACGTTGCGGGACAGGTTGTATTTCAAGTATTAGATAAAAATTTCTGCCATTCAACTACAGTCACACTCACTGGGCCAATCCAGAACTATACGCTCATAACGGAACCGAATATCAACATATCAGTATTTAATTCAACGTCAGTGACGTCTAATACATCAATGTCCTCAGTTTCCACTATCACCGATTTACTGACACCGACAGAATACGACGAGTTTACCCAAGGAACCCTTTGGCTTACTGAAGTCTCCACGTTATCCAAAACTGAACCGACTACAGACAGTTCGTTATCAGTAGAAGCGATGACAGGTTATGCTCTTGCCTCGGTAGTTTTCACCGCCCTTGTTGCAGCGTTGCTGTCCTGTGCGAATCGGTATCGAACTCGGCGCCAGGACGATCTGGGGTTGCAACGGGCACTGAGGCAAGGACGTCCGCTTATCCCAAACCAAATGTACGCCACCAACTCTCACCAGCTTGGCATACAACAAGCGTCAACAACAAGACACATACTCCGCCCAAACCAAAACTACGCCACAAACACGACTGAACAACTTGACTCCAGTGAAACTACACCAAACCAACACGGTAGTGAACATATTGAACCATACGAAGAAACAAGTTTATCCAAAATTGCTGAGGGCGCAGCAATGCAGGAAGAGCCTCATCAATATTCAAATCATGAGGTCGAACACACCTACACGTACGTCAAAGATGACCGGTATTCTGTCAGACAGATTGTCGAGGCGAATCGCGACCCCAAATATGTAAATGAGGCGAGCAGATACGAGACGATTCCAAATGAACTTGGGTGTACAGGCGTGGAGCCGTACGCTGAAGTTAGTCTGTCAGCCATTGCTGAGGAATCTTGCCTAAACAAACAATCACATGGTAGTGCCGCAACTGTTACAGAGGCAAGGCCCATACCTGGAGCAAACATTTCGGATGCTGACCGGGCTGCTATACGAACAAATCTCAACAGTTCGCCGGGCTCTGGAAGCCATGACAAAACAGATGCATTGGCTGGTAGCGAGACCTTACTATCCACCGGTGAAGTGGTTTATAAAGAAGAAAGACACACACAAGAAAGTACAGCTTATGATCCTGCGACCAACGATGAGGGCCTATCTGACAGAACTGGAATGGTGTACGCATCAAGTAGCCAAGACAGTACACCAACTGACACTGAGTTACTCTCACAGAAAAACCTTGAGGATAGCAAGAACGCTGTGAATTCTAGCTATAATGTTACATGTGGTTCTGGGTGAAATAGAATTTCTACGCCAACTTTATGTAACCCACTTTATTTGGATATTGGAAAAGGCAATTTACACGACTTTCCTCACTCCACCCAGGTGTGAATGGATACCTAACTTTGGTTGGGGAAAGTCGTATTGAGGTCACCTATTGGCGCCGAATGGCAGCCGCACACGTACAGACCCTTGCGACAGTTCCACGAAAGTGTGTATCGTTTCATGTGTATCGTGTATATGATGTGATTGTAAACCCTGCATTAATTCTGGGCTATAAAAGACTGTGATTGCATAGATTATGTTTGACCAATAAACCATTTATTAATATTATATATTTGTATCACAAATATTTTGAGTTTTATAAACAAACATATTTGCGTGTATTTTACAATGTAAAAGTAGAATTAATTGCATTTTGCTAATGTATTATTCATCTACTACTGTCCTTGTACTGGGTCCCTTGGTAATCAGTCTGTAACTTGACTGAAGGGACTGCCCAATACTTTACAAGATTACAAGAGTAATAAAGACTTTTGAAGAATGACAGTTGTCACTTGAAATGTGACACTTGTGTACCCTTGTGCTGGGATAAAGTTTAGCAGAGAGACTGATTTATCATTGTTATAGCCCTCTCCTTGGTGCTGAAAGCTATCCACTGTTCGCACTGAATCAAAACCATTTATACAATCATTGAAAACTTGTGTTTTTCAAAGTTGCTTCAGTAAAAAAATGGATGTTGTAATAGTTGGCAGTAAACGTAAATTTTGACATCATAAATCTTGTTAAGCAAGATATTCTACCTATATGACACCTATATATATAAGGTGCATTGAAAATGTTGGAATCTTGTTTTTTTTTGGCCCGCCTTCTTTTTTTTCGCCCTATCGCATTAGATTTGCCTGATTTGGAGTCTGCGGAGGATGTCATCCATAAAATGTTCTTGCTGGGGCCTAAACATATATACACGGCGTAAACTGTTGACGACACCAGATCATGTCGATTGATAAGAAGGCGTTGCTTTTATATTCATTTTAGTTTGTAGCATAAAAATCAACTACTCAACATTTGAGCAGTTCTGTCGAAAACCCCATGTGTTATTTAAACATAACAGAGACCATTCAACTAAGACGAAAATGGCCTGATACCTTATATTCTGTGTTTGTGTACATAAAACAGGAAGTGGTCTTCTTATCGGAGCTTGCGAAGAAAAGAATAACAAAGACCATTCAAATAAGACGAAAGTGACCACTGCGAAAGATTAACTAGACAGAACAGATCAAAAAGGCTTAGGGAACTGCACTTTGTAAAAAAAATAATGAGTAAGAGAAATGAATATTCTACTAACATATTTTCTCTTTTCTTTGAACAGTAGAAGCAACAATACATGTATTTAAGACAGGCAAAAGTATTGGAAATAGAAAATCTCAGTGTTCAACTTGGGTCACCAATGAAACTATGACACTGCTTATGACAGTCCTCTCGCCCGAGGCAGGTGTGAATATCGCCCTGGGGAAGGCAGCGTTCCAAACAAGTGACCCCATAGGCGCGCCTGCCAGCCGTGCAGTGGACGGGAACACTGATACCAACTACCTCGCTGGGTCCTGCACACACACTAACTTTGATCCGGGAGAGGCTGATCCAAGCTGGTGGGTGGATCTTGGTCAACCGTGTGCGATTGACAGGTAAGTGTACATCATGATGCATATCAATCCTTACAATAGACATTGGGATTTAATTTTACACCATCAGTAATGTCTCATACCTTGCTGACGTTTCGGTGTCTATGGGATACCTTCCCCGGAGCTTCTGACTGGAGTTCTGCTTCTCGCCGCTATATGAGAACACAAATATTGTACATCCATAAACATGTGGTTTATATACATTCATCCATATAGCATATAAAACTCAAATGCTGTTCCTCACCTTCTACAGAGTGGTCATCTTCAACCGCCAGGAATGTTGTCCTGAACGACTCAACCCCTTCAACATCCACATCGGGGATTCCGACCAGGTCAGCGAGAACCCCAAGTGTGGCGGTGATCATAAAATCGACGTGAACCAGCCGTCCATTTCCGTCTCATGTCAGGGGATGAGGGGGCGGTATGTGGGCGTCCGTCTCCCCGGACCCTCCCGAGTACTGACCCTGTGTGAAGTCCAAGTCTTTTCGGGTAGGCCTTCCCTGCATTCACTTTTATACATAGTTGGAACGTCATGTATTCCTTTTGGGGGCTGTTCTACAAATTACAGAAGTAAGGCCTCCTCGGAACTGAAGGCAGATATTTTCAGCAATATCTAGAAAGCAGGGACGGGTATAAGCTCATCGAGAAATAGTAGTTAGCAGCCTCTTGATATGTTTGATGAGTATGTTTTGATTTGTATTTCGAAAATATCCATATTCATTTGTTTGTAGTGGGGTCACAGTTTTTTATTTATCTTATTTATTATGTTGCCTGGCCCATGCTAGATGGCGGCTGCCAGGATGGCTACATACGAGTCGGTTGGTCCTGCATCCGGCTCGTTCCCATCCTAAAGTCATTTTCGGACGCGCTGCAGGCCTGTAATGCGGAAGGGGCGACTCTAGCCATGCCTAAAACGGAAGAACTGGACCTCGCTCTCAGACGCCTGGTCAAGATGTCCGGAGGCAACTCCGATCACTGGATCGGTCTGAGGGGGACCTACAATGGACGGCTGGGAAAATGGGAATATAAATGGGAGGACGGGTCACTTTTGGGAAAGTACCAGGTACGTGTTCTGTTGACATGAACGATAGTTGATTGATGTTCATCTTGTATATTTCATTCCTATATTATCATAATTACTATTCCTCTTGATTTGTGTTCGAATGATTGTTGTTCTGACTACATTTACTTACTCCTGATTTCCAATGCAATTGTACACGAGGCGTGGTACATGAGGCAATGCGTGTACATCGCAGACAATTTAAGGATCCCTGTATGTTACTGATTTTCTTCTGTTAGATAGGTCTTGTAATCCTGACGTATCTTACGTTGTTGACTTGATCCTTTCCATCAGGGATGGTACCCAGGGGAACCACGTAACTTCGCAGAGTCCTGGCTTACACTGTGCGTTCAGTACTGGAGAGGACATACAGAGTGGGATACGATATGGGACGACGCTATATGCGATGACAAAAAGCGGTACATCTGCCAATCCGACCTGCTAATAAAACGGAAAACGTTAAAAATTAAGAAATTACCGCCTCTACCAGAAGCACGATAGAGATGGTTGTATCACTGGTGTACTGGTGCACGTTACGTTGTATTGTATTGTATTGTATTGTATTGTATTGTATTGTATTGTATTTTTAAATTTTAATACATCAAGAGTGAACCTTTTTTTCTACCCAGTCCTTAAAATACACATCATTAACATGCATCGCTGCACTACCACACAGTCGGTGAGGAACATTAGATTTGTGGTCTGCGGAGGATGTCATCCATAAAATTTACTTGCTGTGGCCTAAGGATAAGATTGACACGTAGTTTTAAGAAGTATATGTCACAGAACTGAATGTCAGGATATAATTACGCATAATGTAACTTCATAGCTTCAAAATGTAATCTTTTTGATTATAACAGTTCACTTGAAATGTGTTTTGCTTTTATATTCACTTTTTCATACATCATATTTATTATATTCACACAGTTTGTAACGAAAAAAAAACAAGTACATGTACTCAACATTTCAGTGGTTCTGTCTAAAATACCATGTTTTGCTTAAACATAACAAAGACCATTCAAAATACTAGTACTCCTTCCAATCATGTCGATTCTGCCTGTAACGCCGACTAATCGTTGAAAAATGTTTTTCTACAGCTAGAAACCAATCAAAACTGTTGCTACGCAAAGCAGGTGCCGGGCTGTAGTGACTACATATACATGAGAGATTCTTTCATCTACAAGTGAAGTCGCAGTCATATCGTGCTGCGGACAGTTTTAAGGGTTGAAAACAAAACGCCTGTCTTTGATTGTCGCAAATCAGCGCTTTGAAAATTCCCTCTTTGAACTAATAGCTAAAAAAACGACGGTTGTGGCAATTTTGAGGTTTTGTTGTGTTTCACCATACAGTGAAGGTCCGAGGTCCATCTCAGACGTGCATCGCACATTTTAGCTCGTAGCCCATTTCAGCATTTTTTGAAGCCCATTTCAGTCTTTTCGTTCGGGTCGTTTTCAAAACTTCATTTTTTTAGTCGACGGTTTGTCAGACATTTTGAATTCTGGTGTCAACACCGTCCTTGGGCCAGGCGAGCTCCATTGTTTTTGGACGGCAATTCCGTGCAGGGAGGATGAGCAGCAACACAAGCATCAGAGACAGGCCCCTTCCTGCCTTACCCAACAGAGAAAGGCCCCTTCCTGCCTTACCGGGCAGAGAAAGGCCCCTTCCTGCAGTACCGAACTCCAAGCCGGCATCACGTTCAGGCCAATATGTGAAGACGGGTAAGTAACAGTCTACTGCTATAATGTTGAAAGGCGAGAACAGCAATAGATTTTCTGTCTCCATAATTGCTGTACATGTAATTGTAATTTATATTGTTTAATATTCAGTTAATCGACTGCTATTGTCAGATTATGTTGAGTTTTTTTATAATAATCCCAATCATCATCATCATCACCATCCCTTAGGACGGTGACCGTTGAGTGACAAAAACATATGCAATAGCATAGCACCAAAACTCCAGAAAATGGCGTTTCTGTTGAAACGCGATAGTGTAACACGACCGTGGCAACCATAATGATCATTATGGTAGTGTGCGTAGTCCAGTGGTTAGCGATCCTGCTTCTGGACTAAGAGGTTGGGAGTTCGAATCCCGGCTGTTGTCGCTCACCCGACATGCACGCTACTGTTTAGGGTCGCAGTCCTTAGGACGGGACGTTAAGCCGTGGTCCATTGTTCATTGTGCTTGTTGAAAAGAGCTAGGGAGATTTCCCCGGTACAATGAACCTGTAAATACTGTACATAGCGTCTGTCTTCTCTGTCACGACCAGTGGAAGAGTATAGCTCTTCAGTGAGCTAAACTGGATCGAGATCACTTTCACTTTCATTAAAAAACCCTTACTTACGAGTTGATTGGAAGTTCCTGGTGATCATTGAGCGACCGCTATATTAAAGATCTGTGCAATGTTCGGTCTCTCAAAGATCCCCAACTTTGGTGCGTATAAATGAGGGTATAACCCCCAAAATGTGTAATGTCTCCGAAGGCCATGACGAACATGATCTAAATACTAAACTGAGATTCTTAAAAAATGTAACATTATCTTAAAGGCAAACGTGAATCTGACGTGAATTAGAATGAACCACGATTGACAGCACGCGTATAACCCCCAAGCAGTGTTTTGAAGTAATTAGTCTGGAGAAGAGGGAGTGCGCATACGTATCCCAGAGTTCCTTAAGGCTTGTTTGTATACTGACGCCCTAAAATACGGTAAACTTCTGAAATAAACTATGAGAGATTAAGGTTTGTTTGTGACCAATTATAACTCATATTAAACCATTACTTCTCTAGAATCTGGTTTTGTTCAGATAGTTTAGAAGATTTTTTGTAAATATAAAACATTTTTTGTGGTTCTTTTTTTATTTGATAAGGCGGTGTTGCACATCATGTGGTTTTATCAGAGAAAGGCCTACATTGTTGTCGTCATAAATGACATTCCTCATCATGAGTTTAGAAATTATATTGTCCTAGCAACAGGGGCATAGTATACTGACAATTTAGTTCAAGTCCATGTCCCCACCTTGTTGTTAGCCACATTTTAGTGGCGTTTCCAAGAGTCCTCACCAGTCATTCTTCATCTGCACATCTGGTTTCTGACGCAGGATCGTCGGCAATCTACGCCAATGACGAAGAACTCAAAGAAGAATCCCCTGACACCAGTGAGCCCAGTGATGATCTGGATAGCAACAGGCACTACTATGTTAACAAAGATGAAATCATGAACAACCTTAGACAGGCTAGTTCCCCAAATCAGCCCAGTGGACAGCCGGCAGACACCGTGGGCCGCAGGGGTACCGGTATCATCGAAAATGCCATGTACGTGCCTGGTGCGTTACGACAAGGAGGTATGTTTTGTTATTTGCATCCTTGTACCATTTGCCATTTTTACCACCATGGTAAAGTAATTAGTAGTGATCTAATTCATTTGCCTTTTATGTTTGTATCTGTAGTTGAAATACTGGATAGCAGATAGGGTAACAAGTCATGATCACCACGGAATATTATGACATGGTTGTGGATTGATTTCCTGTACTCTTGAAATATGTTCAGATTAGCATCTACATATTTACAAAATGTGAACAATGCTTTTTCTTCCCAAAAGTTGAAGCAGAGCAGATATACATGTAGAATACGAGCTCGTGTCTCTTTACATGTGATACATGGTAGCAGAATCGACCTTCGCTTTAAAAAGCACCATTTTAAGTGCATATGGTGCATAGCTAATTTCCATGGCAATCATAAACAAACAAACATCAGCTAGTGTGTCGAAAACCTTTCACGGTAATATATACTAACGTACCATCGCACACTTCGAGGTTTTCCAGCGTTCCCAAGAGCAACAGCTTGCGCACGATCCTGCGATGCTGAATGTGTACATTTTGCAGTTGGGCGTTTTATCATGATGCACAACTTAGAAGAGCTCTGACGAATCTGAGAAACAGGGAGAAAATGTCTTGTCTGGAAACGGACACGCATGTGCAAAGAAGCACCTGAAAACATTTGATTGCCCAGGTGTTGCATATTTTGTGACATGTGTATGCAAATGCTGATTAGAGAGGACGAACTTTTGGAACACCCTGTAGCTCTTGAGGAGGCAAACTGACAGCGGTACCAATAGGTAGATATGAAATGATACTTTGTGTTTACAGATCACACCGATGATGCAGACATTTGTGGGCTTCCCAAAAACTGCAACGTGGCATGTCGCTGTTCCTTTCTGCCATGGGCCATCATCATAATTGCTGTAACGTTATTAGCAGCCGTCGTTGGAACAGGAGTTGTTCTTGCCATATTTCACACGATCCCGGAAGAGACTCAGTCTTTCTCAAACAGTCCTCCGGAGCGGCGTGGTTCGTCAAGACAACCAGTGTCACCAGTTCCCGACACCTCTGCAACCGCACTGCCCAAGGTGACAACCACACTGCCCGAGGTGACAACCACACTACCCGAGGTTACAACCACACTGCCCAAGGTGACAACCACACTGCCCAAGGTGACAACCACACTGCCCAAGGTGACAACCACACTGCCCAAGGTGACAACCACACTGCCCGAGGTTACAACCACACTGCCCGAGGTGACAACCACACTGCCCGAGATGACACCTACGCTACCAAAGGTGACCACTACTCCCCTGTGTATTATACATGTCCTAGAAATTATTCACATATTATATTCAGACGTGAGAGTGAACAAGTATTATTATTTGTCGCCAGGTTTTCCAACATCATGTTGAATGGACCAGATTTGGCCAGCTTCAGAGGACTACAGAGCCACAACCTTCGACGACTCACGAAGGTACGATACTCATGTCAGGCGTGATCATGACATACACTAACCCTCCTCATGTAACTAAATTCAAGTAGTTCCCAGCTTTCTGACATGTTTGCTGTGTTTTGATTTGTACTGGGAAAATGTCCCATTTTTCGTATACAGCCTATGGCTGCAAATTTGCACTTACGTTCTGACATACAGGAAAGAAGTTGTTGTAAGAATTTCCTAATAGTGGGGCTATAGCTTCCTATTCTTCATTTCTTCAGTTGGATGGCCCATGCAAAATGGCGGCTGCCAGGATGGCTACATACGAGTCGGTTGGTCCTGCATCCGGCTCGTTCCCATCCTAAAGTCATTTTCGGGCGCGCAGCAGGCCTGTAATGCGGAAGGGGCGACTCTAGCCATGCCTAAAACGGAAGAACTGGACCTCGCTCTCAGACACCTGGTCAAGATGTCCAGAGGCGATCACTGGATCGGTCTGAAGGAGACGTGTTCTCGCGTTTGGTTCGGTTGGACGGAGACCTGTTGGACCGGAAAATGGGAATATAAATGGGTGGACGGGGTACATCTGGGAAGGTACCAGGTACGTGTTCTGTTGACAAAAACAGGTTTATCTTATTATCCCAACATTAAGCACAAAACATGGTGACGGCACACTAAAGTTTTTATGTTTACGGAAGGAAAACATTGTTTTTGCTCAGTTTTCCTCTTCTTCAAACACGTAAGGTCAATGACCTGAACCAGACGTCTGTCACCATGGTAACGGGTGGTGTATGGTTACATTTTGTAGCTCCAGTTGAAGATGCTGTTCACCACATGTTATATAATATGAAGGGTTATGTATTAGAATCAACAGAGCAGTAGTTTGGTGGACTAGACCATGTGATGGTAAACATTATGCATTTGCTTTTAGTTAAGCTTATTTTCATCCCCCCCCCCCAATGCAGAGGACAATACTCATTTTCACGAGTTAAGTGAGAGAAGTCGTGTAAAGTGCCTTTCCCAAGGGCACAAGATCGGTGGCATAGCAGGATTCGAACTCGGAACCCCTTGGTTCCGAGCCGAGTACTCTGCCGTTATGACACATGAACAATAATTGATTTGCCTCCACCTTCTACCAGACAACGGATTGTTTAAGGATCCCAGTAGGTTTTACATTTCCTTCAGTAAGATAGGTATGGTCATCTTGACATCTTGTTTTCCCTTTTTATCAGGGGTGGCACCCAGGTGAGCCAAGTAACGCCCGAGTGTCCCGTGCACTGTGTGTTCAGTACTGGTACTCAGGACCTGCGGCTGGCCTGATGTGGGACGACACCGGATGCCATTCCACAAAGCGGTACATCTGCCAATCCCCTCCTGCCTAATCACCTTCGGGAAAGGATTATGTTACTATTGGTAGACTCTGTGTGCATGTATGTGTTTATGTATGAGTTGTGTGCATGTATGTGTTTATGTATGAGTGTGTGTACATGTGTTTGTATAGGTGTGTGCGTGGTTTAGCACAATATACTCAAGAAATAATGAAACTTTGTAGGTGGGTAGGTCTTGATGACATTTGTTTCAGTATCAAGTCCAATGCAACCAACAATCAACCGACAATTATATGGCCCCTTACCTCCCACCATCACACCAGGTTAACATGGCCAGCTACAAATGTGTGCATTCCAGTTATATCATGTCACAAGCCACATCAGACATGCAATCTTGGGGATCTTCAAATTGTCCAAAAGAAACTTGGTGGCACCTAAGCTAGGACAGCGAAGACTTGACTGACACTATGATTGACAAAACGCATTGCAGAAAAGAGAGAAGCTACAAATGTGTAAGATTGACGGCTGTAAATCTTTATTTGCTTTGTCACAAAGCTTGCACCTTACAGATGACACAGACTTAAAAACAAGCATAAAACATTTCATCCAAGTATGATTAGTCCATTTCCATTATCTTTAATAGATGGTTATAAACATTTTTTGGGCCTTAAATTTAAAAATTGTTCATCCTATTCACCAACAATCTTTCCATCTTAGCAGTAACAATTTTCATCTGTTAGTTTGATTAGTTGAAAATTTTCAGGAGACAGTGCTAACTTCATGACAACTGCCACCTTTGGAGGAATGTTTCTTCTTGTAAAAATGTACATTGTATGCACTGCCACACTACACTTTGCCCATACACTTTTAAGTAAAGGAATAGACATCAGAGGTTCATGTCCCTGAAAAAGAACTCATTGCTCTCATTAAACAACAGAATTTGTCGCTATACAGAATATCCTAAAATCATACATTATCAATAAAGACTACAGTCAAAAAGTTTATTAAAACACATTAAAATGGCCGAATTGCCGCTATCATCAACTCTAGCCATCATTTTAAGTACTGTACTACATAATTGATTAAGAAAACATTGGTCTGACAAAAGAATTCATTAAAATTCTACAACCGATTAAGATGAATGTAAGCCTTTGGTCCACATAGTACAGTAAAGATATGGCCCTCTATGATGTATAAAGGTTCTCATCTTTTGTCCATTTCAGTCCATCCAGATTTTATTAAGCTTCCACTGGAGCAGGTTTTGTTTCTCCCTCCTGTGTTTCCTTCTTGCTCTTGGCTTCCAAACACTTCTTAATCTCCCTGCCGATGGCAGCTGCCATGGGGGGCGGTACAGCATTGCCAACCTGGGAGAGAAGGAATCACAATCTGAGAAAACATACCAGGGCTCAAAATACTGGGTGCAAATGCACCTTAGGTAGAATTGGTCATTGGAGCTGTGCAGGTATTTGATGTCTACCTGTATACAGAAAACAGGTATTTTGACCCATGCAAGTGACTCTACTAAAATACTGTGACAGTAACAAGAGACAACGCATTTCTGCATTTGCAGGCAGCACAAACAGTCGTGCACAGAATTTACATAAAAATGTGAAGTACCAACCTGTCTGTGTTTGTCCAAGATGCTCCCATAGAAGCGGTATGTGTCGGGGAATCCCTGAGAGCGGGCGCACTCCCGTACACTCACCACACGGTGCTGCTCAGGGTGGAGAACACGACCCTGGGGAGGGAACATCAGCAGGTCAACTCATGCACCAGACTTACCATATTCAATGTTTCACTATGCTGCTGCATGGATTTTTCAAGACATCCTGAAAACCTTAAAATGGTATAGCAAACAACCAAGGGTAGACAACTAATTCCTGCACACTGTATATAGATTTTCCTTTTTTGCTCAAACAATAAGCAAGTGGAATAAACTGTAATATCCCCAGTAATATCACAGTCAGAGCTTGTTAGAGGGTAAAAAAGAAGAAGTGTAAAGCTATCCATTAAATAACCTACAACATAAGTTACAACTGCAAGCTGTAGAGTGTAATCTTTGCAAAAGTCATGACTTTCTTTCTTTCTAAGATCCCTGACCTGTTTGCCCATGGGTTCGGGGTTGGTGACTGTGGTGCTGAAGAACCCGTCCCACTCCAGTCTGCCGTACAGTCCCGCCCAGTGGTTGTGACGGTTCCCTGAAAAAAACACACGCACATAAGATTTCATCCAGCGACTTTCAGGCATTGTCACATTTCAGCAAGGGGTACATTTTTTAACAAGCTACGACAAAATCAATTATTTCTGCCCCAAGACAACTCAATTTTTCTATGACAGTTCCATAACAGTTGCTGAAAACCTGCCAGACATGTACAAGAAATGTGACATGGCCCTGATTGGTATACATGACTGTATATCCATTACAATAGCCAGAAGGAACAACTATTTTCCAACAACTCTTCAACAGCAAGTCTTCAGCCAGATTTCATTTTCCTCCCAATAGTTTTTATCTGCATGGTTACCTGTGTGAGGTAGGCACCAGGGGATGAGGGTGTTAAACTGTCTGTCGTTCTGGTCGCACGCTGCGCCCTCGGCACAGGAGCATACGCCACGCAGCGCTCCTGTAGAGCTGGTGCCGTTCTTCTTGTCCTCGTGGGTGTACTGCCTGCATGGTGACAAAAAAGCACATGTTCTCAAATTTTCCTTGGCAAAGAGGATCTGGAATTACTGGTGATACAATGTTAAGTACAATCTTTTCTTTCTTTTGTACAAGTACTAACTAAATTTGTGGACTAAAAGAAATGCAACAAAATGGACTAAAAGGAACTCAACAAAATGAAATCTAGAAATCTGTTCCAGTGATATTCCATTAAATAGAAATGTGAATAAAAGATACTTCAAATCAAATCTATATTCAGTAAGGCTCTTGCAGGCAACACGCCCGAAATATGGATCACATTAGAACAATGACTTCAGTCTACACGTATCATAGTTAAGCTCATTGCAAACATTTACAAAAACGTTTACTTCTGTGTGGAAAGATGTTACAATTACGAAGCTAAAAAAAAGTATTTCACGATCATGATCCATTGACAGTACAAAGTACATTGTTAGCTGGAGGAGGCACATGTTGTACACCTACAGTAACTTAGAGGAGGATCCGTCAGACAGCCTGACCACGATGTTGGGGAGGTCTCTCCAGTCGGAGCCGGGAGCCAGCGGGACGTGGCGCATACGTGCCTCCACCAGCGGGTTCATGTCCTTACAGATGTGGTCACGCAGGATGGGCTGGTACTGGTTACCACGGATCTACATGTACATCAATGACAAGGCAAAATATTACCCTTTTAGTAGAGAAGAACTCATCACTGCCACCAAGTACTGTAGGGGCATCGCCACTAGATAGCTTTAAGCAATGTTTACATCTAGATGTTCAAGGGTTAGGTGGAAGTGGAACAAGTCGTTTGGTGTGATATAGCTAGCTAGCTGCCGCCGCGCTGCGTGCCTGTGAAGCTGGTGTGTTACACCAAGAGGCAGTTATGCTGGCTATACGGATACATACTGTAGCAGGTAATTTGGATGTCATTTGAGACTTCACATACAGTGTAATAATGCATGCCAAGAATCCCACAGAGTGTACACTGTACTGTAAAGAATTCTACACATTGACGTCCTGACATTGTAAGACTGGTCCCTTCAATGCTTGTCAGTTCTCCTTTACATGTGTTTCAAATCATCAACTCCAAACAGTTTTCATAGCGCATCAATAAAATCTCAAGAAAAAGATCATGTGGAACTTACAATTTTCTGGAAGTATGACCTTGGTTCTCCGTCGTATGAGATCTCAGTGGCGGCGTGGCCGTTCCTGATGGAGGGCAGGTCTGACATGGTGTCACGGATGGTGATGGTACGGAACGGAGCAGACTGCCTCCACTGGGTGTTGGAGTTGTACTGGGGGGAAACAAAACAACAAAAATCATCAGTCCACAGTCCTGAAACTCAAGCAAGGGACAACTGCAACTTTTCCCTAGCCTGGGTGTCATCCTATTTGCTCTCATACTCACTCCCTAAAATTAGTGCTCCCATACTCGCTCCCTGGAATTAGGGAGGAGTATTGGAGACGCTATACAAATAGGATGGCACCCAGGCTAATGTTTCCCTTCTTTGGGGTAGAAAAATCTTTTGCATTGTATTAAAATCTAACAAGGAAAACACATGGTTTTGACATGGTAAGGCTGGTCTTCCTTACATACATGCTTCAGTAACTACAGAAACGGCCCACCTTCTTCTCGTCCACCATGACACTGAGCTGACAGGCCCTGGGTGAGAACACGTGCTGAGGTTCTGGGTACATGGGGAGCTTCTCTCCGGGTGCTGCTGCTAGGATGATGGCCCTGGACAGAAAAGGAAACAGCAAGACCTGACTTAGAAACCTTAAATGTAAAATATGGTTAACTCTCCAACCTGTTTAACAGATGGCTTCAACCTTCAAACTGTCGGCAAAAGCAGCTTAGAAACACAGCCTGTAGAAAACTAAATTCCTACACCCTGAATGTGTGTGCCCTACTGTAAACAAGACATGAAATAGTTTTCTGGATCATCTTCATGAAAGACATCTCATTTTATTGGTCTCTTAAAAGAAATGATGTTCAACAATGATTATGACTTTACAATGACAAAAGACTTTTAAAAAAGTTGAATCAACCTTATTCTTTAGCAATTGGAAATCTATGGCCTCAAAGGCTAGTTATTACACTGTATGTGTCATCAAATAGCATCCAGTTCATCTATCAGTGCTTTGTATCATTACAACAGACCACAAGTTGCCGTACCTGCGTCGCGTTTGAGCCACGCCGTAGTTCCCAGCCTGCAGGACCCCGAAGGTACACTGGTACCCCATACGGATCAGGCAGCGCAGCGTCAGCTTCAGCACCATGGAGCTCTTGAAGGACACAAAGTTCCGCACGTTCTCCAACAGGAAGAACTTCGGTCGGTAGAAGTCACAGTAGCTCAGGAAGGATACCACCAAGGAATTCTGGGTGATGTCGGGGGTAAAATTCATTGAAATCAAACGATTTAAAAAAGTCTCAAATGTTAACCAATGACATAAACAAAATGTCACTACCTTCCTTTTTTTTAACATTTTGACTAAATTACCAGTGTTATTATTTACTACTGACCTTGAACTGAGAGTACTGTCTGGAGTTAAACCTGTTCATGCCACTGAAGCCTTGACAAGGTGGCCCCCCACACAGTAACTCCACATCCCCCTTCTGGGGCAGTCTCTGCCCTGTAGAGTTAGTGGTTGCTCCCTGTAGAAAACAAAAATAAAGAAAGAAAATTTTCTAAAGTCACTGGATACAAATTAGAATTGTTATTTGTAGTACCAATGGAAAACAGCCTGGTTTAACTGACAGTTACACATTTTACAAAATATGACCACATCTTCATTTACCAACAAATGATGAGAGAAAAAAGTCCTCAAAGCCTGAAAAGCAGGTCATTTTGAAGGGCTTGGGAATATAAACTTACAAAGTTTGATTAGCTCCCAGCTTAGCAAGTTATTATTGACTAAAAGCATGACTCAAATAAAAGTTTTTGATGAGAAGTATAAGTCTGTCTGTGCCCACCTCCATGACCAGTTGCAGCAGGATGTTACAGTCGTCTGTGAAGACAGTACAGTCAGGGTTGTTGAGCCTGTAGGCCTGGGCAGCCGGCTCCATCACCTCCACTGCCCACTTACTCTCAGCTATCCCCGCCTGGTGGAAACCTTCAGACAGGCCTGAACATTGTGGGAAAGGCTAGTCAGTACATCTAATCCAACAATGTCATATAGTTACTATGAGAAACAGTGAGTCAGTCAGTCAGTTCAACAATACAAAATGTAGATTCCCAAGTTACAAACATGTAACAGTCCATTTCAAAAACATGAACCATTTCTATCTATGAAGCATTTGGAGATGTGGGTCTCTTTTTTCTTTTGTCATCCTCAACTGAGGTTTCATAACGTTAAACATTAAGATGTCAAAATTATTATCACCTTTACCATCTAAATCTACAAATGAAACTTACCACCACACCCAGCAAACACATCCAGCATGCGCAGCTTGGTGAAGGCAGGAGTCGGCAGTTCTTCTTCCTTAGACTCTGCCTCAGCAGACTTCCCCTTCCCTTTACCTTTCCCCTTTCCTTTTCCCTATAGAGAGAAGAAACACCATGTATTACCAGTAAATCAGCAATACAGGGTTGAACACAGCACTGGTTTACTTCTGCTATCTGCTTTGTATCGGCATTGAACTGTTTTTGATCAGTTTGGCAACAAGTGCAATTGAACATTTGAAATTACAAGAACTGCTACTGGCTTTGAACTTCAGTATCTTTCCTTTTACCTTGGCTTTTTTCCCACCACTCCTTGCTTTGTTTGGCGGTTCTTCAAACTGCTTACTTTCAGTGTTGTATGCCTGAAATTTTGTGACAAAACAGAGAGAAAAGTCAGTACACACAAATAGTATATCAGCAAGTTTACCATTATTAAAATCCAATTATTATTCTCATACTAACTGTGGTCTTTTCAAGAACTGTTGCCATTATTTTACATAATAGCCAAACGTACAACAAAATGTAGCCCTGTATCCATGAACAGAAAAGCTTTCCTCAAACTGCAATTCCTTGCACTCTCTCTAGTGGGCAACACTACAACATACAGGAATACCTTACCTCATTGAAGTAAAACCTGTGCAGGCCCTTGCTGGACCAGTCTTCCACACTGACATCCAGGTCCTCACCATACACAACATGGCACTTCCCTTGAACTGACATGAAGTCCACTACTGCCTCTGTATACAAAAAACATTGTATTTAAAGATGACAATCAATAAGATCTAAGCATGTAACAATAGCCCCAACACAACCACAATCAGTGGAAATAAGTATACCAGTGTCCCATGGAAATTCCCTTCCTCAAAGTTGAAACACAATGGATAATTTTTTCCATCACTTTTGCAGCTGTCAGAGATTTGTACCCAAATGTCCCAACATTTTCTGTGAGTTTGTTTTCCTGGCTTTGAAAAACAATTAAAGACATGATAACAAGATATTCTGTACCTTCATCACTCCAGTACAGCAGGTTGAGGTCAGTGTGGTGGCTGCCTGCCTTCCCTTTGTGAGTGTTCTCTGGCCTGTAATACATAACATTAACAGTAAAAAAAAGATTATAGACAGTCTGAAAGATGGGTACAGTAGCATGCATAGTCCAATGGTTAGCCTCTGGACTAAGAGGTTAGGAGTTTGAATCCCGCTGTTGTCGCTCACCCGACATGCATGCTACTGTTTAGGGTCGCAGTCCTTAGGACAGGACATTTAAGCCATGGTCCACTTTTCTATATTTTGTGCTTGTCGAAAAGAGCTAGGAGAATTTCCCCAGTACAATGAATCTGTAAATACTGTACATAGGGCCTGTCTTCTCTGTCACGACCAGTGGGAGATTAGCTCTTCAGTGAGCTAAAACTTTTCCCATAATTCTAAAACAATATGAGACAATGTGCTGGACAGAACTGACCTGTAGAACTTGGTGACCCTGAGTCGTACGTCGTGAGTGTTGATGATCCCGCTGACCGTACGTTTACAGTAGATACTGAGGATGCGACCGATGCGGAACGGTTCTGGACACTCCTCGTTACTTCCCTTCACGTAATCGCCTCTCTTGCGGTAGTACTCGGGGTACAGGTCCTCATCATAGTTGTCCTTCTTGTTTGCCTTCTTTGTTGAGTTCTTGACTTTCACACTACAGGTGCAAAACAAAAAAAATCAAAATCATGCAAGAATGTCTAAGTTCGGCTTTAAATACATCTGTCAACTGCTGATTCCTAAGCAATCATTTTGCACTCCTTGTTCCATTTTTTCCCATACATATGTGTAATTTTGAAATTACCAATCAATAAATTCTTTTCACGAAAGTCCTTTTAAAACACCTGGAAGAGCTGTCAGTTTCACAAAACATTTAAGGTTTGAGAGGTGCACATTTTTCATTACTGGTTACTGTAAGGCTTCTGCAAGAAGACATCAACATGTGCAAGAAGGGAACACAAGTTACCTGAAGGAGAATGAGTCAGGCAGCAGAAACACATCATCACCGATCTTGTATTCCACTCCACCCTTCTGGCATAAACTGTTTAGACAGAAAATGCATTAATCAAGAACAACAGTTTCTAGCATACACTTTCTAGCATACATCAATGATCTTCCTAAATACGCTGCACATGCTAAAGTCAGGCTTTTCGCCGACGATTGCATCTTGCAGATGAGTATCAAGGAAGAAGACGATTGTAAAAGACTGCAGCATGACATCGATAGTATTTGTAGTTGGGAGAAGGAGAGGTTGATGGCCTTCAACCCATCTAAATGTGAAGTGATGACCGTCCCCTCTTCTAGGAACCCAATAACGTTCCCTTATTCCCTCCATGACCACGTTTTAACCAAGGTAAGTACCACCAAATATCTCGGTGTTTCCATCTCCTCAAACTTGACCTGGGGGAGACATGTCGATCTAGTTACAGCGAAAGCAAACAGAACCTTAGGAATGCTGAGACGCTGCCTACGAATCTCAAGCAATGCGGCAAAGGAGAGAGCTTACATGGCTCTCGTAAGACCCTCCTTAGAGTACGGCTGTAGTGTCTGGGATCCCCACACCAAGGACCAGGTGAGTAGGGTGGAGATGGTCCAGCGTAGAGCTGCCCGTTTTGTCAGCAGTGACTACAGACGTACAAGTTCTGTTTCATCTATGTTGCAAAACCTGGGCTGGCAGTCTCTGGAAGTACGCCGGAAGATCGCCCGCCAGGTCACGCTTTATAAGATCATACATAATGCTGTCTCCGTCCCACACTCAACCAGGATTGTCCCGGTGGCTCGATGCTCCCGCCGCATCAATCACACTCAAACATTGCAGGCCATCGCGAGCAGAACCAACTTCTACAGGCTCTCGTTCTTCCCCCGCACCATCAGGGAATGGAATGAACTCGAGCCTGGTGCGGCGGAGGCGGGGTCTCTTGCCCAGTTCAAATCTGAACTGGCGAGGACCCTGCTGCATTGAGCCACCCCATCATGTCTTGTATATATGTAAATATTACTAACGCACTAATGCACTTGTCCCGTCTTTAGCACACACAAAATCAGTTGTCTTATGTTCCCTTCTCATTTATCCTTGTTTTACCTTTGTTTTTATGTACTGGGTCACAATTGTAACTAATCAATGCGTAACGGCTGCCAATAATCCTACATGGTAGGGCTAGGCAGTAACGGAGATGATGATGATGAAATGTAGTGTTTAAAAATTATCAAAACTTTCGTAGGAAATACCATAAGGCAGCCTTTGTATACAATTGATAAAGACGTAAATTTAACATACTACATGCAACTTAACAGTATCTTAGACAAAGCTTAATAACATGCTAATCAGCATTGATGATTTAAGTACAAGTACATGGAATACATTATGAAAATCTTACCCATAGTACACTTTGTTGTCATCCCCAGTGTCATCGTCCAGTTGTTCCCTAACAATGGGAATCTCTGACTGCAGACAGGGTGGGAAGAAAAAATGACAGATTTGACACATTTTGTGTTGGAACTTAGAATCTAAGCAACTTTGGAACTGCAGAGCTACTATATAAACTACAAAGGCTTAAAATAGAAAAAAAAACTTTCTAATTCTCTGATTCGATTCAGTTGTCAAAATTTGACAGCATTATATGCAAGAAACAATTAAGCCAGATGGTACCTTTCTGCTGTGGTCCAGCCTGAGACAGAGAGGACAGAACTTGTGCCCACTGCCCTCCTCTAGAACTGGTGGGTCCTCAAACCTAGCCAGGTCTGGATCATACCTACAAACAACATAGATGTTTAACTGTTACAAACTATATGCAGTATATATAAGTAACTGTACGACATAACTCTTAACAGCTTATACAGTGTAACAATTGCAGCTTGAAACAAAAGTTACTGTACAGTGAAGATTATAAAGGACTGAGTCTGGCCTCACCATTTCTGACAGAAGAAAGTCCTGCCGTCATCCTCCTTGATGGGATAGTCAGTGTCTGGGTCCTCCACTCCTCCCTGGCTGAACCAGTCCTTATCAAACGTCTTCAGGATCACCTGGAACAAAACAAACATATCTGGTCTATACTGGCGACACTTCAAAACGCCATCTTCATCATGAGTCATGAGTAGTAAAGAAAGCCATGGATGGATAACATTTCTGTGGTGCTCAGTACAAATGTTTTAACAGTAACATATCACTTCACAGAAGGAATGTGTGGATGGAAATCGGCAAACTCACCTTGCATTTGAACTTGATGAACTGTACGAGGATGTCTTCACACTCGTCTACCAGGAACACCTCCAGTGGGTCTGACGTCTCTCCCAGGACTGTGTCTGAACCTCGACTAACGAAGAAAGTCTAGTTATTTAGCTAGCACTTAAGACTGTAAGCTATCAAAAACAAGATAATGATCATTTAACTATACTACAGTTTCCTATATGCCCAAAATGTAGCCAAAATCTAATGTTCCTAAGACTCTAGTACCACAGGCCTGAGTCCTCTGCAATCATTCCATATACACAATAAATTTCCTGCCACCCTATCAACTCAAAACAGTCAGTCCTGTGTAACAGTACTGTTCTGTACTCACCAGAACCATCCCACGTGGCACATCATGTCCCCTCCACTGTCCTCCCACATGTACATGACACGAGCGATGAACAGGGGTTTGGTCGGGTCCTCAGACGTCACAGTCACACAGTCTCCTGTCTCAATCTGCAAGATATTGGACAACCTCCTTACAGGATATGTTACATGCATATGCGTATGTGGTAACTGGTCATTCCCCATATAACCAGCCAGTGCAGCTATTCAGCAGCCAGTAGCCAGTGTGTTACACAAAAGGGAGTAAAACCAGTCTGGTTGAGCAGTACAAGAAACAGGCACTACTTGTCTATCAAGTATCTTACAAAGAGGTTACTTTGACAATGCTACAGTTAGGTACAATATAGCATTTGGTTAACATGGAGATGATTTTTCCTCACCTTTTCTTCCTCCAGCATGACAGCAGAATAAAATGTTTTCTTCCCCTCCTCCTTCAGTGGTTTTCCCTCCCAGCTTATTTTCACCTGCAACAACAAAAAAACTTGTTACGAAGTTCAAATCACAGAAATTCGTCACAGAGTTCGTGACAACTTTGACCTGCCCTTGGCATTCGAGCGTTCTACAAAAATCTTGTACATCTCTCTTGTCAAGGTGTCTTAGCTGGCAGAAAAAAAAATGTCCAAGTCTCACCTTGCTCTTGACGTTCTTCCTGGGAGAGAAGTGTGTCCTCTTGTGTCCCACCATGCCATTGAAGTCCTTGTCAAGGTCATCCTCAAGGTCATCATCATCCTCTGCATCCTGCACTGCCATATTTGGGCACCTGTTATAGTACAGAGAACAAAACAACATTATTGTCCTGTAACCTACCAACTTATGAAGCTATAATTCACAGACTGTAGCACACTGTTGTTTCCCTATGTGTGGCTTACCTCCTGTTGACACAGGCTTGCTTGGACTTGCCGGTCCCTCCAAATTTGGTCATGTCCTTACAGGCCACGCAGGTGCCGCAGTCGGGCTGCTGACACACCTGTATCAGGTGCAACAGGTGGGAGAAACATGTCAGCATTCATGCAAAGACAATGAAGAATACATATGATCTGTTATTATCATTAATGTTCATCTGTGTTGATAGTCATACTTCAGAGAAGTTTGACTGGGTCAGTCTATTGAGGAAGACCAGAGTGACTGGTCGAAAGCTCTAGGTGGCAACAATCCTTTGTGTTGGACCAAAGGTTCTATTATATCATCAAGTTGAGATTCTTGTTCCTTGAAGCTACAAGCAGAAACGTGCATGGTTTACGTAATGCAACAGAAGGCAGTTCTGTGACTGCAGTCACAGTTACCTCACAGACCCCACAGCGCCGTCTGCGAGGCCCACCAATCTTGTCTCCAGGTTGGATCTGGTCCTTAAAGAATGTGTCGAAGATGCTGCACACCAAGTTGGTTGTAGTGGCCTGGGAACATGAGGAACAATTCTGTTATGTACTTCTGTATCATGACAGATGAATGGTTGTTTATACTGTAATTTTTTTTACATGTGCTGAATACAGGACAAATGACCTAAACGTATACCTGAAGTATTGTGCAAAAATTCTATGTACAAGATACCTTGGTCTGGCGCATGGGTTTGGCCTTGACTTTCCTGGGTTGCTTAATGCCACTTCTTCCAGCTCGCCTGTAAGAGAAAAAAAGATGCCACATTACACAATGACACAGATTTACTTGTACCATCACTGAATCATTCAAAAATACACTGGTTTCCATGTTTGAGACAAATATGTCTGCTTCATGAAAATCTACCATAGCTTGAAAAGATGTCAGATTCTCCATGCATACATTTTGGAGAAAAACTGAAACTGGATTCTTTTCAAACAGAAGTCTTAATGACACATTCATTGGGGAAAAGGTAAAAGACTTTACAGCAACAGGTTATTGCTTTGCTAGAACTCTCAGAGGTCCAAGTCCCAAACCCACCTCTTGCCAAGGGTGACTCCTGCCAGTTTGATGAGTGCCCGCATGCAGGGTGTGGTCAGGAGGGGCGCCTCGTCCGCATCACCCGCTAGGTCAAAGTTCTCCACCTGTCAATCAATCATGTCACAGCTGTTTACAACTAAACACACGTAACGACAGGACAAGATGGTTGCATCAGTTTTATGCTCAAATGCTTAAGATTTGATGAAGATTCAAATAGTTCAGTTACAGATCGGGTTTGATTCAAAAATTTGAATGTGCAACAGTTAAATAACGGACCTGTTCCACCACAAACTGTGCATGTCTGAGCAGTGATTCCTCGCTGAAGGACGTCACTCGAAGGCTCTGAGGAGGAACTGTGGTCTAGAAGACGGCAGGGAAATAAAACTGTTAAAATGTGTTACACTTAATTATGAGAGAAGACAGCAGTCATCTGAATTCTTGTGTGCACTCCTCAAACATTGTTCAAAGGAATAGTAGCAGTCTTGTCATGGTGTTTCCTTCAATAATCATGAAAAAAGCAGGGGAACGTTTGGTCCAGTCCAGTATCATCACTACATGTACACATACAATCAACCAATCAGGAGAGAAACATTAACATACCTCATGTATACTGATAGTCTATGATCAGACCAGAGGAGGCAGCAGAGAACAAGTGAAGAGAGACAGTAAAAATACATGAGACTTTCCATTTATAGCAAATTGCATGTCAGTTTAGTCCACGATTTTTCTGTTACACACAACAAGGCATTGCCAGACTGACTTGCATACTTGTATCATCTAGTCAGTTCTTAGAGATGACAACCTAGCAGAAATATAAACATCTTCAAACGAGTACATACTACATTTCTGCCACTGATAAACCCACCTGGATTTTGTTGAGCAAGTCTTCGTAAGCAGCCTCTTGGTTGTTAACCAGGAACTCGATGACCAGTTTGCTCATGTGGATCTTTTCCCACATGGTGTCCATGAAGGGTGCGTATGCCTCACTAGGCTGCATCACGATGTACTCCGCAAAGGCTGGAGAAAACAACAATGTTAAAAGCTACATTCAAAAACTTTCACATCTCACCAATGTGTTTTAACGTCTTATTGACACATTTTTTACGGCACAATAGTACTTTTGATACTTTCAAACTTTAAAAAAGAAACTGGAAAATATTTTTGGCATGCCTTATTACATACCTGTAGTGAAACCTATAAGGGCATTTTCTCCTCCGTCGAAGCCTGCTGTCCACCATTCATTGATTGGTCCTACACTCTTTGCCAGCACACCGCCTACATGTATGGAAAGAGATAAAAAACAGCTCAACAAGGGGAAAAAACAGAATCTCTAGACACATTTTAATCAGCATAAGCTTTGTTTGTAACATTTGGTGTGAAAAATGAAGTGAAAAACTCTCCAAAACTACGCTGGTCCACAAAAAGTTCCTAAGTGTAAGGAAGCTAAATGAAAGTACATAAAATCAAGACTAATTATAAAACAACTGCTTAAATATGCCAAAAACTGACCATCAGCACTTGGGTTCTCATCGTAGATTGGTTTGACCGCTCCACTGAAGTACAGCTCTACATTCTTCTCAATCAGCCCCGTGTCAAACGCACACAGATGGGTGTTCTTGTCATATACACTGGAAAAAACACAATAAGAGAAATTTGATCCTAGTCTTTAAAACAAAGTATGTTTCTGTAACTAGATTCTGATAGAAAAAACACTTCTTGTTCTCCTAAATTGATCAATAAGAATTCTAACAAAACTTTTCAACTTTTTCTCTTCATGCAGCTTCATGTACCAACATAAAATAAGGTGAAAATGCATTTGTGTGACCTATGACAACAACTCCTTAAGGTTGGTCTTAATAAAGAGGAGATGGCAATACATCATCAATACATATCAAAGGAAATGTTGTTACCTGAAGTTGGTGATTTTATGCTGAGGACGATCATCATAAGTGCCATACTCCTGGTCTTCCTCCAGAAGAGATAATCGCTCATCTGTCAACATCTCTACTTCATCAACCTGGAAACAGGACAACAGAAAATTTCTAAGGAAACCAGTACTTCACATGGGTACATTAGAGTTAATGGTTAATTGACATATTGAGGAAATAACTATAGACATTGTTATTTCATACTCAGCTTTGATGACTGCAAAGCAATTTTAATGTCAGAAATTACTACTTACTACATGCATTCTCTTACCTTCATGGTCTGCCATAGATTAGAAAGATAATACGAAGACATTGTAAGGACATAGTAAGGACAAATACTGACAAAAATGTTAAGAAAAACTCCAACTCACTGCCTCCTGTGGGTCTCCAGGGAACATGCGAAGGTCAGGGTCATCCAACAGCTGACGGCACTCTTTACACTTGACTGGAGGAGCCTACATGCACCACAGACAGTAGAGACAGACGGGTATCAGCAGGCTTTCCAGAGGGAGTCATAACAATGGCTTTAAGATGACATCTCATGTACATGTATGTACTGTGCTATTTCAGCCTTTAGGAGTGCATTTGGTATGTGCATGGATACTGCACTAGGTAAACAGCACTAAAGTGGTTTAAAAATTCAAGACACATACACTTTGATGGTTTCATTGTGGTTTCAAAAGTTTTATAACTGTCATTCTGCAGAAGGTTGTGTGCTGCAGCATGTATACAGAAAAATGTGTCAAATACCTTTGGTGCTTGTGGAGCAGTTGTCTCTGATTTTTTTCTCAACTCAGGTCTGGGATGAAAAGACATAAGCTCTTTAATTGCTTTACAGCGATTACGAACATAGAAAGTGATTTTAACAATCAGCTTTGCCTTTTGTGGAAAACATCATACATTACATACCCAGAGTCCATGTCACTATCTTCATGCTTTACTTTCTTGTCCTCATGCTCTACCTGGTATATACAGAAGAAAGAAACAAAAACATTGAGGTTGATTAAAGACAACACTAAACAACTGTTTAAGGTTTTAAGTTGCATCAAAATCGACCAACTTTTTACTTATGTTTAAATCTGCAGAATGGTAAAACAGATACACTTTAACAGTAAGGAGACAATACTGAGAAATGTTTGGACATAAAATCATGTTCATGATTTCTCTACTATAAATAGGAAAATGCTTACCTTTGGTTCTGATTTGATTCCTCCTTCCGTAGAAGAATCAACATCAGAACTGCTATCAGTGGCCTTCCTTTTCTGGGAGCTGTGCATGAAATAACAGGGTTTTCTACAAGTTAGCATCAACTTATGTTCCTATTAAGTTGATATTGCAATAAGACTAAGAGGTGTGGGTGTCAAGAATAGTACAACTAGGTTCAACCCCTGACATCATTTAAACAACTAGCTACCTTATGTCAGCAAAAACAGTTCAGTAATGAAACATACAGTATACTTACACTTTTGAAAACATAGTCAGGATAGTTGGTTGGCCACTACCATTCAGTTTACCCTTTCTCCTCTTTGGTGGAGACACTGAAGGAAAGGACACAAAAGTTAAAGAGTCAAGATATTCATACGAAAAGAAATTACTTAACCACCAAAAAAAACATTATGCTGTCATTTCTTAAACAGCTTTTTTTTTCCTCAAAAAAACACCACAAACCTCCATCGTCGTCTCTTTTCTCCTGTTTGATGTTTTTGGGAGACTTTTTCGTTGGTCCCTTCTCCTCATCTCCACTGCTGGTCAACACCCCACTATCCTCACTGCTACACGCATCTGCCATTTTGGAGTTTTCCACAGTCTCCTCAGAGGAACTGCCGTTGGCCTCACTTGTCTCACACTCCATGGAGTCTTGGTTGATAGACTCGGCAGTGTACTTGTCAAGCACTTTTGTGACTTCCTTTATGTATTCTTTCTGTAAAAAGGAAGACATCATGCACATGACACTGACTGCCATACAATACAAATATAGTTAATGATATGTTCATATGACACAATTCAGCTAAGAAAAGAAAGACCAAATAGTAAAGGCAAAGACTTCTCATTACAAAAGACTGTTGATTTGTGAATACTGTCTATTACTATTAGAAATAGAATGAAGTCAAAGCTAGTGTATGCTACAGTTATAAAAGTTACATGCATGTGATGGTCCTCACATAAACTGACTGGTCAATTTCATAAATTTCAACTACACAAACACAACAGGAGTACTGTCTGTATATGAAACGTGATGTATTTTGTATTGTATTTGTATTTGTATATACATTTAATACAAGGCAAGAAACTACATATAGTGAAACATGTGAAGGTTTCTTCCCAGCACACCTCGGGTAGTGACTTGTCTTTCAGCTCCTGCTCCAGCTTCAGGATGAGTTTGTGGTCATCTGGGGTCATCAGCCCGTTCAGAAGTAAGGCTCTCTTCTTAATGTAACCCTGCGAAACAAACAATGATAATGTCACTATTGTCTACACACAACATTACTCTAGGTGTTTCACATTCTACGTAGTGACTCTACATTTTTTTCTTTACATGATAGGATTTTAGCAAAGCTATGACTGAACAGATAATTATAACGACCTACTGTAACATTTGAATCACAAGACTGTTGGATTTTGTAACAAGTCCTGATTGGAGTTGGCAGGGATTAATCAGCTGTAACAATTCATACCAGGGTGGGTTTGAACAGTTGTGTATTTCCACGTACCTTCTCGGTGACATTGCCCTCACTGAAGTCCTCTTCTAATTCAGACAACCTGAAACAAGAAAAGAAGTTTTCATTATAATTATTTTGTAGGGCACAACAGTATAAGACTAGAAGACATGAAAATGCCGGTCTTGCACATGTCATGCATAATTTGTACCCATTTTGGCAACGTGCTCTTGTCAAGTCTTAGTCATATGGGAAATGTAGCTTCCAGACTGACCCTTTTTACTTCAGACCAATTCGACAAAAATGCCCTAAAACTGATAGTTACAGAACGGCGGCGTAAGTCACAAATAGGCACCGTGCAAACCGGCCTTGCCATGCTGCCGTGTACAAAAATATGAATCACCAGAAAACGTGCGAGAAAACTCGACTTACTTCGCCTTCAGTGTCTCCGACAGAGGCTGGCGCTGTAAGACGCCACTCCCCAACATCTTGAACCTTGTCACGACAATACTTGGAAGTCTTCTTGAAATCTGGAACCGTCTGTATCTGTGTGAAACGCAGGCGAAATGGCGGCAAAACCAGGGTGGGAAGTGGAGGAAGGTCGATTTTCCCGCGAAAATGTCGCTTGGACTGTACCACTACAAGAGCGAAGGGTAGACAAGGTATTTCAAGTCAAAGTGGATAACTGAAGTTTGGCAAAAAAATGGTGAAAAATGCAATATAGGATATATATATTATATTATTAATCGAGTTCATTAATTTTATAGGGAAACATGGTGAGCTTTTGTCAATATCTACGGTAACTAAATCGTCGTACTACACCATAGCGTGATAATTTCGCTTCTTCCACTGACCCGACAGCTGAATGTCCCGGATGAAGGGTGACCTCACGAGAAAAACATGACCTGTGACCTCTCAATCCTCCAAGGAACAAGCCTTTGCAACAATATTCGGGTTAGCATCTAAACTATGAAGTGATAGATAAACATAGGAATATTTTGATTTTTTTTTAAATGACACAAAAAAAGAATGAAGGGGTTATTCAGACAACACGGTCAATTCGTGTGGAGAATCGTGTGAATAACAAATGGTGTACTGTGTGTAAGATACGTTTCAATTAATTATGAGTCATATATTTTAGGTTTCACACACCCACATTGCCATCCAAAAGAATTTTGAAGCGATTGATGGCTGTCCATAAAATGTAACGTAAGCACGAAAAATAACACAAGTTACTGAACCAGGGTAAGTTATCATGCTCGTTTTGTCAGTGTTATCTGCAAGCTGTTCATCACAACTTGCACTCCATAATTATCGTCATCATTATCACTCATCGACTTCTCTCACTTAAACGAGGTGCTGTAACCAAGAGATAATGTTCAGCACCAGGGACATGCATGTGTGGACAAGGAATAGTCATGTTTGCCTGTGTGTACATGTGGATAGTGTTCAGCACCAAGGACAGGCATTGTCAGTATTCAGCCTTGAGAGGAAAGTGAGCCGTTAACTCGGAATCACAGTATCTTCGCAAGATCTTTCCTTGTATCATTTTTCGTCCAGAATTGTGTGTTAATGGCTCTACTAATCATATTTACCAGTGAGTTGAATCCTGTTTATTCAACACCAACGTGGTAAATTCATGACAAACATCCTTGACAGGGACCGATCGGTAACAATCAGGGAGGGGGAAACTGAAAAATCGTACCCAAATGCTAGCAAATGTGTACGAGACAGTTGGCAAAAAAAGATCAACATCTTTCTTCTCAACACTCCTCACCACCACATACATGCAGCTTTGATCCTCTATAGCGAGTGAGGGTGTTGGCAGAGGGGGTATGAGGGGTGCACAAGGTCGTTGGTAAAGGATAGGTGCCGTGTATTGGTCGTATGTTGTCAACGGCTGCACTCTACCTACCGGGCTTACATTGTACATCCGTGATATAGTGTTGTTGCGTCAACGTAGTTGTAGACAAACAATCCTTTTAAAAGTACCGAAATCTTTCCTTTTCTTGGACATCTTGACCAACTTGCAGCATGCTAGTTCTTGTATTGCTCCATTCCGTACTGTTTGCTACAGTTGCGTGTGCCAGTAAACAGCATGTGCATGGTTTCTCCACTGCTGTAGTCCGACTGGAGAAGTTATTACTATTTAAGAGCAAATTGGTGGACGAGGTCAGGCAGCACATTAGTGATGCAGACGGTGTGAGTGAAGAGCTCAAAAGGTAAGACCCAGCTCACAGGTAAACCTAAACAAGATTCCCTGTGGTAGAATAGCATTTACCACGTTTCTGTCAGGTTTCTGTCAAAGTCGTCCTACTTTGGACCTACGTGATGTACAGCTATAGTTATATAGGGCAGTCATCATTATGTACATAAAACAAATCCTAACTACATGTACATATAAAATATCTTTACGTAAATTATTTGTAGTGAACTGTAGCAAACGATTAATTAAATGTGCTTTTGGTGACGAATATGTTGGACATTTTCGAAAATCATTAATGTCTCTATGGCAACAGGTATGTAGTTGAATACAGCATCCTACATCCGGGTAGTGACGACCTCGCCTACCATGCCCATCACCCTGTGGGAGCGTACCGTCTGGTGAAGCGGCTGTCTCACACCGACTCCAGCATTCTCAAACACGCTCAGCTTCTCACCGGCCTGGTACAGGATGAAGGTGCCTTTTTCAATGATGTTTAGCAGTGAATGTAACAAAATGCAAGGATTTTCAACAATCCAACAGTCAATTGAATTGGACAACGTTGCATGACCGAGTAAACAGATCAACATTAACGTCCTGTTTAAGAAATAGAAACCAAACATTTTTAAAAATTTCAAACGCGTTTACAAAAATTAGTTTGTGAAAATTAACTTAACGATCGAGTTCATACATTTTCCTCTGCCGTACACAGATGAAGGCACAACTGTGCTTCCGACAGAGGAGGACATGAGGATGTCTGCGCTTGCGCTGATCAGGCTGCAGGATATCTACCACCTGGACATGCGCAGTCTGACGCGGGGGCAGCTGGTGATGATGTCACGTCAGAGTGACGGTACTGTGGTGAAACAGAAGACAGTCACCCGTGCAGAACCCAGGTTTACACTTGGAGCGGAGGATACAGTTTACATAGGGGACGTGGCTTATGATAATGAGGAGTATCTGAACGCCGTGCTGTGGTATCTCGGCACCCTGGATCTGATGGGACGAGCGGATATCGTTACCGATCACACCGATGACTCAGGTCCAGGGAGAGTGCGCGTTCTGATGAAACTAGGAGATGCCCTCACAAAGGTATGACATGATGTGGTAATACCTCATCAAAATCTGGAACGATTAGTTTCAACATTAACATTTGTGTAAGTACCACGATTTCCGTATTCTACAGACTTCCTGTGTTTAGATTTAATAATGTGCCTCGTCGCTTTCAAGTATACCCGGTATACCTTTATCCTATATTAAGATCCTAGAAAAATTCATATTCAATTGAGAACGTTAAGTTGCTTACCAGCTTAATGTGTCATAACGTTGCTGTTGTCATTGTTACAATTATACTGTCAATCTAGCTGAAGCAACACCAAAGCGCCTTGTCCTTCTACAAAGACGCTCTGCATCTTGGTAAGTAAAATAACACACAGAATTTACATTTTGATGAGGCTTGTTTTAGTTGAAAAAAAGAAAAAGAAAGTCAATGTTTGTACTGAATTGCCAATTGGACATGCATCTTTGTGATATCTTGAACTACATATTTGAATATACGCGATATCTCAGAGCCTGACAACCAGCTGATTAAGTCGCATGTGTCGGAAGCAGAGCGACAAGTCACGCTACAAGGTAACGTCACCGTTAAGGTGGCGAAAGTGCTGGAAGGTTCCATACCTTATCAGGAGGAGTATGAGGACCTTTGCTACCACAGCGTTCTTCAGGTATGTTTATTTGTTGTATAAATTGGTGTTTCGTAAAGATGAGAAAAAACTGATTTGTTGGGTTTTCTCTCCCTGTCCTTTTTTGCGTCGTCGACACGATACAAGACCAAGATACAACAAGATCACGTAACTTTGACACAAGGAAAACATTGTTTTTTTTTTATGTTTACCGAAGGGAAACATATTGTTTTTGCTCTGTTTCTTCATTCCAAACACTAACCTCTGACCTGGTCAATGACTTGAACCAGACTCTCACCATGGTAACTAGTGTTGGGTTACATAATGTTGCAATTTTATAGTAGGAGGGATTTAGACTCCTGTCACCATATATGTGAATGTGTTTGAGTAAGAATTAACAGAGCAGACCATATGCGAAGGTAAACATTATGCACTTGCTTTGCAAATGTTACCTTTCTAGTTTTCCTTAATTTTTATTAGAACCAACCGCTAAGCTCACGGCTGAGGTGTGTGTACGTCCGGACCAGCCCCCAGCTCTACCTCAGTCCGGCTAAACTGGAGGTGCTTCGTGAGAGGGACCCGGAGATAGCCCTGGTTCATGACGTTATCAGTGACGAGGAGGCTGCCATGATGAGAGAGTTGGCTTTCAGAGAGGTAGCTACTTATCTACTACAACCATACAACAAAGGGTAGAGGTATGCAACGTCCAACAATGTCTGTGATAAAATGTATCACTCTATCACGGACAGGAACAATTACAAGGTATGGGCCATCTCAATCTTGTAAAAGCAACAAAAAAAGTCGGAAGCAAACGCTAGATAGGTCAGTATGTGTTGTTGCTGCTGCTGCTGCTGTTACGAGGTTCCGTTCTGACATATTCACTAACGTATGTCTGTTACAGTTGAAGAGGTCACCTGTGATAGATAAACATGGAAAGGCCTTCCTCAGCGACTTCAGGGTCAGCGAAACGTAAGTTTCCTGCTTTTCTCTCCTTTCAATTGAATACTAACATTCAGACGACATGATTTCAACAGATTGACAAGTTGAGTAACAGCTAGCCATATAGTGCTTATGGTTTTTGTGTATATAAACATCACTAATATTGCATTGCAACACACGCCAGCCTTGATCTTTCAGTGGTTGGCTTCACGACAATGAGACTGAACTCGTCTCCAAGCTGAGTCGGCGGGTCGGCTACATCACCGGGCTGAACACAGACTCGCCATCTGCGGAAAGTTTCCAGGTATAGGTAGTTATTAGTCAGTTTTCAAACAAAAAAAAAATCGATACCTTTTATCTGCTTACATCATGTGATGAAAAACGTTCAATCCCTAATAGTAATAACTGAACAATTTTGTGTAGGTTGTGAATTACGGCCTGGGAGGACTTTATGTGCCGCATGTGGACTATTTTGAGGTAAGCCTCGATTGTGTCTTCCATATTACATCCATGTTGTCCTTTGTCCTTGAAAGTTCTTCATATCTTTGGAGCGTGTTTCAAATCTAACCTACATTTGTTCCGTCCATGCGGATACAGATAGCGTTAACGTTCCTCCAGAAGCAGTCACAGAATTATAAATAATTATCTGCTTACAGGAGGAGCAGGTAAAACACATGAAGAAGCCAGGCAATAGGATTCTGACCTTCTTGATTTATGTAAGTTGTATATCTACATATCACATACTAGTATGACATGCACATATCAATAGTCTTAATATGTAGTGCATTATCTACATTAAACACGATAATTGAACTACGCTTTGTTATTTAGTCACCTGATATTGTATAACAGCGCTAGCCCGTCGTTAGATCTCGTTTCAGCACCAAGGCCAGCGCCACATGTCACCAGTAACGCTGTTGTGTTCTCTCAGCTTAGCGATGTACAGGAGGGCGGAGCAACAGTTTTCCCTCAGATCAACCTTATCGTACCCGCCGTAAAGGTGGGGACATACTTAGTTAATTCTTCGTTCATTAATTCAAGGTATCAAACTGTACATAAAGCATGCCAGTTGCTTAGGATGGATAGTCTACTACGCCTAGAGATTCTGACTACGGGTAGGACAATGGTATACTGAGAACACTGCTGTACGGCTAAAATTTGTATCACCAGTTGAAATGATTCTAATCTTACCGTATGTGACACCCAGAATGCAGCCTTAATGTTTCGGGACATGAAGAGATCCGGAGAGTTCGAACCTTTGTCAATGCATGCTGGCTGTCCTGTACTCATCGGCTCCAAGTGGAGTAAGTTTACTGCGCCTTTCCGTAAACACACTAATAACAGACCACTCTACCAACGCAGGGAAGTGTCAAAATACTTTTGGAATTCCATATTACTATATAACGGCGCATGTATACATCATTGTGAGCTTCAAACATTACAAAACGTTACTTAAGTTGTTGGTTTTCTAGCGGTGTAACACAAAAGTAGCAGCAACTCGCATTTTGCTCCTCAACGTTTCAGTAACAAATGTGTCTTTCTTTGTTTTCTCCAGTCGCTAACAAGTGGATACTTGACCGTGGCAACGAGTTCAGAAGGCCCTGTGGTCTCACACCAGAGGAATGAGGGCCTCATACCGGCGTTTCAATACTGGCCGGTGCCTGCATAGACGACAAATATGCGATATCTCAAAGAATCAAATATAATTAGACATATTATAAAATGTTCACTGTCCATAAATATATATGTACCTAACACATGGCAGTAGTTTTAGCCTACACCAGTGTTGACAATTCACTTTCTGATTTTGCTATGTATGTACCATAGTCAGATGTACAATGTTCTTTACACGATCCCCGCTTGTTTTCAAGCACAGGTGGATATTTGTCGGAACAGGTGCGTGAACCGGATATCACTCGTTCTCGCAAAATGCAAGCCAAAACAAGGGTCCGTCTGTCACTGTCTGGCATAGAAATTAACAAAGAACCGCACATGTTCGGCGGGTTGCACGTTTAGGCCATATATATCAAATATAACCGCCTAAAACATATGCTTCGCAATTTTCATCTTGTCACAGTAGTATATGCAGTCTTGGAAAATATCAACCTGTTTTACAAAGTGCTCTGCACATTGCATTCCCCACTTTGTTTTTGCCCGGTAAGGTTGTAGTCTGACGGAAATTTGCCACGTGTGAACAGGATATATCAACACGACGCTACCACCCGTCCCCTCCGTACTCACCTACACTGTAGTGTCTGTGTCCACAACTGTACACCGTTCCTGAGCACGGTGTCTTTGCTCTGGGTTCTACAACCTCTCATTCTGTCGAAATGTCTCTTCGTCTGCTCATCTGGTTCCTAGTACCAGCCACTCTCTATGCCGCTAAGAACATAGGGTACTACTCCGCGATCGTGCGCGTGGAGCACCTTCTGCTGGCCGAGAGGAAAATGGTGGGTAAGGTCAAACAGCACATCAGTCAGGGACTCGGGGAGGTGACCGGAGATCTCAGGAGGTAAGATTTCACCTGCACTAAAATAATCCTTGCACATAAACGCAGCCTTGTCTTGTGATAATTCTACGTTACAGTACCTCGTACAGCTTAAATTCATCTTTACAGGTAGTCTACACCAATTTCAAGCAAGTGAAAACTTGTGAAATTTGAAAAATTTCCGAAATATAAAAGTGTTGTTTTTTCTGTACGTTTCGTATTGTAAGTCTTTAGGCAGGCAGGGTGGGTTTAGCAATTCTTTGGGGAGATAATAAGGAAAACCTGCAAGAGTATGTTTCAATATCCTGTACATACACAGCAAACAAAAAGAGCAAAGGAACTTCGATATATGTAAATACCGGCACCAGAATATCTCAAAGCATTGAATGCTATGGTGGTGATAATATTCTGCCTGCTCGTCCTAGGGTTGATTTGCCCCTAAATGCTCAGACGATCTTGATAGGAACAGCTTTCCAGAAAACTAATCTGAATAGCTACAGTCGTTCTAGTTATTTCAACCAGTAAACACCTAACTCTACATGATAAGAAACTTTGATAAGATAAGCTAGCATGTACTGCTTCACACGTCAGTGAAATTCACAACAAAACCTTCCATGTAACATATACCATTCTAAGCATACTCACTAAAACAGTTAAAACAAGTATCTGGCAAGTAACTGTCCAAACACAAAGTAATATTATATTTGTCATGCTACACCCCAGTTACGTGGACAGCTATGGCGACGACTGGCTACATCCGCCTCGCGACCATGACGACCCCTTACATTTGGCCCACCATCCGGTTGGAGCTTACCTTTTGATCAAGCGACTGAGCCAAGAAAATGTACAGGACATCTTTCAACAGGCTCAAAATCTGATTGGTGAGTGTTTTCGCTACTCAGATGAATGAGGCGATCGCGCGAACCTCCTTGCTTAGATGTACAGGTGTTGAAAAGCGGCTTAGAACTTTTATGTTCATGTTGATGTTTAGCCTTCGAGATCTTGTAAAAACTGCTAATAGAATTATTTATTTTTCTTTGATTATCAAAACACAGCATTTATTGTTTAATTGATTTAATTTGTTTCTTTCAATTGTACATTGTATCTGTTCATGTTTTTGTTTGTTTTGACCTGTACGTAGTCAAATGTGACAAAATGTACAATAAAGGTCGTCATTCATTCATTATTTGCTCCAGGTACGTGGCTCACCTCCGTATTGACAAGATTCACTTGACTTTTCCTCTTTTTTTTTCCTGCTAGGAAAACCGAACATCCTGGTCCAGGTGCCGGACCAGGAGGATCTGGAGATGTCAGCGTTCGCGCTGGTCCGGCTGCAGGCCATCTACAACCTGGACATCCACAGTCTGGCACACGGACAGATAGTGATGGCGATGGCGGTCCCTCAGTCCGCACAACCTCGGCTGGTCGCCATCTCCTCGCCGGAGCCGTTCCTCGCCCTGGACCTGTGGGACACCATGTTCCTCGGGAATGTGGCGAGCGACCAGAATCACTTCGAGGACGCGATCCGGTGGTATTCCTACGCGCTGGGCTCCGCTTACGGACTGAAAGAGAAGGTTGACGCCATGTCAAAAATGGCCAGCGCACACGCGAAGGTACACAGGGACTCGTAGTCTGTATCATTTGATATCACAAGGCATAAGGCATTATCAGGGCAGAAAGTGGTTAGCATGCATTGTTGTATATTTGACAACATTTTACTTGATTATAGAATATTTTTCTCTGATGGAATTTTTTGTCGTTTCCCAATAGCTGAAGCAATACGACCAATCTTTGGCTATATACCAGGAGGCCTTGCAACTTGGTAAGCAAAGCAAAACTCAACGTAACTTCTGTAACTAGAATTTCAGGATCACTGGCAGAAATGACCCAATAGTCATGGAGGCCAGTCATGAATACTGACTTGTGGTCACAATATGAATAATATGATGATATTTCTCAAATTGTTTGTAACTTGGTATAGGGTGAATACACCCGTTTTCAATTGTTTCACCTGTCCATACTCTTCATACTTCATACGAGAACAATTTGCTAAATCATGCCGATATCGTCCTGCTCCAGACCCTAACAACCAGATCCTGTACGCGGACTATGACGACACGCTGCAGCTGGCGGCTGTGGATGACGGCACGGTGGCGGAGGAGGATGATCCCGAGCTGAAGGCGCTCGTGGCGAAGTCCCAGCACCTCTGCCGACTGGACGTCGTCCAGGTTCGAGTCTGTCATGTTTATTGGGGTCCGCAATGTAGCTAGAAAAAATTCTCGGCTATTCTTCCTGTGGTCTTTAACATGTAATACAACTGTCACACAATAACACAAGGTAATAACGCAGACTTGAAGTTGTCCAGGTTCGATTCTGTCATGTTTAATGCTAGAGAGGTTTGGATTAGCTGCTTTGATTTTCATTTTATTAGAATGCACAATTTAGCTTGGCAACATCCTCAGCCATTCTTCCTGTGGCCCTTATTAACATGTAATACATCAAAACAAAATAACAACCGTCACACAATAACACAGGGTAATCACACAGACTTAACATAAATGGTATACATTAACAAATTCATGCAACAACTGTCCTGTTCAGTGGTGGAGGAATCTTTTCTTCTCGGCATTTGTCTTCTGTTGACCTTACCGATGATATAAAGAAGTTTACAAGCCGTTCTGTTGCCCAGAGCCCCGTGCCTCGGCGTCTGAAGTGCCGGTACGTGCGGGACAGCCCCCATCTGTACATCAGTCCGGCCAGGGTGGAGGTTCTGCACAGGAGGAACCCTCAGATACTTATGTACCATGACGTCATCACGCAGAAGGAGGCCAAAAAGTTCAGGACTGTCGCATTTCCCAGGGTGATTCTGTCTTTGTTATGTTTTGTTTTCTGTGTACTGCTCCGGGGAAAAATTCCCTGAGAAAGCAATGGTTGGTTGGCTGGCTGGCAGTCTGGCTGGCTGGCTGGCTGGATGGTTGGATGGATGGATGGATGGATGGATGGATGGATGGATGGATGGATGGATGGATGGATGGATGGATGGATGGATGGATGGCTGGCTGGATGGATGGTTACATAACGTTTTTGTAAATTCCCAATTGACATAAACATGTTTTATAACAGTTTAAAAGATCGACGAGCATGGATGATCAGGGTCTAGTCTACATCGACAAATACGCAGTCAGTGAAAAGTAAGTAAACTTGTAAAAACAATATTTTCAGTAATATCACGCTGAAATTTTATATAGCGTTGGCATATAAATGTTTATGGTTGAAGCTTTGACAACACAATGCATTATATTGAGTTATGCGCGTCTGGACTTTGATGTAATATTTCAACGTCGACTTGGTGGCGTTTTACTCAGTAAGGCTACTTATTTATCTGATCATTCCGCACCACCAGGGGAGTCATCACTGACGCTGAGGAACCGTTTATCGCGAAGATGAGCCGCAGAGTTGGTCAGCTGACCGGGCTGTCCACGGAACTGCCGCATGCAGAACCGATCATGGTCAGGCATTTCTGATTTTTTTTTCTTAAACTTTAAACCTTTATTGTTTAATCAACTTTGTAGTCATCAAGACTAAATTGCGCTGATTTTACAATACACTTATAGAAGAACAATTCATTTAAAAGATCATCAGCGTTTAAACGATAAAGCATTATACAGAAATATAAAAATCTGTCCACAGAAACAACAACAATATCAATTTTTCATTCGTTCACATATACTTTATTACGGAAGCATCGTTCACTGCATTCAAGTGCGTCGTTTTTTCCTCCATAATTTGCTACGGTATGGCAGCTCAGCTACAACTGTCAACTAGAGCTAAAAAGTGTATCGTCTAAAATCAGAGTCCATGACCGCCACATGTCATCAAATTGTGTACATACGTTTAAATATGCGGTGTTGTTCTTAGGTCCTGAATTATGGTCTCGGAGGCGCCATTCAACATCACCTGGACTACTTCGCGGTAAGGCTCAGTGTGTTTGTGTTGTAATATATCTAAGGAAGTGACGTTACAACTTACAACCTACGACTTTGCATGTTTGAGTGACATTGTTTAGTAGAGTCCAGGTCAATGATGTGCTTTTCTCTTCTCTCGTACTGATGAATATTTATGTTTACCGAAGGAAAACATATTGTTTTTGCTCAGTTTCCTCTTCTTCTTCTCTAAACACTAACCTCTGACCTGGCCAATGATCTGATTTGTTGACGTCTGTCACCATGGCAACTGGTGTTGGGTTACATAATGTTGCAATCTTATAGTAGGAGGGATTTGTCTGACCATATATACGAATGTATTTGAGTAAGAATTAACAGAGCAGACCATACATGTATGCGAAGGTAAACAAATATATTCTTTCCCACAGGAAGTCTACCATCGCTACACAGCCATAGATGGGAACAGGATGATGACCTTCTTAACCTACGTAAGTCAGGATATCTGACATTTCTCTGACCAATAGGACACCGTTTACCCCTTCAAATGACCGATATTGAGGGAAAAGCCCAGTAAGCTGTAAGAAAGTAAAAAAAGGCAAGGAAAAGTTACGAAGCTGTTATTGGTGTTATTAAGTTGTATGTTTTGTTCTAATCTGCCTGTTGCAGTGAGTACTTTGCTAGCAAACATATCCTCATGTACTGCATTGGTCGAAAGTGTTGTTCCAAAGATGTCCGTTTCTTTCCCGTTTCAGTTAAATGAAGTAGAAGCAGGCGGTGCCATAGTCTTCCCTGAGATAGATCTCATCACTCCCGCTGTGCAGGTATTATTTTGTTGTTGTTGTTGTTGTTTACAAATATTGCACAAATATTGCTTTACATATTTGAAACATTACATACACTGCACCTGTAAATTATTTGGCTCCAGTGTTTGCTTCCTTCGTATGTACTTGCTCAAAAAGTATTGCTAGTCTATATTTTCTTTAAGTCAACAATTCTGATGGAGGCAATGATGCAACAGTACCGACGATGTTTGATTTCCAGAACGCGGCCCTGCTGGTCCAGAACCTGAAGAAGTCTGGAGACTACGAGCCGCTGTCCCTTCACGCGGGGTGTCCGGTCCTCATGGGCTCCAAGTGGAGTAAGTCTTTTTTTTTTATTACAACATGCAATCACAAGACGTGGTGACGGCACACTCAAGTTTTTTTCCAACTTATATTAATGCCGCCACCAACACAGGGGACAATACAATACTCATTTTCACCTGAGTGAAGTGAGGAAAGTCGTGTAAAGTGCCTTTCCCAAGGGCACAAGATCAGTGGCATATCAGGACTCGAACCCGGGACCTCTTGGTTCCTAGTCGAGCACTCACACGACTCCATTCTCAACTGTTCTTCTGTCATGTGTCTTCAGTTAAAACATCTGTTCCAACACAAAGAATTGTTCTCTCCTAGAACTTTCGTGCATTCACTCTGGTCTTCTTCAGTAGACTGACCCAGCGAGACTTGTCAGATGTCTTTTCTGAAGTGTGACGTCATCCCTGGAACAAACGTTCTAACGTTAAACATCTAACTACGAAATCAGATGAACTTTCATGGCAGTGTTTTCAGCTAGTCCTAATCTATTCCGTTAGTGATAAGTTCTAACAAGAGTTGTGGTAAAGATGATTTTAGATCTGTGAGAGGTTATTTATTGGACTGTCATTAACAGCCTATGCTATATCTGCCTTACTACATGTATCTTACATACTATCCGTTTATTTATCTATTTATTTTTTGCACAGCGGCTGTCAAGTGGATACGGGAGTATGGGAACGAGTTCAAGAGGCCTTGTAGTCTCTCACCAGACGAGTGATAGTCTCGCAGAGATGTTATGATTACTATCTCTACATTCATTTTTCATCACGCCTTATATGTGTGCCTTTTTTGCACGATTTATCTACTTAAAATAAGTACTTGGACCATTGTCATTATGCTACTAATATCTCATTTTCAATTTGTTTAGGAATTTTGAATTAGTATTCTGTGCCATTCTTCTGACCTTGGTCGATGGCAACAGTCTACAGATTGTGAAATATGAGAATATCGGTGATTAGTACATCTCCGGAAAATAAATATTCTTCGGGACTTGAAGCAGTCGTTGTGATTTACCTGCGTACTTGAGTTGTTTTTGTTGTTTTATTTGTTTGACTGAGTACCTGTACATGCCGTTACTAGTCAACTAACTTTGACATGGCCTGGATGCCAGCTGTAGTAGCAACTATGGCAGGGGAACTTGCAGGAGGTCTCTAGGGTTTATCGTGAAGCCAGTGTAAAGACACAATGGTCCAGTAGGTTTACATTGATAGGTGCAGCAGCCGGATGCACCGCCTTAGGCGAAATGAAGTGAAAAAGCCAATGGTCTGAGAGAGAGAGGGAGAGAGAGAAGAGTGTGTGTTCGTCCGTGTGTGTGTGTGTGTGTGTGTGTGTGTGTGTGTGTGTGTGTGTGTGTGTGTGTTCGTGCGTGTGTGTGTGTTTGTGCGTGTGTGTGAGTCTCTGTGTGTGTGTGTCAAATTTCCAATATGGTATCCAGAAGCTAAACCCACCATGATAAAACTGGCATTACTTCATTACTTTCTTACTCACACACGTACGCTACCCTACTGTGCTTTTCATCGACTTTCCTCTTTACTTACCTCCCTGTAAATCATTCCAATCCAGCCGTTCCAAAATCACTGCAATTATGGCTGGTTTAGCTAGGACCGACAAAAATAGCGACCTGTTTTGTAACCGGATTCATTTTATAGTCAACCCAAAACAACAGGACTCATAATAAGAATCACCATGATCAGTTTGCGTGGTATTTCCCAACATATAAACAGGATGCTTTAGTACAAGGCAGGTGTTGGGAGGACACTATCCAATGACATCTCTCTGTAAATTTTACTTCACCTTTTTACCCAACACTTAGGAGCTCCTCTAGTCTCCTATAGCTAGTAAGATCACAAAGAGATCGCCATGCAGTACTATCTATGCTGCCTGTTAGTGTTGTTGGCCTTGTTGGCAACCTGTGACGCGGATTTTTATTCCGCCACGTTTCGTCTGGAGAACCTGGCGAAGGTTGAACAGCGGATGGTGGAGTCGTCTCGACGGTACATCCAACAGGGAGGGGAGGTGCCCTCCGCGCTGCAGAGGTAACTGTTCGGACTTCAGTGTCAAACGTATTCTCTATTATATCCATTGTACAGATTAGCGCAAACGTATTATAGTGATGACCACACTACAGTTAACATTACAGGTAAATTTTCATCTAGTTAACATAGACTACTTTTACGTTTAGATGTCGTTGTTTTGTTCATAAAAAAGACTTGTTGCTGAAAGAGGCCAGTGGGTGAGCAGTTAGATATAATGTAGGCTGCATGGGTTGAAAACTTATCATATAGTGTAGGCCATTTTGTTAATGTTCTGCATGTGTGTGTTTATGGTCTATACAAATGTCCAATAGACGTTTGTCACGATTTATCCACTCAATAAAGGTTGAATAATACAGATTTCAGGTTTGTATTGATAAGAATTGTGTCGTTTTCAGCATCTGTGACAGCAACTGGGCAAAAATATGCAATAAACATTTTTATTCATCCACTCAATAAAGGTTCAATAATAAAGGTTTGTATTTAGAAAATCGTGTGGTTTTCAGTCTGTGTGACAGCATGTCACATCCGGGATACGGCGCCCCTGGCCGGATGGTCCACAGTCCTGTGGGGGCGTACCTGCTGCTGAGGAGGTTTCACCGCGACTGGGCGGACATCATGGAGGAACTACCCAACCATGCAGACGGTACGGCTCTCATTAGCTGACAACTTCAGTATTCATTTATTCATTTCAAATCTCCACATACATGGAAGGCATTGTGAAACAGGTGAACCTAAGTATACCTTTTCAAGGTCACCATGCCGACAGATAAATAGACAGGGTCATACAAATGTATAGAAATACAATACAGTGGTATCTGCATGTCATTATAATATAAAACACAATATTGAGTAGACTTAGGTTTTGAAAACTGTGAGATGTGTCACTGATGTTTCAAGTAGCATCTACTTTTCAGTCACTGACGAAAATTAGTGGATGCTACTTGAAACGCCTGAAAGTTTCCAAAATCTATCCAGTTTCTTGAGTAACAATTTCCTTGTGTTTATACATTGTACTATCTTATTACAAATGTAATGCAAATATGAGTTCAATATTTTCCAGTGTTCGGTCAAGCCGAGTTGGAACATTCCTTCCCGTCCGCTGCTGATCTAGAAGGGTCTGCGCTTGCGCTACTGAGGCTTCAGGGCGTCTACAACTTGGACTTGCGGAGCCTGACGGAGGGAGAAGTCGTCATGAACTGTGAGAGGAGTCAAACATCTACAGACGACTCGGAAAGGTGTCAACCCGTCAACCTGTCACGCCTTACGGGGCAGCTCACATCGCTACCGCTAGGTGTCTCTGATGTCTTCTACATCGGCAACGTGGCCCACAAGCGGGGCGAGTTTTACTACTCCGCGATTTGGTTCAACTTGACCCTGACTCTGGTGACGCAAAGAACTCCATCTGAAGGTGATCCTGAATTGCTACAAGTACTGGAAGCTCTCGGCGATTCCTACAGTGAGGTGAGAACTCCCTGTTCTTCCGAAGAGGATCTAAAACAATTTGTCCTGGTCAGGAATGTTGTGACGTCCCTATTTTCACAGAAAGACAGTATCATCTTGAATTCCTTCCCGAATTACATGAAATATTGCTTTCCTAAAGCTAAGATGATTATCATCCCTTTGCAGCTTCAGAAATACCAGCAAGCTTTGGCGTTCTACAAAAAGGCACTTGATTTAGGTAAGTCACATTCCGAGCTTCAAAAAACAAACTTCAAAGCTTCGTAGTCTTATAGTGTGTCTGCATGTGACATCACATCCGACATGCTGGTCCACTGGTTGAACCTGGGAGAGTCAAACCTATAGAGTCGTATGTGTATCACGTCAAAAAAAATCAGTGACTCTAATAATATCAAAAGTCAAACTTACAAAGTTCAGCCAGCAAACACTATAATGTTGTTTTGCTTAGGACACGACGACCATAGTCGAAGGCTGAAGACCAAAGCCTTCAAAGCAGACGTGGCGAGGACTAAAGCGGATGAACAAGGACCTACGTCTCAGGAGTTGGTGCGACCGAGAAGTATCTACGATAATTATGAAGAACTGTGTCGGGCTGGGGTCTTACAGGTGTGCTATCTGTGTGCTCGTCTCAGTGGTAGTCTTTCTATGTTTACCTTCGCAGAAGGAAAACATATTGTTTTTGCTAAGTTTCTTCCTCTTCTTCGTCTTCTCCAAACCAGTAAGGTCGATGACCTGGACCAGACATCTGTCACCATGGTAACTGGGGTAATGTAGAAACACCCTGTGGCATTGGGTTACATTTTGTAGCTGGGCAGAGTTTGAGGGACTGCTCATCATATATTATATGTAATATATGAATGTGTTTGAGTTACAATAAACAGAGCAGAACATTATGCATTTGCTTATCCTTTTCCTTATTTATCCTTTTCTTATTTTCCTTAAGTTTCACCTCAAAAGCTGAAATGGAGTGTAGTCACGTAATACCAAACTGCATGTTATGGATTTTTACGTGTGTGTAGAGAGGAAGAGCGACCGTGGAGTCAGCAGCCCTGAGCTGCGCGCTGGTCCGCCCGTCTCCTGTGTTCTACCTCAGCCCGTTAAAACAGGAGGTGCTGCGGGACAAGGAACCACGGGTCGCGCTGTACTATGACGTCATCACCGACACGGAGGCTGGCGTCATGCGACAATTGGGGGTGTCCAAAGTAAAGACTAGCCTGGAATCCCTCCGTGAAGGCTGTGTCTCCGCTCCGTTCAGTGAAGGCGGAGCAGAGGAACGGAGCGGAGACACAGTACAGCGTTCACGGAGGGATTCCAGGCTAGGTAAAGGTCTGGTGACATTCGTACGTTTCTGTCATTCGTCGTTTTCCGTTTTCAGTGAGGCCATGAAGAATTCGAAGCCATCGTCCAAAAAAAGTCTACGACAAACTTTTCCGGTACAAGAATACTGAAATGTTGTACTAAACATTCATTATTGTCCCAGAGTGATCTCAGTGTACTACACCTAGTGTCTATGGCAAATATGGACCTTCAGTCTACAAACATGTTCCAATATTATTGAGTCGTCTGCTGTGAAAAGAGTTGTTGCAAGTTTCATACAACAGTGCACCTGATTGTCAAATATGTTCGACAGTTCAAAGTACATAATTAATTGCTTTTTCACAGTTCGAGAGATCCATGGTATTGCCAAGCTCCGGGGAAAGAAAGGTTTCAGAGCACCGAGTGAGCGAAACGTAGGACTTGTTTTCTGTCTGCTTGTCTCATTTATGATATCATAACAATTAATGACAAATTGAAAGAATCTTATATACTGTTTTACTTAGTATAGTGTAAGTGACAAACATTCATGTCTCCATCCTCACAGTGGATGGCTTCCCGACGAGGAAGACCCTGTCGTTGCAAAGTTGTCCCGCAGGGTGGCGCACATTACAGGTCTGAACACCACATTCCCGACAGGGGACAACTTCCAGGTATTAAAGGTTAGGGTTTTCATGAAGGAAATGGGCGTAGAAAATATGTCATGAAGGATGGTTTTCAAAAGTGTAAAATAGGAGAAACCGTTACAAACGAAAGTGTTAAAAAATCGTGCATGTTCCGAAATGTTAAAGCTGTCGGTAAATTGGTGAAATACATGGATAAGTGATATGATGAGACATTTACTGAATATTATTGTTTCTAGTTTTTTTGTTACATTTTTATTTCCACAGGTGCTCAACTATGGACTAGGTGGACAGTACGAGCCACATTATGACCATCTTGACGTAAATAGTAGCAGTAACTTTTGTTATTCCGATTGACTATCATTTATTGATGTGTATGTACGTAGATCGTTTCATTGATGATCAAGTTTGTTTACCCAATTAATAGGCAAATAACCAAATACTTAAATTTTGTTCGAATATTTTCAGGATGAAGTTTCTCGAACACTGGTGCAGGCAAACCGGATCCTCACATTTTTATTCTACGTATGTAAATTTTCACCTGTATATACCGACGTCATCTAATGTACCACACATTGCTTGATATTTCTTTAGAACAAATATTAGTGATTGAGAATCAATAAACATGGAATCAAATTCTTGTGCATGTTAACAAATTTTATCATCCATCATTTGAAATTACTGACAAAAATATTGCTTTCTACCACGACAGTTGAGTGAGGTTGATGCTGGCGGTGCGACCGTTTTTACAGTGGCAAACATAGCTGTTCCAGTAGTCAAAGTAAGTAAGACAATACGAATCCCGATTACGGTAGGTGTAAATATGCATGCATGTAAAAAAAATTTCACAAGTCATAACTGTTTTACAGAACATCGCTTGATGTCATACTGTTGCAGTGGAAATGCTCCATAAACATAATATGTCTTTTTAACACACTCCCCTCCCTTCACTGAACACCAGAACAGTGCGGTGATGTTTGAGAACACTAACAAGGCGCTGGTTCGGTCCGGAGGTTCTGTCCATGCGGGCTGCCCTGTTCTCATTGGGTCCAAATGGGGTAAGTAAGATACTGGGATATTTGTACATCGTACTTCAGTATTCTACTTCTTTCATGGATTTAAAAGTTTCATATGTTCTATGCCATCTGCTTTTCTTCATCTTTTGCAATACCCAACTTACTAAGCATATAGCTTTGCTTTTTATCAAATCTATTCCAGACATATGAATGTTATATTTTGGTGTATGTTTCTAGTCGATTGTTTCTTGTACTTTTTGTTGTTTCTTGTACTAGTTGATTATTTCTTGTACTTTTTTTCTTCTCAGTGACGAACAAATGGATACACGAGGTTGGCAATGAACTTCAGCGTCCTTGTGGTCTCACTCCGGAGGAATGATTCTTTCTGTGATTTTTAAAAGCAATGAGAAATAAACAGGCATTCCTTATCGTTCAGTTTTATTTCATGTTGGAAAATAATGCATATTTTCGACAAAGCACACACCTTGTACCAAGCTGAAGTGAATACAATATGAATAAATTACATAGAAATAAACTATCATAAATTATGTTGGATGACCGATGAAAATAAGCTGTTCTTATCACAGCAACAGCTGCGACGCAATACATGTATGGAATTCTAGATATGAATATGGACATACTTTCATTTCCATAGAAAGATAGTATACTAGACTTTTCAAACTAAAAGTTTTAATAAGCAAACGTTCGGGTGTTGTTCCGACACCCTTCATCAGTACAGGTTTGTTTGAATGTTTGAATATTTCCATAGTACGCCTAAAGGTTTATTTATCATGCCCCTTTGATGGTTCATGTATTGCTTTCATTACATATCTCATAGATGTTATATAGATCTGTATTCATACTGCACCGATCGCCCACATCACACCTACGGCACAAGGCTGTCTGGTGAAGTAGCGACGGGAGAGGTAGTCGTGCGTCCCCCATAGATAGCCTTCATCATCCTCAGTGACTCTTCCTTGTAGCTGATGGATTTTGCCTGGTCGCCGATGTGGCCCCAAGATAGCCCTAGGTTGTCCAGTGCTGCTACGATGTCGGGATGCGCGGTGTTCTCGCCGTAGATTCTCTTCATCATCTTCAGCGACTCCTCGAAGTAGCTGGCGGCTCTTCTCTGATCGCCGAGTTGGCACCAGGCTGTCCCCAGGTTGTTAGTGAGCCTCGCTGTGTCGGGATGTGGGTCCTCTCCGTACATAGCTTGCCTCATGTTGAGTGACATTTCCATGTAGCTGATCGCTTTGCTCTGGTTGCCAAGTTTACCCCAGGCTGACCCTAGGTTGTTGAGTATCGCGGCCATGTCGGGACGTAAAGCATTAGATCCATGCAGATTGTAAAGCATGGCCAGGGCCTGTTCATAGTAGCCTGCCGCTTTCCCGTAGTCACCGAGTTTAGTACACGTGGACCCCAGGTAATTAAGAATCTCAGCAATTCCAGAGTGAGCAGTGATCTCTCCTTTGATACGTTTCGTCATTTCTAGGAACTGTTCAAAGCAGGTAACTGCCCTCCTGTCATCGCCAAGTTTGCTCCACGACAGACCCAGGTCGCAAAGTAATGTAGCAGTTTCCCGTGCCGAACTTTCCCCGCACAGACGTTGTCTCATCTTCAATGCATCCTCGTAGTATTTCACCGCTTTCTCGTGATCACCAAGTTTCGTCCAGAACTTCCCCATGTTGCCGAGTGCCATCGCAATACCAGGATGAGCCATCTTTTCTCCTTCAACAGTTCTGATCATCGCTAATAACATCTCAGAGTAGTTCATCGCTTTTCTCTGATCGCCACGTTTAATCCAGGAAGATGCCAGGTTGCAGAGTGAGTAGGCAACATCCGGATGCGGTGTGTTTTCTCCATGGATAGCTTCTTGCATCTGCAGGGCTTGCTCATAGTATTCGGTCGCTATTGGGTGATCACCAAGTTCAGTGCAGGCTTTTCCCAGGTTACTGAGGGCCTTGGCAATTTCGGGATTGACCGTGTCTTCTCCACAAAGAGCTCGAATCATTTTGCAATGACATTTCGTAGAAAGCGATAGCTTTTCTCTGGTCGCCATGTTTGCTCCAGGTTGCCCCCAAGCTGTTCAATGACGCGGCTATGTCAGGGTGTGCTACCGTTTTGTAGATAGCTCTACGCATATGCAGTGATTGTTCCTGGTACATTATTGCCTCCAAAGGATGGCCGATTTCACTACATTGGAGCCCCAGGTGGTAGAGTGCTTCTGCAATGTGCGGATGCTGCGCATCATCACCATATAGAGCTTTCAAAACTTTCAGTGCAAGTTCATAGCATTCGATGGCTTTGTTCCGTTCGCCATGTTGTCCCCAGCACAATCCTAGGTTACTAAATGCCGTGGCAATGTCCTGGTGTGGCCTGTTTCTCCCATGAATGTTTTGCAGTATTTTCAGTGCCTGCTCATGGAAGGAGATAGCTTTCCTTTGGTCCCCGAGTTTGCTCCATGATGACCCCAGGTTGCCAAGTACCGCTGCAACCTGGGGCTGACGCGTGTTGTCCGTGTGTAACATTCCCAGTAGATGCTCGTAATAACCGATAGCTTTGGTCTGATCGCCGATTTTACTCCTAGTATAGACCAAGGCTGCCAAGTGACGCGGAAATGTCAGGATGCACCGTACTGTCTCCATATATGGTCTTCTTCATCTTCAGAGATTGTTCTTCGCAGCTTATTGCATTTCTGTAATTGCCGACTTTGCTCCAAGTAGATGCCAGGTCGCTGAGTGTGGCGGCAGTCTGAGGATGGGCCACGTTGTCTCCGATGACAATCTCCATTATTCGTAACGACTCCTCATAGTGGCTAATCGCTTGGTTGTGATTGCCGAGTTGACAGCATATTGATGCCAGTTTACTCAGGCAAACGGCACTGTCCAGGCGTTTAGTGCCAGTGGGCAAGGCTCTCCCCATGTCAAGTGATCGCTCAAAATAGCTGATAGCTTTTGTTTGTTCTCCCAACTCATTGCAACATAGCCCCACCTGCCCGAGAAGCCTGGCGACGTCAGCATTGTTCGTTTGGTATCCATAAATGGCTTGTAATATCAGTATAGAATGCTCATAGTACGTCCGTGCTTTACTGTGAAGTCCAGCATTAAAACAGGACGATCCAATGTCTGATAGTGACATGGCAATATCATGACGGGGTTCGATATTTCCAAAGATACACATTCGCGTCAATGCGCCGTGTCCTCTGATAGTCTGCTCTTTGTTTTCCTCTACAAGCATGTCCCAGGTCACTCCAAAGTTAATCAAAGGCGCGGTGACGTTGACATGTGCTGTATGTTCCCCACAAACAGCTTTCATCATTGCAGCGGATTCCGCGAAGAACTGGGCTGCTTTCCTGAGATTGCCGAGTCCTTTGAAACTCATGGCAAGGTTGTTCAATGCTCCAGCAATGGCAGGATGTTGTTCAGTGTTCCATTTGTGGATGTCTCTCGTCATCTCTAGGCACTGTTCAAAATAACACAGTGCTTTCTTTTTGTCACCGACCTGCCACAACAACACTCCTAGATCGTTGAGCAACGCTGCAGTGTCAGGGTGCGGCTTGTCCCCGTGGATATCCTTCCTCATGCTCAGAGCTTTAGCTTTGTACTGGATCGCTTTCGTGCGGTCGCCAAGTTTACTCCATACTGAGCCCAGGTTGCTGAGAGATGAAGCAATGTCGGGATGTGTAGCTGTTGCACCGTGTATGGTTTTCCTCATTTTTAGTGATTGTTCGAAATATGCCATCGCTTTCTCATGATCACTGCCGCCAGCATGTGGTGCACTATCAAGCTGTAGGGTATGGTATGCACCCCCAAGACAGGACGGTGGTGTTGTGCCGGCTCCGTAGATCCTCCTTATGACTTCCGGCAAGCGTTGGTTGTTCTGCATCGCCTTTTCCTGTTCGCCGAGTTTACACCACGACACTCCCAGATTATTGAGCAAGGCTGCGATGTCAGGATGCGCCGTCTTTTCGCCACACAGAAACGTCATCATGGTCAGTGACTTCGAGAGGTGTTTGATCGCCTCCAGGTAGTTACCCTGCAGACTCCACAGAGACCCCAGTTTTCTGTGTAAAGCGACGATAGTCAGATGTGACGTGTCACCTTTCAGTGCCAAGTTCATCTCCAGGGACCGCTCAACGTAGCAGATTGCCTTGATATAATCACCGATTTTGTTCCAGCACGATCCCAAGCTGTTGAGACCACGGACAATCTCCTCGTGCGGTTTCTCCTTATGGACGGTTCGGAGCACTTTGATTGACTGCTCGAAGTAGCGGATGCCTTTAACGAGATCACCAAGTCTACAGCAGCTTGAGCCCAGCTCGTGAAGGAGCGCAGCAATGTCGGGATGTGCCGTGTTGTCCCCGTGGAGGACCTGTTTCATCCTCAGCGACTCTTTCTTGTACATCATGGATTTCTTGTGATCGCCACGTTTACCCCAGACTACTCCAAGGTTGAAGAGGCAAGCTGCAATGCTGGCATGTATCACGTTGGTCTTATGGACAGATTTCAGTACCACAAGGCACTGCTCAAAGAAACTGGTGGCTTTGCTCTCATCGCCGAGTTTCCACCAAGACAGTGCTATGTTGTTCAATAGTGCTGCAGTCTGTGTGTGTACAATGTCCTTTCCACGAATCTCCATTGCCTGCTCATAGAATTTGATAGCCTGTTTATCGTCACCCTGTTCACTCCACGACAAACCAAGGTTGTTCAGTATGTTGGCAATATGACGTTGGGCAATGACACGGTTTTCGACGCTTGTATTGCTGATCCACTTCCATAAGGAGAGTGATTTGTCATAGAGAATGATGGCTTCCTTCAAATCACCACACTGTTTCCGAGTAGCGGCCAGCTCAGCGATTGATATTGCCTGTTCTTGGCTCTGAATGTACGTTACTCTCAGCACTGACTCAGACTCATTTACAGAAGTACTTAAAAGGTACAGGTCTCGGGCCAGTTCAGCCCGGCACGAGGAAGAAGAATCGAATATAGCTGTTCTCAACAAAGGTCCCTTCTTAACAGGCCCGGTGTCTTCTAAGATGTCGAGGACACATCTTTTTAGCGGAATGGCGGTGAAGTAATACCTGAAGAGCATTTTGGGGTGGGGAATGTGGAATGTTGACCTGAGCACGGTCCCGTATGTCTCCTGTTCTTTCGTTTGACGTGGCAATGCTAGGAGCTCACTCGGGGATTCGTTTCGTCCTCCGCTTGTCGCGTGTTCTCTCATCTGTATCTCGGCCGAGATGCTGGTCATTACTGTCAGGTGGTTCGCGTCAGCGTCACTGATATGGTGTTGTTTCTTCAATTCCTCTATCACTGTCCACGTACTTGATGAGGATATGTCACAAACTAGACCCAGAGCCTCAATGACCGTACTAGGAAAGCGATAGATGTCCTTCTTGAGGTTCAGAAGACGTGCTTTGTCCAAACTAGTGTCGATTTGGTGAATCTCATCCGGCGACGACAGCCTCCCGAGCAGTCTGGCTTGGCGTTCACATGGCTCGGGTGTACTCTTCAGTCTGTTGACGTACTCATCCACCAAATCCTGCCCTCCTGCCAAGTATGCTACTCTTCTCAGGACGTCTGAGAGGCAATGTCCTTCCCGAACTAAGACACAGCGATGTTGTAGTTCGGCCATGTTTGTAGGTGTCAGGATGAGACAACCAAGTGGGCTGGTGTCTGTGTCGTTTGTGATGGTGACTGGAGGGTTCTTGGTTAGATAGCCGTCGAAGGCAAATCCAGGAGGTGTTACAAAGTCTAGAAACCAGTTCTTGGTTGGATCTTCATTCCGGTAGTCGTTTAGACTGGTGATAGCCAGCGATGGGAGAGTGGTTTCCCCCAGATTGATAACCTTAAGGTGTAGATACCACGACAACTTACGAAAGTACCACTGTGTATCATGATGGTCCTTCCCTTCCTCAATTAGAATGGCGAAGTCTAGTTCAGAATATAGCGTGGCAAGTTCTGCCGCTTGGGACCCCACGGCAATGAGGGCGTACCTGCAGGGAGGAGGGCCGAGTTCTGTGATGCACTCCTCGACGAGCACTTGAAGAAGCCTCTGCCTGTCTCTGGCAACGGTCTTGAACAGATCCCTGATCGCGTTAGCTCGTAGTGTCTCCACTTCTCTCGCAGCTGGATCGTCCTCGTGGTACTGGTACGGATTGTACTCCTTGTGAATGGCGTCCAACTGGTGCATCATATGGCGTCGCATGTCGTCCAACTCCTTCTTATGATCTATGACGACATGATGCCAGGTCGGCTCCAGACCTATGTTTGCCGTGTGTGAGAGAAACAGTGGCTCTACCTCATTCCGAACTCTCAGTAAGTTTTGTTTGGATTCTTCGTCCTCCGTTCTAGCCAGGGCTGCATTGTACAAAGCCGCCGATTGGTTGAAGACTCCTCCGTTCTTTGTCCGTTTGCCTCGTTCTTTGTACACGTCACCGAGCCTTTGTAGACAGTGGGCCTCTGCGTGAAGCACAGGTTTACTTGGTTCTGAGGGTACAAGTGTGGCAAAGGAAAAACGTTTGGACCACGTTGGCTACAGCTGTTGTCAACAGCAGCACAATAGATGCACCGTATGAGAGTCTTTTTGGTAAACGAAAATGTAAGGTTTTAGCTAAATCTATTAATCTAAAGTTACAAGCATATTAATGTAGGAACAGTATTTTCCTCATGTTAATGTGTATCACGGGCCTACCGTGAATAAGCCGTAGCGCTGCCGCAAAGTTCGTCTCTGCCGAGTTCAGGTCGCCATTCTCCAGAGCACGGTTGCCGAGATTCAGATACTCTTCGTACGGTCTGAAAAATGTACAACTCATTGGGGTGCCAATTGAAAATGAAACAAATAAATAACTTAAAATGTGGCAGCAAAAACTGGTAACAATCGCCAATTTGAAATTATTATATGCAGAAAACTCTGTCCTCAACATCACGCTACTTGATATAGTGTAGAAATAAGCATATGTGATTGCATGGCGAAGTTTTAAATACAATTTTGTGTGCATGAGAAGTGCTTTTGAGGTGATTACCTTTCCTTAAAAGCAGCCCTATTTGATGGCGTTGCTTGCATGGAGGAGTTTTGGACCCTATAATGGCATACACAAAAACATCGTCATTGAATAACATCGCTGTACTGCACACAGTCTTAAATATCGGCTATTTCCGGTCTAATCTTACATAATACAAGCGTTCATGATGTGACCATGCCAAATTTTTAATCATCTGATCGTCTTTATTCTTAAAAACGACCTGAAATATGAAAGAGTGTTACCAACCTGTCGTCTGCAGGAATCGGATCGATGATATTAAAAAAGCCTTCAAATGCCATCACGGTAGAAGAGGCAGACCTAAAGAAGACATGAAAGGGGCTTGTTACAAACAATGTGATACAGACTCTATCGTATACTGTGACAGCGTGAGTCAATTATGAAGGAAGAAATTTGGAACTTTGGAAGAATTTCACTTACATTTCGCCTGCAGGTGGTTGCCCCTTGTCCGTTACTTCAGCTGTTCCGTCCAGATTTCCACCCCTATAATGTGAAAAGATGCAAGTGAGAAAAATTGGCACAGTCACATGGACCATTAAATTGGTAGAATCTTGATAACTTCAAATAAAAAGATCATATATTCATAAATTTAGCTCCACGTTCCATTTTATGACCTTGTTGGCATGGTGGCGTTGAGAAGGTGTCCTAACATGAACACATATTCCACCATGCCGCTGTATTGTATGTGGAAAATCATCATAAATGAATAAATGTTGCACAATGTTGTTTGATACGTAAAGAAAGATGGTCCTATGGGTACCTACATCTGTGACGTGTCGTTCATAGTAGTCACATCCATATCCTCGTCTATGAAAAGTTCTCCAGATGAATCCAGAGTGACAGAGCTGAGGAGAGACGGTAGGCGGTGGTCACAACATACGGTCTGCTCTGAGTTGTAGCTGTGCTGACTTTTATCTTCGAGGTGTAATACTTCATACACAACCATCCAACCAACCAACCAACCAACCAACCAACCAACCAACCAACCAACCAACCAACCAACCAACCAGCCAACCAACCAACCAACCAACCAAGGAAGGTTAAATCTTTCATCAAAGATTTTAAACCTCCTTGTATACCAACGAAGCATTTTTCATGTGACTCAGTGTGTCAGTATGTACTTTCTAGTAATATGCCGCATTTTAAGAACTCATTTGGAAGCAATCAAAGATGGTGAATCTACCTGTCGTCTGAAACAATGCTGTTTACTTCTTCTGATAAACATTTTTCTCTGGACGAGTTTTTAGACCTGAAATGACGCATAGAAGAAAATATATATATATATATTATTTTTGATTTCTACAGACTCTCCCAGATTCAACCGACCAGATCAGAGGTATCAATCCTCACGCCTAGCTATTTTGCCGTACTCTCCAAGCAGAGGTTTGGGTTTTGGGTTATTTTTGGCGTGTTTTAAGGCTCTTTTTTATCAGTGTTTCTTTTTTGCACTGAGTTTGTTTTGTTCTGGGGGGTGGGGTGAAAAGCCCCCAAATAACCCAAAACCCAAACCTCTACTTGGAGAGTAATTCCAAGTTGCCGCCCACCGCAGACTTTACTGGAATCCGTCACTTACGAACAGTGTACACACCCTACTGTACCTACTGAATGAATACCCCCATTGTACTTAAGAAGTGGCAAGTCACCTTTGCAGTCTGCATGCTGTGCCTTCGGCGCCTTGTTCACCTTTGCCGAGCAGTGCCCGGGGCGTGTTGTCTCCCTGCCCTTTGTCTTCTCCCTTGTTTCGCCAAGTGGAAATATCTGATGAGTCATGGGTTAAACGTGTATTTTGCAGGTGTGCATTCTTATGTATGCACACCTATCCGTGGGTTGTGAATCAAGCATATTTACAGTAGCTATAGGTAGCTTACTTATTCTGTGGTGCTAATCATAACTACGTCGCACGGTCAAACTCAGAACCTATTGTCGACAAGGATGCAACATTTTGGTCACACGACCGATGAATTTTGTTTACACACCAACGACTGTCCCGAAATGCCCTCATGCATGTGTGGCCATAAACGTATGAATGGGCTGTTACCAAGATATCCGTCACCATTAACTGCGGCTGAAAAACAGATAAACAAGGGGAACAGAACTTGGTCCTTTTCCCAGTTTGTACTACGGCGTTGTTTATAAGCTTGGGACGTTTGGGATGACCGGCTTTGTGCACTTAATCGTAGCAAGTAAACAGTTTCAATACCTCCACAAACCTACTGCTCGGATGACCAAAATGCCACACGCCTAGGCGTCATCATAATTCTCGCAGTGAACTATATCGGTACGTTTGAATGGCCTGTCACACAAATCTCCGACAAATATAATGAAGCAAACTCTCATGATATCAACTATCCAACATAACATTGTGGTTGAAAATGGCCACAAATTACACAGGCGTACAATTAACTCGGTGCCCCCCTCCCAATATTGATCCTCTATCCTGTGTATACGGTGTGTTGTAAGCATGATACAATGGATGCTGTATTGACATGTACCTATACAGTTTACAGTGACCCTACTGTGTGGTCTTTCAAAGCTTTGGGGCGACTCCGGATCTGCTATTTCACTCAAAATACTGTAGAACGTCTAGCTGATATCTTATTATATCGGATCTTATCGGAGTGGCTTCCTGAAGCCTTCTGGACTTACTCTACCAAGGAGCGTTGCAAATTAATGTGTTCTCGCTGTGCTAAGTTGACAGGGTATTATATAAAAAAAATTCTGTATGTCATTTCTTTTCTGTCGGTGGTTAACACAAGACTAGGCGACTGATCCACTCTAGTGGAAACTCGATCCACCGGGACGCTGTTGTGACTTAAAAGTGTCGTTCAGTCAGGTTAAAACAGTTTGGAAGTCAATATTTGGAATATATGAACTTGTTAAACAATGTAACGTTACAGGTAAACACTTCAACAGGTGACAATTGCTGAGTTAACAGTGCTCAAACAGGTGAAACCCCCACCCCCACATTCTCACTACATTATACGATATGTTACTATTTAAAACATATGGGTCACGCGTAGGTGTGAGAACAAATCGGCCTTCTAACTTAGTTCAGGTCAACTTATCTTATACAAGTGCTAGAAACCAACATGCTTTAGTGCTGGGCGAATGTTATGACAAGTTTAGGTTCGCAGGTGGCATTTTTGCAACAATGTGGTGCGGGGAAATCCGATTCTTGCAATGTTATGATTGGCGCCGCCCGTTGTTTAAGTACTACCCGTGACGGTAAATACAGGTATAGACCTTACCGTGGCCTTAGGGATTAACACAATGGATTAGTGTTCCCTATTTGTTTTCTTATGAATGGTCGAGAGAAAGAGAGACTTGATGAATTAGAGTGAGGTCATGGTGTGGTTTATCGGTCTTTTTAGCCTGCAAATGGACAGCATGAAAAGCTCATAATATACTGTTTATCACACATAGCTTACCTGGCCTGTGTCTCTCGGCATTTCGTCTGTAGGCTTTGGCGTTCTTCACTAAGGGATGAACCGCAACTAGTGTTCTTTTCTTGCGACGTCTGGTAGTGGAATTGGAAAGTAGTATTCATTACACGGAGTTCGTGTAAGTCTGCGGTAATGTCTCCAGTTTCAGAGTACACTCCTCAGGCAGTGTGTGTAGTCCTTTACTAGTGTACCTTTTATGTGCTGATTAAGCGTCCTTGGCGCTGTCCTCGGTGCATTTCGTTAGTTGTGTAAGCCTGGAGACTTCTGATCCCTCGCGGAAATGTGGAGGAGGAAGTTGAATTTTGTTGTTTACAGTTGCGCAGGTAGTGTTTAGATCAGGCACGAGGTCCAGCAGTGCACGACAGCGACAGGTCTCGGCACCTCACCGGTTCCCAACCCTCACAAGCTGTCTCCCTTCCCCCTCCGCGCGCAAAAGTCTCTCTGGGATTCCACGGGGGCGTAAACGTCTTAAATCCGCATATTTCGCCTCAGCATTGTTCTGATTATTACCAAATTAGGTGATGACTGATCTTCTGCAGGACTATAATCGCTTCTACGTCAGCCGCTGTAGCTAGGGAGGTTCCCGCGTCAATTGACGTCATCAGAACAATCCAGGATTGGCGCCCGTGGGCATTCTACCGAGCTGAGCGCTGGCTCTGTTTGTTGTTCAAAGCGACCCGTGCTGTTTTACCACTTCTCTCTGTTTTCAGTCACCTTGAAATGCCAGGCCAGGACATTTCGATGCCAGGGACAGATAAGCAGATAAGAATGACCTTTTCGGACGTTCTGTACATTTCAAGCGTTGTTGTTTAGACTGAGGACTATTAACCATGCATCTGCTTGGAGAAAAGTCGAACAAATTACAGGGTGAACCGTGAACGGCTGACTTGACTTATCCAAGGGCGGGCCTGGCATGTGAGGGGGCTTTGTGCAGACATGTCTTCTGAAATTTACACCCTTATTATATCAATTATCGTCCAAAGTAAGGCAAAGTTCGCCCCTGAAGGGCGGGACCAACCTTGGCTGATTGGCCCCGATTCATGAACTATGAAGCAGATGTTGTGTGGGCAGTTGTAAAAGTTTCTGAATGGCCTGTTTTTTTCTGACAGTCCTCTACTGCCCTAGTCTCCACCAGACTCTTTTGCACGCCGGCCAACTCCTCTTGCCAATCAATTCCCCGTTTAAAGCCGATTTTTACTATTTATTTATTTACTATTTATGCAAGGAGTCTGGTGGATACTACATGATCTACCCCGGGTGAGAGAGGCGTAAAAGTAGGGGAAAGAACTGTCAGAAATCTAAAATTGTCCACTCCAACATCTACTTGGAGATTACTCTCATTCTCCACAAAGTCATCTGGACCGTCCCTATTGGCGCGCCATCTCTGTCGCACACACGTGTTGTTAGTTTACACGTCGTTGCGACCCTTCCTCCTCCTGCGGTGATAGATTTTGGTTAACCCCGGGTTAATTTGGGATACGTGTCCAACTCCACGGTTCCCGAGCTGTGCTACACTACCACAGTACCCTTCCACCCAGCCTTCAGATGTTTGCCCGTGTCGTGTGAACCAGGCATGGAACTATGTTGTCCACGTGTACTGCTATAGTAGGTAAGTACAACACCTTGACCGTAACTTACGTCTATAACTTTGCGAGTCAGATGTAGTATTTACTTCGTGGAGAATCTTCCATGAATCCGTGCCAGACGAGGGGGGGGGCGTTTGTTTTGCCGTTGTAAAGATAAGAATAGTCTTGCTTGCCTGTTTAATTTATATCTTCCTTCAATCGCTGACTCCCCGACATAAGACTTCCCCATTTCTAGAGTTATCGCTTCCTCTGTTCGTTTCTCTTTGGATTTGTACGGAAGTAACGGAACACAACAACAAGAACATATGGGTCAGCAGGGACAGCACGACAAAGCCTACATGTTTATCCACAGGGTTTCCTACAGTTTAGTTAGACAGACCTCTCAGCGACTGCTTGGTAACGTATAGAACCATTTAACTTAAGTGATGCCTTTGAACTATAATGAAAATGAACTACCTTTACTCAAGACATGATCTGCGCGGCCTCTCAGTGTTCAGTCGTCTTTTATGTGCCCTTGAGTGGCCCCCTGCCCCACATGGAACTGATTACTTAGCGAAGACTGAGAAATCGGGATGGTAAAAAAAAGCCTCACCAACAAGGGACCATCCGTTATTCCAGAAATCTGCATATCAGAAGCACCCCCGCTGACTCTCATCAGTTTACAGTTTGTAGCCTCTTCCAGGCTTCCACCCTTTTCAGCCGCTTCCCGAAGCCAGGTAGAGGCTATCCAGTTCGCATGGTTTACCCAGTTTTATATATATAGCGACCACACTTATGTGACGCAGCTAGATTCAATATGACAATAATGCCTCGTTAAGAACTGACCTAGTTTTACGACCTTTTACGAGTACAAATGGTTTGAAGCATGGACTCTGGCCTGGTTTTAAGTTCGGTGAAGTTTGGACTGTGGGTTATCGATTATCTAGCTCCTAGCCCCCGTTAAAATCCCCTTTCCATTTTAATCCTTTTTAATCCAATTGTTTCCGCCAACTTATGAATTGCCCGATATCTTTTTTTACAGGTGGGTGCGCTGATTAATGTATTTAACGTTAGTCTTTATATGGTGAAAGATTAATAAGGGACGGACCATTAAGGAGTTTCGAGGGGGATAAATAATTTGCAAGTTTATTTTAGGTCACCTGGTCGAGCACTTGTTTCCTCTGTCGCCCGCGTGCGAAATTGAAGTTTTTTCTTGTGCCGATTCAATGCTATTTACTAGTACTGCACCCCCACCCCCCTACACGATCTTTCTTGGTTTGTTCCGTACACCAAGTAATATTGTGTCGTACCTTTCAAACATGTCCGTGCGTTTCTCCGTCTCTTCGGTAGTTCTTGCCGCCTCCTTTGTGGCGTTAGCGGCCGGGGACTACTTCTCCGCTACCGTCCACATGGAGAGTCTGGTACGGGTGGAGGAAGACATGGCTGCGGCCGTCAGAAATTACGTCAGACTGGGAGGGCTGGTGCCGCAAGAACTGCACAGGTACGAACAATATACTGTGTCTGTACAGTATTCAATACTGCCTTGTTTATATCAGAGAGCTTTAAATTCAAACTCTTTGTTCATATAGATAAGATAAAACCACTTCATTACATGTATTTGCTTTTTTAACGTGGGATCTGGTTAGTCGTAATAAACAATAAACAAACTGGACAAGTTTTCGGGTTTGTGGACATTCCTTGGCATGTGGACATTTTGCATATTTATTGGTCTCTCATATTTCAAATTGTCAAGTGAATACAACTCTTAGGTTGTGTCGTAGGAGAGTAAACTCTAGTTAATTACTACAGTGTGTATGGTTTTGTTTGTGTTTATAAACAAGTACAGATTAGTTTGTTCTCCAGTTTAATTTTAAATATTTGGCAACTTCGCGAGTGATTGCTAAATATTTCTGTGTGGACTGTAATACACAAATGATTTTTTTACCCAGTGAGGTTAGTGCTGAAAAGTGACTACGAAGAACAGCTAGCTAGGGATATGTTACCAGTATATGTTGCAATTGAACAAGAGTACGTTTTGATTTGATTTGTTGATGGTAAGGTTAGACTAACAAGTTTTAATGACTGCATTTTCTCCAAGGTTAGCAGAGGGCGCTGCATGGCTGTCAGACCCGACCCAGGTGAACCAGAACAGTCTCGTCCACAACCCGATCGGCGCCTACCTTCTCATCAAACGTCTGAACCAGGAGTGGGCCAACGCCATCAAAACTCTACCTCGGCCGCAAGAAGGTGATGCATATGTCCATGTAGACCTTGAGAGGAGGGCGTTGGTCGGTGTGCTTGCATAGATGGAAAACTGTTTTACATCCATTCTTTCATTCTGACGTACTGTGAAGTACTGTAGTTGTGCTGATCTTGTGTTGCGTTGGTTTTCCTTGATGCACCAGCACCTTGGTTGTAAAATAAGTGGCATGGGGTGACGCAACGAACATGTCACTGGTTGCATCGGATGAAAGTGTGTGGTCAAGTTTGATTAAGTGGAAAGAAAGAATAAAACGCTGTCCAATACTACTTGTAATTTTCTTTCGATTTCTAATATTCGACTTGTCTTTCCCCACTTCAATCAAGACACGGCAATTTTGTCATGATCAGTTTGTGTACGTGTTGGTTTGTTTGTCTTGTGATCTTGCCGTGAAACGTTTTCTGTTCCTTTTCTTCCCCGCAGTATTTGGTGACATGTATAACGAGTTGCGGCTCCCCAGTCTTGCCGATCTGGAGGGATGTGCGCTTGCGCTGATGAGGCTTCAGGACGTCTACAACCTGGACATGCGCAGAATCATCGACGGAGAAATCGTCATGCAGTGCCGCGCGAACGACACGGAGGCGTGCCGTGACGTCAACGTGTCCGAGATGAAAAACAGGACGTTACCGCTCAAGCTCAGTATTCTGGACGTCTTCTATTTCGGGATCGTTGCCCAGTCGCATAACGACTACTATCACGCCGCTCTGTGGTTGAACCAAACCTTGGCGATCATGAACGCAAACGAGTGCGACTTGTGCCCGGACAAGAGAGATGTTCTAGAGAGACTAGCAGATACGTATTCAAAGGTAAAAATGCCCCCTTTCGTTCCACAGTTTTCAATCACAATTCGTTGGTATTAAAAGTTATTTATAATTCAGAAGATGAGTGGAAATTTTAGTCAGTTTTGTAGAGAAACGTCTAATACTATTGTACTTTTGGAAGTTAAAATGTTATTGAAACTAATAACACTTTTACTTTGTTACAGCTTAGAAACCATCGCGGGGCCCTTGAACTGTTCTCAGAATCCTATAGAATAGGTAAGTAAGAAATAAAATACACAAAGACACATTTTTCATCGCATTCACAGCCATGCTTATTGACAGGCGGTTGTGTTGGAAAAAGTACGAATGCCAATTCATATTTTATCTGAACCATGCTGTCTTGTCTCTAGATCCCACCAACCCCTACTCTAAGTCGCGGATTGCTGACGAGGAGTACTACGCTAACCTACAAGGCAGCTACGTGTGGCAGTTACAGCGACCTGACGACTGGGAGGGCATCGAGAAGTACGAGGAACTCTGCCGGGCCGGGGTGCGACAGGTACGGGGGCTCTTTTGTTATCTTCTTATTGCTTTCGTCCATTACAAAGACCAAAAACATTAAGTTTTATTAGACAAATCTTACACGGAAATAATCTAAAGCTGCTTTAGATACACACTTGCGTTATCTTATAAGACTGTCACATCAACCAATACAGGTAGCGTTGTAGCATGGAAGACTGGTCGCCATGTTGGTGTTATTTCCGTGAATCGTGACTCAGGAGCACATGTACATTAGTGTCTTAGTGTCTTATCGACAAGCTTCTGAATATTCCACAGAATCTACTGGTGTTTGATATTTGGACACGTACAGAGTACAAGTGTGGAGAGATCTCCGAAAGGTCAAAAAACGTTTGAAGTCCGATCCAACTTTTAAATGCAGATGGGACACCAATATGGCGGCGGATGACGTCACGATAACGTTCTTTATCCAATCATCTTCCAGAATCGAGCCCCCCGTGCGTCTGTCAGCTGTCGGTACTTCCGCCCCAGCCCGTACTTCTACCTCGGCCCGATCAAGATGGAGGTCCTGCACGAGACCAATCCCGTCATCCACCTGTTCCATGACATCATCTCCGAAAGCGAGGCTGCCCGGATGCGGGAAATGGCCATTCCAAAGGTACCGTTTCTGTTTTAGCTCCATCTTCGGCACAAGTGACACTTCGAGCCAAATCAGTTAGAGTAGCACACGGTTGTGTTACTTATGACAACACCATCCTTTGTTTTCTAGTTCCAAAGATCGGTGGTGGTTGCAGACGATGGGGGAGATGCAGTCATATTAAACAGAGTCAGCGAAACGTGAGTGAATTCGAAGCAAATTAAGGCCATATGCCTCGAAAACAGTAAATTATTTTCGATGAGTCCGCTAACTGTATTTTCACGTGGCTAGAGAGGACCTTGAACTAGAGTGAGTAGTGTCAACACGTATTCCTAATGACGAAATCCGTGACAATGTATGACGACATATCTTTGTTGCACGTTTTAAACATACCCTTGTAGTGCCTGGCATTTTGACTATGACGACCCTGTAGTTGCGAGGCTGAGCCGCAGGGTGGACTACGCCACCGGCCTCAGTACGGAAGAGGGGACTGCTGAAGCTTTCCAGGTAACAGACTATTGTAACTTTAAACGTCATCAAATATGTAACTTTCTTAAGATAGATATGTATCGGCCACAATGCCATTCACAGTAACATTGATACGTTGAATTAAAGAAAACGTGAGAATTTTTCTTGTTTCTATAGGTTGTAAATTACGGGCTCGGAGGTCAATACGTCCCCCATACGGATTACTTTGAGGTACGTTGCATAATAAATCTTAAGGGTTTAAGTCTTAGAACAGCATGGATTTTCATATTTTCGCACCTACATCTGATTTGTTGTTTTTACTCTCCCATAAAACAGAAATGGCTTGTATTTGTGAACTTTTTTATCATGATATGGCGTTGTTGACTCGTACATACCAAATGTGGTGATATATCAAATGTGATTTGACTGATATATGCAATTTTTGCAGGGTGCTCATATTACACACCACATACACAACGGTAACAGAGTCGTCACCTTCCTGTTATATGTAAGTTCTGTACAGTTGACTCATTCATTTTTATACAGTGCTACATGCATGTATTAGAGATCTACATATGAAACCATTGTTGCACTAGTGCTAAAAGTACAAATGTCAAGACTCCAGTCAAAAACGACGCTTGGACATCATATGCCACGGTGCAATGCATTTTAAGTGTTAGACGGAGTAAAATAATGTTTTGTAAAACAGTAATAAAGGCTTCACGGAACACGTGTTTGGAAAAAAAACAAAAGCAGACTCCTGGTCGTAACGTTAAAGTTGATTTTTGTGTGTTTCCAGTTAAGTGATGTGGATGCCGGCGGGTCCACAGTTTTCCCCAATGTTGACATCGCCGTGCCAGTTATCAGGGTTTGTCCGTCTTTAAGTGACTGTTGTTTGTTTGTTTGTTTGTTTGTTTGTTTGTATACATGAACCACGAGCACAAGTTACGAAAGCTTCATTTTCATTCCTGTTTTACATGCTTTTCTTATTTTGTATTGATTTTAAGATTTTTTTCTTGAGCTTACATTGAAATGCAAGAATAGAGGTTCCTCAATCGCATCATACCGTAACGTTACATGTTTTTACCCGTTGTACACAGAACAGTGCAGCAGTGTTCTGGAGTATGGAGAGATCAGGAGCTGTGGTCCCCAACTCTCTACACGCCGGCTGTCCAGTACTCATAGGATCCAAATGGAGTAAGATAAGATCATTTTTTTATATTCAGAATTTTACCAAAACAACCATTTTAGGAGTTAGCTGCCCAGCCTTACCACATCAAATATTGCTTAATGTTTCAGCGAACAAAAACTATTACCGCTAAAGGCGTCAAGACCCAAGAACAACCTATTCTGCATATTGTGATACTGTCGATGCTTAAAACAGCATAACGTATTCTAAAGAGTTTGGATTTGAATGTCCAGAATATATCTGATGTTATATTTTCTTTCCAGTCGCCAACAAGTGGATACGCGAGCATGGGAACGAGTTCCGGCGGCCATGTGGTCTCACACCAGACGCGTAGGTTTGTAGTCAACCCGGCACTGACAGCACAGGGTACCGCACAGGTTATAAGAGCACACTGGAATAAACCACCTGACTAACTAGTTGCACAAGTTTTGTACGTAGTTTGAGCGTCGGTGTTTAGATACAAGTGCAAGTCAGCCAGGGTGAAAGATGAAACTCCCTTAAACGATTATGAAGGTCACAGGCTGCAATGCACTTATGTTGCTGACAAACAGATATAAAGATTTAGGAGAATAGTTTGAAAGAAATGTTACTTAATTTCATTTGAAGTGGAAACGGTTATTCAAGTTGTTGCGAGATGGAAAGATGAAAAATAAGACTAGAAGAGTAACTTTTGTTTCTGAGAATTTAATGATGAAGTATTGATGATAACAAATCAGGGGGATGAGTATATTTACAAATTGCACCTGATATTAAAAGAACTGTATGTCGCACAAGAAAGAGGCATCCCCGTAGGAAAATGGATGTTATAGACATATAGCGAGTCATGAAAACTGAAACAATACAAATATGCACCATACATTTCGTAGCCTTGTTCTTTTAAAATCTTGAATATCATCGGCGAATATCAGTTATATATACATGTGCAATCCAGCTAGATTAGCACACCTCATCCCTGTTCGCGGTACACCTTATCCCTGATCGCGGGGACATATCGCGACGACAAATTCACACTCCGGGGCAATACTACTCGACAATTCAGAACATCGCCTCAGAACAGGACTCATATTTGCTAACGGCATATTGTGGCTGATACTCTCTGGATCCTCTTCGGTTACTTTTCCTGACGCCATGCTGTGACCGGTCTCCATTCTGTAGCAGCACTCTTGAAAATGAACAACGTCCCATCAAGGACGTTTTATCCTTGGGTTGGGTTGGGTTGAGTATCCCTACGGAGGAGTACAGTACGTACTATCTTCCTTTTCTTCCTGACGGCATATGGCCACACAACGACCGATTCACACTCCTGTTAACTCACTCCCATTCCGGGTATAACATTGCGGCTGACTGGGACAGTTTTCCGAGCGCCGTCTTCCTGTCGCCACTTTGAGACTCTTCCACCCATCGGAGTATAACTCCTCCCCTCCCTAACATCGTATTAAAACTGATCCACAGTCCTCACGATTCAGTCTTCAGTCTAGTCACTCCTCTTCCTCTTCACGGCATCGTAGTGCTCCCCTCCCGGCGTGTTGAGGTACGCCAAGACCAGAGGGGAGCCGTACTCCTCGCCGTCTGGTTCGAGCGTGATGACCGGCATGGCGGGGATGCTCGTGACCAGGTTGACCTCCCTGGAGGTGAAGTTTGCGAGAGCGATCGGCACGGTGTCTCCCAGGTCCATGCACCAGTGGCCCGGCCGGGACAGGTCGTCCAACTCCCGGTGGAACGCCCAGAGCCCGCCCGGCACGGCGATGGAGTACTTTTCTGCGTGAGCGCGGATGTAGCGGACAAGGTCCTGCCGGAGTTGTTGGGCGGTGGTGACGACACGTGGGTCTCCTCTACCGAGTTGCCTGGCCGCTGCTTCAAAGAAGCAGTTGCCGTCAGTGGCCACCCTGTCGCGGTCGTACCCTACCACTGACAGGTTCTTCTCCACTAGGATTTCTTCTCTCGTCTTCTTGACGAACGCCGTCTGCCTGTAAGAAGGCGGAGGCGGCAGAACGGCGAGCTGGCGCGCAGGCGGAGTGTGGGAGGCCCGGCGGGTCCGGCTCGGCTCCTCGTACGGGTATTTCGCCAAGTCCCGGAATCTTGAGACCCTCTGGACCGGCCTGTACTCACGGTTAGACAATTTGTGGAAGTTGATCCCGAATAAGAACTCCAGAAGCCGTGCGAGGGCGATGATCAGGATGATCAGTTTCACCACATCGGTGTGCACGTTCTGGAACGTGGTCGTGGTGGGAACAAACATGTACGCGTCAGGCTCTGCCGTAACCCGGACGTTTGATTCGGCTGTCTCCGTCTCTTTCTTTGACTTCTTCTGGTCTTTCTGGAAACACTTCATCAACTTCCTCCGAAGTTTTCTCGCCTGTCCTTTGACTTTGGCACCAATCCTGCATTCAGAGAAAGACCCTGAACTCAGTTGACTTGTGCGTGTGCAAAACTTCAAGAAACATCCTACGTCTTGTTTATTGAAGAATAAACATGGTGGAATAAGGAGGATATTTTTTTCAAGTTAAACTTTTTGTTATATCTAGCGTGATATAGTTAGAGAAACAGCTAGATGAAAATAGAGGCTATACAACAGAACTAAATCATAGTTCTGATGAGCAAAGAGTAATCGGACTATCGCAGGCCTTGACCAACCCCAATTCCCAAAAGTTTAGAAGCAATAAAAATCTAATCTAATATAAAAATACCAGCGTTTTTCCTTCTTTTTATATTTCCTTAGCATTGTGTACAGTATACCTGGCAACTTTTTTGAGAAGTTTCCAAAATGGTCCCAACGTCCACGCGTATAAACTTCAGTCTAAGTTGTTGTGATTTCGTGATAGTGGATGTAACACTTGGAGAACTGTGTTGGTCATGTTGTTTCACTTACCAGGACGTATTCTGGGGTAGAGGCATATCTAATGGCCTAATCTTGGTCTTGGATGAATTGCATCCCATCTTGACGATCTTTGCGGAACGAATAACGTGAAAAGATTTCTGAAAGTCTCGGAACACTTTTCCGATCACTGCTCTCTCCGCCGTATTCGGTTTGTTTACTTTTCCACATCTCTAGATGACGGTGACGTTCCACAGTGACGTAAGTGACGTTCCAGAACGTCTTTCGAACATCGCCATCCCCCAAATTGCTTTGCGCAATATGGAGTTAAGAAATTGATTTACATTCATCATATTTGTAAAGATCACTTTTAATGGTTTTGCAAAGTCTGAAATATGCATCAGCAAATATGCTGACAACATAAACATGGCAACTAACCATGGCATTTTAAATTTAACCCAACCCTAGAAACTGAATGAAGATGAAGATCTGATATCACAGGCACATACATTTTGCTGTATCATAAAATTCTCTTTTTTTACGGGGTCAGACGGCAGGGAGAAGCATAAAATATGTGATAAACATATGCATGTATTTGCTCCGACATATATATGAACTTTATTGCTCATATGAGCTATGCTTACACCTGCATCATGAAACAGGCATCCTAGTGTCAACAATGGTGGAAAAACCTTTAGGAAAAGGTTTAGGAGTGCTGTTTTACCACAGAACTGGACCCACCGCCAGATTTACCTAGGCACTATTTTTACAGAATGTTCAATCATTAGACAATCAATAAGCAAGATTGGCACTGATAATGATTCACAATATTGCTCTTCTATTAACATAGACAATTCAAAATTGAGATCTTGTACTAGCACAGAATTACAACAATAATTATTAGTTTCAATTTAAACATGTCAACTGGAGATTCACTGACCTTAAATATACATATAGCAATCTGCATATCCACATGTATTCATCACTGAGATACTGTTTCTATATTGTTACTATATCTTTGTTCTCTCATAATCCTGAGATACATGTGGTACATAGTTTTGTGCAGCTGTACCTTTTCATTATCAATAACATGTCATTTCTCACAAAGGCATACCTTCAGCAAGCCTATTATTCATATGGCCAGCAAGAACTCATTTAATTGCCAGCACACCTATAGCAGATGCCCTTGCAACTTGTGTACCATAATTCTACTTCAATGCAACAAACAGGATCATACCCAATTTGGTACAGAAACTGAATAATAAAGAACAAGTTCTTGAAAATGCACAACTAGAAAGGTCTCAAGTTTCAAATATTCAACAAGTGTCTTTCCAAGACTACATTTTTCTAATAAGCAATTAAAAAAGTAGGAAAATAGATTCCTATCTTCCACTGACAAGGTTCACAAGTGCTTCCGGCACAGGAATTACAAGGAGGTTATTAACAACTATGGGTACCTTCATCAACCAAATTATTACTACTTTACCATCAGTCGTGGTAGAATAGTGCACTTGTCAGTCTGACAAATAGAGAAGTTTAATACACAATATCATTGTTCCAATGCATCATAAAATTTTTGACCAATTCCTTGAATGTGTTACCATCTTTTGTTGTATGACCAAGCTATTATCATTATTAGGAAATATCCTCCACTAAATGCATTACTTATCATTATTCAGTTCTTGGCAAACAAAAGCAATATTTCATTTTCATGTTAGTGCTATCTCTTTAGCCTGGGTACCATCCTGGTTAGTTTACCTCCGCTCCCACAGTCGCTGGGTGGTGGGAGCGACTGCGGGAGCAGATGTCAACTAACCAGGATGGTACTCAAGCTACTATCTTTTATGTGTCACAATTGTTCAATCTCATTGTCCTGAACGAGTGTTTTGTTTACTCTGGTCAATGATATCTTGGCACAGTTTTTTCACTGCATCTAACCTATTAATCTTAAACAAAGCCTGTATAACTTCAGGTACTGTATGTAAAGTAACTTCCAGCTGCATTAGTACATCAGAGAGCCCATGACAGTTCCTGATGACGTTTCCTCGATCTGGAACTCGCGGGCAAAGTGACGCAATGTTTTCACACCGGGAGAGTTCGGCTCAGGGTTCAGAAACAGTGCAAGGGCCTCCCATATGTTGTGATCCAAGTCTCCAACTGTCACTCCTGAAGAAAAAAAGGACAATGGATAGGTAATGACATTAGATAACCACTATGCATCTATTGGGTAATATATATTCCCTTTTTTCTTGTGCCATTCTTATATTATAAAATAAAAGTTGTTTGTTTTATTAGATACTAGTATAAATGCTTCAGATATCTAATAAAATTTGTTTCATCAAAACTTTCATGCTACATATATGCAAATGTACCAAAGAGTGGCAGACATTAGAGATCTGGAAGTCACAAGATGTATGTAATTATAAGTCTGGTACATGTACTACTGTAAAAATGTGTGTAACGTACCTGTCGTCAACTTGGAAGCCTTGTCCATCAACTCTTTCAACTCATCGATAATCATCTGCCTGTTGCTTTGCTGTGGTTCCTGTAAAATAAATGGTGGTCAACTGTATCAGGGAATTTTGCAAGTCTAACCCTCGGAAGATGGGGAACAAGCCGAACAACTGATGCTAAACAGGATGGTGAGTCAGTGAGTAAGTGAAGGCCAATATCAAGAAAGATAGGAAAGAGAAAAGGGAAGGATGTATACTGTAATTATTGATGAGAAACACGATAATAAACTTTAACAATGTCCAATCTATCTCAACCCTGTACCTTTCTGTCCCAAACCCCTCTTTCCCTATCCCCTTTACCAGTTGGGTTTACTCATCAAACATTGCATTGAAAGCTGAAGTGAACTTACCGGCCTGTTCACAGCCAGTGCTCCTGCCGCCCTGTTCCTGCCATCATCCCTCTGTGTCCCCCCGGGACTTGTATCTTGTCCTGAGGCCTCTCTTGATTGGTCGATGCTGAGCTCCCTCCCCCTGTCAAAGCGGTCTCCTCCAATGTTTGAGAGGAAACTGTCACCATCCAGAAGACGTCTCACAGTGCGCCTAGGCTCGTCTTCTTCTGATTGGTCAGAGTCGGTGGATAGAGCACCGTCAGCTTCCGGCAGGGGACCCGTACTCCACTCACGTAGCAGACTTTTTGGTGATACATCCTGCATGTTTACCGATGAGAAATCTGTAGCAGAGGGATGACTGTGATAAAGGTCCTCCATATCACTGCTGTCAGAAACTGTGCCAGTTAGACTTGGGGATGGGTTGATGGTATCATCTGGTGGAGCTCTTGATGAGGTCCCCCCCTGCAGGAGGCTCCAGGATGCGATGTTCTGGGCACTGGTTGGAAGGAAGGATGCTCCCTCATACGGTGGTCGTTCTGGCATTTCCTGGTCCCTGATTGGCCACGTCTCCCCACTGTGGTAGTTCTGGAGCCCGTATGGCATGTTGGGGAATGCTGGGATGCCATGGTTGGCTAAGACGGGGGAGGAGCTGTGCTGACGGTTGCCGGGTGTTGCTGTAACCATGGGTGATGATGACACTGAGGTCAGGGGTGAGGGATTGGGAGCAACTGATACCTCACTTTGCTGCGAGGTCCTGGGTAAGTAAAAATGACAATTGTATAACGTATGTATCATAAGTCACCATTTTGTTAGCATGACTTTCAACAGAGTTTCTTCTTAAAAGGTTTGAATCTGTTGTATACAAAAGAATTTGATATGTCATGTAGCCCTTACCTTACAGGTGATAGAGATGTGTAAGGCTCTGCTCCTTGTAAATTCTCTGTCTCGACCATCTCTGCAACTGCAGAAAATATAAGAAGAAACTTTTAGAGATAACAGTTAAAAAGATGTCCTAATGCTGCAACAGTATCTCCCACAAAATAATTCCTCCAAAGCTTTTTATCATAATCAATAGTTCTGAGATATTCATGCTACAGACCTTCAGAAGGAGCCTCAGACTTGGGAAGGGTATCTCCAATCTGTGTCTGTCCCGGATGGGTTCTGATGGGAAATTTCCGTGTAACAGCACCATTGGCCATGGGAGCAGATGGGATGTTTCCATTGGCCATGGGAGCAGATGGAAGGTTCCCATTGGCCATGTGGGTAGATGGAAGGTTCCCATTGGCCATGGGAGCAGATGGGATGTTCCCATTGGCCATGGGAGCAGATGGAAGGTTCCCATTGGCCATGTGGGTAGATGGAAGGTTCCCATTGGCCATATGGGCAGATGGAAGGTTCCCATTGGCCATGTGGGTAGATGGAAGGTTCCCATTGGCCATGGGAGCAGATGGAAGGTTCCCATTGGCCATGTGGGTAGATGGAAGGTTCCCATTGGCCATGTGGGTAGATGGAAGGTTCCCATTGGCCATGGGAGCAGATGGAAGGTTCCCATTGGCCATGTGGGTAGATGGAAGGTTCCCATTGGCCATGGGAGCAGATGGAAGGTTCCCATTGGCCATATGAGCAGATGGGATATTCCCATTGGCTACATGTCCAGGTGTAATGTTTCTATTGGTCAAAGTCCGATCGGCTAATGAGTTGTTAGAGTCATCGCCATGTGATAAAGAAGCAATATGACCATTGGCACTGTTGCTGGTCACAGAGGGGTCATCTGTGTATGGTGTAGGCTGGTCTGGGATGGATGGCTGCTTGGGGCGTTCCAGTGGTAGGAGAGTGTGCTCCTCTGGTGCTGTAGTAGGGCAGATATGATATTATATGAGAGAATGTGAAACATCAGCAAATTCATCACAGGATCAGCAAATTCATCACATTACTTTTTAGCTTGAATTACAATATAAAAGGTTAAAATGTTTCATTTCTATACATAAGCACTTAAGTATTGTGTACATTTGCATACCTCAGATAATAACATAAAAAACAGGTATAGCATTTAGTGTTCACTTCCAAAAGATTACTAGTATATATCATCTCCTTTCAAAAAAAAAAAAAACAAACTACATTTACCTGAACTTGCTGGAGCTCGGTTCTTTCTTTTTGTTGATTTACAGGAGGAACATTTCCACTTCTTTGCAATTATGATGAAAACTATCACTCCACCAACACAAAGGACAAAAACTACTCCACTAGACACCACAGGGATCACGACAGACTTGTTCTTATCATTAGCCTCTGAACCTAAAGAGAACAAAAGTGTCAGAATTAATTTTGACAGATTTCATTTCATCATTGGTTATTTGGGATATTCATGCAAATGTTGATTATGACATTACATTTGTACTTTTAATGATACATAACTAAAATGATTATTGTGTAATCCTACATGTAACAATCAAGTGTCAGTAACAATGAGATGATTTGTTAAATCTCGGATAACCGTAAATTTGAGAGCAGTAAACACGGTTGAATCCTGAGCCTGGCAGCTGTAGTATAACATACAAACCTGGTGGAGGTGTGGTTTTCTGTGCCATTTGATCTGCAAGCCACTGTCTACAGTTCAGGTTGTTAGGAATGACAGCACAGGGATGGCAGTGTTTAAATGTCTCAGCATGTCTACATAGCACAAAAAACACAACAGTTTCTTTGTCAAGGATTTTACCAAACAGACACACATTATTAGTTCTGAGCAGCAAACGATTTACAATAGGAGAAAATAATGTGAAGCTTTAATATATAGTATGTAAAACACTGAGAAAAATGTCTGTGAAAAGGATTGAAAGTATTGAAATATGTCAGACTCAAAGCTAAATCAGTCTTCAGATATCACAGAACAATATTACTTCAGAACATATTACAAAGGTCATATGTAATATCCAGTATCTTATGTTCAGCATTTTCCCTACTGCCTAACCACATAAATAATACAACATGTGTCAAACCTTGAAAATATCTATGTTATGAAATGGAAGAATTTTCAAATTGTCACAAGTTCAATAGTTCTATAAAGTGGTCATGTGCAATTTTGAGGGTTTCACAACATGGCATGATTTTTCCATGTGACAATTAATATCATCATACATCAAAGAGCAATAACCATTTCCATGGACACCACTTCATTGACACCTGTAGTTTGCAAGCAACCTACCCAGGTAGACAGGTGCCACACACTGCAGCTGTTCCAGGTGAACACAGCTGCCTGTATTCAGCGTTGAGGGCGGTACAGTTGGTGCAGGGTGTGCACCTGTGGTTGGAGTCCGTGTTGGAGTAGTGATCTGGAGGGCAGGAAACACACTCTGCACCAGCCCCGGCACCGTAACCACACACCTGAGTATCACAGGTGATATATTGACAATGTTGGAGGAATAGAAGTCAGTCTCATGACATATAGACCACACTAAGGCTTGGATATATGGAGTATCATTAGACACACACACAAACACACTAATTCATGCACACACTGAGGGACCATTCTGTGTCTAATTATTCAGTAGTCTGTAACTATAACACAAAATTAGGAATTAAATTAAAAAACACACTGATACATGCACACACTCCATCCTGTGTCCAATACTGGATATATAACTGTTACGTTATATATAGGCTGAGAACCATTTCGTGTGTACTGCTTTTACTGACACAACACATATCACAATCCCTTGGCAGAAAATTAGGAAAGCAATTAGAAAATTCAAAACATTCTTTACTTGCCAGTTCTTCTAAGCAATTGGCAAATGAAGGAGAGTAGGAAAATTATCTATAATTCCTACTGTACTGAGCTGCTGTCCATCCAGGCACACAGGACATGGCCGACACTCTCCTCCCTCCAACTTCTCATCTTCTGCACACGGATGCCGAGCTGACACGTGCAGCTAGTGGGAGAAATTTATTAACACCTTACTCACACAATGGTAGGGGTCTAGCTTGCACATATTTATGATAAGGAGCGCTTTTACTGGACAATGGCTGAAGAATTTTGTCAGATACATTTGTACATAAGAAAAGTGGAGAACTCTTTTCCATCTACATTAGTGAATCCAGCACAGCAGATAGCAATAAGTACAGAGCAATGCAAAGCTCGGGACATATTACCGGTTATGCAAAATTAAACAAAATATCTATAAAACATGTGAATTAATGATTACAAAAAACTTTAGGTAAAAATAAAGTAGAACAAAACATACCCAAATTAGGAACAGTAGATACAGTGTGAACAACTTCTCTTCTGACTCCATATCCAATTCTATAAGTTTAACACAAAGAACATCAAAAACATTTCCACATGATAAAGGTTCAAAAGCAACCAGTAGGTGCTAAGATTATGACAGCTATAATTTAGCTGGAAATGTCAGAGCGAATATAAACATGGCAGTACCCCAAAGTGCCAGCTGGAATATTATTTATAATTATAAACTGTTCATAAGGTGTCTAGTCTGTATACTTTTCAGGTTTAGCACTTAACATGTACTGGATGGTTTAACCTTAATCACACAACTTAACTATCATGATATAGCCAACAATGTACAATAAAATCAATAACGTTACATGTGTACAATGTATTGATCATTAACATCGGTAATGACTAATCAAAACTTCTTATAAATGTTAGTATTAACTTCAATTTGCATGACAAATTCAAGGACAAGTGTAACCATACAAATTTCTGTACACTACACATTATGTCCGAAGAACACATGAACCTGAACAAGGGAGAAACTTGCTGGTCTTACACAAATTATCAGCCCCCCTCCCACTCATTCCCATGGTCACGTTTACTTCCGCTTTTTTACTTTCCCCAGACGTTATGCGCGACCATGCGATATGCCCACAAGTAAGGAACTCAGTCTACAAACCTTTGCACCAAAATCAAGGGAAGAAACAGGCTGAAAACAGGCGAAATGACTCACGTCAGATCTGCTGACTCACTTCTTTAGCAACGTTACCTGTACGTTCCTGACTTAGTGATTTAACACCCCGATGACGCAACTTTAGACCAATCACCGTCCAGGAGCGCCACCGCATTGCACCAAGGGTTTCTTTACGCTCCAAGCAGAGGTTTGGGTTTTGGCTTAATTTTTGGCGTGTTTTTAGGCTTTATCCTTTGCACTGTTTTGTTTTTTACGGCATAAAAAAAAGATCCCATAAATGGAGAGTAGTGTGCTGAGATTTGAATCAAAATGCTGACGGGAGTTATCAAGTTGGATAAGTAGACTTACCGTCATTCATATCCAATGTTTCTACCATCCATATTCATTCTTGTGCGGTTAACATTATATATTACGAGATGAAAAAGTGTACTACCGGTAATACAAAATGTAGAACATTTGAAACATACAAAACAAACCTTGTAATGATACAATGTAGGTAAGAATAATAGATTTACTTTGATTCTCAGTAGAGAAAACAACAGTCAACATTGTTTCAATTACTAGTATAAGATCACCTTTTATTATGTTTTTGGCATACAGATAGTAGATACAGAAGATGGTAAAGAACATAGACTTTCTCCACATCAAGGGGATCTGGAAAGGTTAATTACAGAATAATTCCAATCTTTTAGGTCAACGTATTTGACAACAAAGTTTATTTGCTTTTACTGCATTTAATATAGTTACATATGATTCACATATGATACAACAATGACTCCAGTTTTCTCATGGTCAATCATATTCTAATTTCCATGCCCCCTCCTCTTCCCATCATTTTCAACTACCCTAAAATGCAGAAGCCCTAACACCATCATTCAAGCTAGTATGCCTACCACATTTAGTTACTGTGTTATAACACCATAACATGTTATGATACATGTAACATTACATAATTCTTGAAAACCAGTGGCATCTATCTAAAAAGTTGGACTTTTTGTAACAAAGTAACTAATAGTATCGTTTCAAACACCATTAATCATGCTACCAGATATATTACAAGCTTGGAAGAACAGAAAACAAATTCGAACCAATTTGATTTCCCTCATACTGAAATATCAACCATATGTAACAAATCCATCAATCATTCTCTATCCACCCGAACAAACACCAAGGTAAAAAATTGCTTTTTTACCTGTACACCATATATTCTTTATACATGTACTATTAACTATAGAAACCACTTCTGTCCATCTCCTTGTTTGATAAAAATTACACGCCGGGCTTTTTGCCTGGATCACGCGACCGACAGGGGCATGTCGGTGGCGTGGCGTCTCCCGTTCACGATGTACCCCTTGGCCTTGATGACGCCGCGACACTTGACCATGACCGTGTACCGCAGCACCCAGAACGGCTGCCATTCGTCCACATGGTCGTCATGACTACTGCCCCGCAGGATCTCCTGTGCAGATGCAGGTAGGAGAGAAATATCATGAGTACAGGAGCACTTCAAATGGATGACATTTCTAGACTGTTTGTTATGTTATGCTTAACTTTGCAGAAGGAAAACATATTGTTTTTGCTAAGTTTCTTGTTATTCCTCCTCTTCTTCTCCAAACAAATAAAGTCAATGACCTAGACCATCTGTAACCATGGTAACTAGTACTGTAGAAGTGTTGGGTTACATTTTGTAGCAGGACAGAACTGGACAGGCTGGTTTGTTGGGATAGACCATGTGAAGGATAAAAGCTTGTGTAACAGTGGGGTTCAAGTGCCGCAAACTGACCCATTCCAACGGCACTTGCATTTTCTTTGCAAATGTTATTTTTCTACTTTGAAATTAATATATCTCAGCCATCACAGCAAATGCTCTATCATAAAGTTATAATGTAGTTATAATGTAGGATGGTCTAACCTGGAATGTTGGTGTAGGAAGGACGTCCCTGGGGTCACTGTGGGTCAGGAGCTGGATGTCATTCTCCTTCGCGAAGGCTGTCAGTTCAGGTGGGATGACACAGCATGAAACAACATTCACCTAAAGAGAAACAGAATTGGGGTTAGGTTACACATCTCTGGAGAATATCTCATGATTCACAAAATTCTGTAATTAAAGAACATCCAAGCTGAACATTCAAGAGAGACCTAAAGCTTTATTAAGTGAATGGATGTGTGCAGTGATATGTACAGTAGCCTGGTTACCAGACCTATTTCATCTCCCGAGTCTTTACATGGAGAGGATAAAGACTCGGGAGCTAAAATACTAAAGTAGTCTGGTACCCGGGCTACGTATCACTGGTACCCAGGCTGGTGATATGTGCAAATTAACTTCCAGATTATGACTTGAATAAACATTGTTGTTACCTGGTTGATAGTAGGCTTGACTCTGGCCATGCCGTGGGTCTGCTCAAGCATCTCCTTGTCCAGGTCTGATGTCCCGATCGCCGAAACACGCTCCACATCATACAACCTGAGTAAATATGACCACAGTATTAGCATTCAGAAACTTTGGCAGAGAAATCTACCAAATTTGAATATGAAATGAAATCAGAGATTCAAACACAAACATACTACCAGCTAAAAATGACAATTCTTGACCATTTCTTCACATCATCAACACTTTCATGATGCAAAATAAAAGTTTACTGAAGACATCATTTGATTCCTTTGTTTACAAATATGACCAGCAAAAGCCAGACTCATGAAAAATTGTGCAATAATTTCAATCATGACATGGAGGCTAGCATTATTTACACTGCTTAGGCCACACCAAGTAAATTTTATGGATGACGTCCGCGCGCGCATTGATTTTGGCCTGTTCCTAGAAAAAAAAACAAGAAATTCCGCTTCCTGTAAATATGACCAACAGTGCCGCAAATCGTCAGATTGAAACAAGTAACGCCGGAAGCCTGTGCCTGGTTAAAAAATGGAAACAAAAATGAAAAAACAAAAAAAATGACACTGAAAAAAATCCTGTCAATAGCTCCAAAACAGTGCCGTTCTTGGAACTATTAACAGACAGGACGGTCCTGTCAGCAGTGCAATATTTCTTATCTTATCTAGGCATCTTGTTTTTTAGGGCCCTTCTTGTTTTTTTTTTCGCCCTCTCGATTAGATTTAAGGTCTCCAAAGGACGTCATCCATAAAATTTACTTGGTGTGGCCTTATGTTCTTGTACATATTCATATACCAGTAGCTTACCTTTCCATTGGTTCCCACATTGGTAGAATGTGGTTCACAGTGAGTTCCTCTCCCATCTCGGCCTCTAGTGGTGGAAGTGCCAACAACACAGAGTCCACAACTCCTATGTCTAACTCATTACACACTTGGTCCACAGCCTCCACCACCAGGTCAGGATCCCACTTCAGGAGGAAGATCTTCACCGAGACTTTCAGTTTGCTGCGCTCGTCCTCCGTGATCCTCTCCATCTGGTTGGGGTTGGTGACGACGAGGGCGTTGTTGGATTCCTCGTTCATCCACGAGGGGTCGACCGTGGAGCTCCAGACGTTGAGCGTGGCGGACAGGCACTCCAGAACCTCCTCGCCGGCGTTCTGGGACGTCTTGCGCTTGAGGTGGTTCCAGTTGATGATGTTGCCGGTGTGCAGGGTGAGGTTGTTGGTGGAGGACAGCATGAGCCGGGCGATCTCTTCTACTGGTACAGCCGACATGGTTGCAACCTACAGATGGAAATAAAACACTGAGTTTAGAATCTCTGAACAGGTTTATAATATCAGGTTCTTCTTGCACAAAATATTAGAACTATCGTGGAGTGTAACTCGCTGCCACTGAAGTACGATAGCAGCATCATCGTACGGCATCATCACTAGATAGTTTTAGGGTTAGGTGTTTGAAGGTTCTAGATAGTTTTAGGGTTGGATGTTTGAAGGTTAGGTGTAACAAGCCACTCTGTGTGAATAATATTTTGTAACCAGCTGCCGCCGCACCACATGCCTGCAAAGCTGGTGTGTTACACCGAGAGTAAACCAACTGGCAACAACACAATTTTATGATTACAAAACCAAGGGACCCCCCCCCCCCNCCAGAGCGAGAAAGTGTAACTTGATGCGACAGGATTCGATCTATTCATTCAAGGAGATGAAACACCCTTGGCCTTGATAGTATCCAAGCAGATCTTTCAGTGACCACGAAAGACAGTAACAAATTGGCCAGGGAGTATCCATTAGACACTGACGAAAGCTAGTGGATACTAGCTGAAACGTCTGACGTTTTCAAAATCATATCCAGTTGCTTGAGTAACTGTTTTTTGGCGTATCCATAGACAGTCCAGACAGTCACCATTAGCCACCCTTCGGTGGCTTAGTACTGGACACTCCTCTGGCGAATAAATAACGTTACTGCCTTGCCTATGATTTGCTTTGAGATTCATCCTTGATTCATCTGTTTCTCATGAAGATTCACCAAAATGCGAAAGGGAGAGCAAAACAGTTATAACGACACAATGATTCGCACTCTCAAACAAGAAAATACATGCAGGACAAAACTCCCAAAGCTATACTAAAGGGTTCTTCAGGGCTGTACAGGAGGTGGACCCACGAGAAGCGGACCAAGTTACTAGTAGTTTGGGCTAGTTTTGCGTGGTGAATGAGTGATAACATAACTGCTCAACATCTTGCAGGTTTGGGACAAATATGACTACATAAGCTGTAGCGTTTTCAATTTTTCCTAGCCATTCACACGTCACACCTGCGATACCACCAGATGCAGAGCGAGCAAATCTTGGCTCGGGAGCCGCAAAATGTCAAGGAGACTCCCGGGCAGGAAATGAAGTCGCCCACGATCACGCTACGACCAGTTTGCTGCTAATGAATAGATGATATTGCCGTCGTTCGTACATGTACTTTGCAATTTAATTTTTTTTTACAGTTTATAGCAGTCATTAATCATGAAATATAGATCCGGTGTAAGTTTAATAGAAGAGTCAAGTTTACAATGCCCAGACCAGTGCAAGTGCCACTGCATTGACTTCGTGGACTATCAAGCCAGGTCATCAGACTCTTTCGCCGAGGCAATTCAAAATTCTGAAAGCCCGTTGATGTCCTGATTGCCATGTGATGTTAGATGAATGCCTGCTGATCCACTCATCCACTGGAAGAATATATCCGTAGGTGGTACTAAGCCACTGCATCGAGTTTATCATCGTCTTGTCCTTGGGTGATCTTGGATGCCGGACGTAACGCACGCAGTACTTGTCCAATGTCAATGAACATCGAAGAAAGTTTTATCATCCACTAGTTGTGAGTTGCCTGACTTGTCTCGATGTACATTTGAGCCGTTCAACAGCTCAGCCTAAAGCCGAAAATGACGTAAATGTTATCTAATTTACTTTTCTACTAATCAATGACATATGTAACCAGTGAAGGTTGTGTAACGTTGCGTCATATGTGTACTTGGAGTTTGCATGAAGTGTGGTCTGTTTCGACATGCAGTGTCAACCAGTTGCTCGCCGACTGGATTGGGATTGCTGAATGTTGAATATGTTCTGGTACTATCACTCTCAGTCATATCAGGTGTCGACCAGGTGTGCATATTAATTAGCCCAACTCTCGTTTGGGTGGTCACGTGACATCGACATCTCGCGAGATTTTGCGAGATTTGGGTTCTAGTCACATGACGGCGTAGTGATCCTCTCGGCCATCTGGTAATGTGATTCGCCTCTCCAGGGCGGAAGGTTACACGGGAAACGCGGCTGAAATGGATGCAAATCGGCTCATTATACCGCCAGTTTGAACCGGTTCAATCTGGATCTCATTACGTCACTGGGGCCCTAACAAACGAGAGGTTGAAAATGAACTACGCGTTTCAACAGGCAAAACGCGGAATGCACTAGGGAAAATATTGATCGCAGGACCCACACGTAGGTAAGGCACATAACGAAAACAAAATTAAAAGAAGCTTATTTTTCAAAATGAAATTTTACTAAATTGACAGGTTGAGTATCACACGTTAGGTGATTGTTGTCCTTTGATGAAAATTACGTCACTGAGCATAATTAATATCTCGCGACCACAATATTTTGCAAATGCAAATTAATAATAATAAAATGTTGGTGACCAAGAAAGATGACAAAATGTAAATATTAATTATTTACATAGAGCATCGCCTTTATCATCTTGACAAATGGGTGCGAAATGCAAATTTATGCGTAAATTTTCTGGTCGTCCAATCACGATGTCGCCTTGTCGATCCTGACATCCGAAATTTGCATATCCACGTAACGTGAGTCTAGACTGTGAAAACCTACCGGGGGAGCTCCAGCGCTCAGTATAAACAGGAAGATACCATCAACTGTTGATAAAATAAGTCAAATTTGCACTATTCTGTAAGGAATTTGATGGGCTTTCACAAGAGGATTTTCACCAAGTGGTCACCATGTTCTTTCTCGGCTAGGACGGGCAAATATGGCAGAGAAGGGAAAGTCTAGGGGGTAAGTCTCAAGATTTGGTTCATACGACGTTTGTCCCGCAGGCTTTGCATAAATTTTAATCGATAAAATATTTGCTTCTCGTTTCCATAAAATCATAACAACATAGACTTTGACTTTTTACAATGGCCAGGAAGGCTAATTGGCATATGAATGTCGTTTTCGATCAAAATTTCAATGCGATTCGGCATTTTGAAAGCCCGTATAGACTTCCTAATTTGCCTTCCTGTAGGAGAAGGCACATTTGCATAAATTTGTGGATCGCACTACTTTTTCTTGCCGACGACAAGTTCCTCAGACTCGGTTTACAAATGTTACCACGAAAAACTATGGCATATATGAGGAAAATACGTCTTCGTGTTGTTACTTCATGTTGAAGAGAAGGGGCTAACGGGGGGATTGTTTTGAAAAGGGCGATATTTGTGAGACGTCATTTGTATGTCCCGCCAAACAAACGGGTTCATGACCCGTAAACCCCTCCTGTCTCGCGCCAAAACTCCTGACCCTGCTGTCGTTTGGAAACCTTACCGGCATTTTCCGTCAGATCGCCGATTTCTCCCCCTAAAACTACAGGTGAGTCGTGATTTTTGCTCCCGAGTTTGCCTCGGTAGCCCTCAGGTCGCCTCAGGTAGAAAATCGGTGGCTAAAATGGCGACAATTTTCAACCTAACGTGAAATGCCGGTCGGTACACGTTTTCGCCCACGAGCGAACAAAGAAGAATTAATTAGGTCGGTAAAAATGCCGGGTAGTTTTTCCTCAGGTTTTGAACAGTTTGACACACCAAATCTGTAACGGAGATAATTTTGGGGGTTTCTTTTCCCCCCGTTTGAATGGATGCTTCAGGTAGCAGTCACTTATTCACATGTTTTGTGGTTTAGTAGCACTAGGTATGAAACAAGGTGTGTCATAACGACCGCTAGAAAATAGGGAAGTTGGAAAAAAACTATGGTTTAGCTTGGATTATTCACAACATAGGTAATTTTGTAACCTGGCAGGTCACTCAAAACTTGTCTGCAAATAGTACTAAATTAAATTCAGTATCAAAGGTGGAGAAAGATTAATATAACTGTCCATGTCCTTGGTTAAATAAAATTATGAACATCACAACAATACTTTGGTAACATATTACTAAGTACTGTAGAATCTAATACACAACAAAGTCACAGGTAGTTACTTAGTTTGTTTCATGGCCATAATTTAGATTACTGAAATCTTTTTGTACTTCTCTGAACTTGTCACCCTGGGCTACCATGTCACAAATCAAGTATTTCTGTGCACATCCATTGTTTATAACTAACAGAACACCTCAGTCACACAGATTACAGTTTCTACTCTAAAAGACTATAAACATGAGAAGGGTTTGATATTATATAGCAATGTTGCCAAATATTTAATCTTGAAATATACTTATATATTATATTAATATATAAATATTTTAATTTATATGTATATCTACAGTTTTGCCCTGGCTTTGGTCTTTGTGTAGCATTTGGTTTCCAGGTAATATTGTGTAATACAGAGACTGCTATGAATTATAATGTACCGTTTACATGAATTCATGGATGCTGATTTGTTTTGTAGAACCTATATACATAGCATTACAAAGTGAAAATCTCATTCATTGTGTAAGACATGTACAGGTATGGTCCGCCAGTGTTTTCCAGGGGAAGTCAGCAAAAATTATTTTTTTCTGTCACTGCTTTGTTACCCTTGCCATTTTAATCGTTCATACAAAGTCCACTAATGCAAGTTGACTGATTGAGGTGTACAAATCAATTAGTCCATTGTATTTTGCAGCATGTACTAACTGTACAAGACCAGTGTGTTATAGCTTGAGGCAGTCAAACAGTTATGCCATACATGATACAACAAAAACATTTTTATTTCATAAGTTTTCTTGTTCCTTCCCAGATTCAACCTTGACTCCATAGTGCAGAAGCTGCAGGAAGAGGGCTCCCCCCCACCATCATCGGGCACAGACAGCGACCTTCTGTCCACTTCCACCGGCACCATGGTTAAAACAGGCGCATCACGAAGGTAACTGCACCTTTTACTGTCCTATCTCCTTGTCAAGTTGCCTTATGCTGCAAAAGTGAGTGGAATAGCCATGATAGATCAGATTGGTATGATATCTTTCTAGTCCTTTCTTGTTGTTAATCTTTCCATACCTCCAGTAATGGTCTGTACACTGGTAGTACATATTCTGTGCTTTAGGGTAATGTTTGTTGTTTGACTCTTGGAGTACCCTTTACCGGTATTCTGCAATAGCAAAATGTACCATGTTTGTTCATATACCAGGCGTCCAGGCCTGCATGTGTTTGACTAACCTGTTGTGATATAAGACCATAATATTATGTTTCTTTCCCAATCAGATTCAGACATGAATAGTTTAGGTCATTCAGTGTGCCTATGAAGCTTGTTGAACAATTCAGATCTAGATTGTGGATTAAGGCCCAAATGCTGTAGTTACGAAGTGGGATACATGGAATTATGTTACAAAATTGGCAGAAAGCTGCACTGTAAAGGTACAATGATTATGTGTCATAGCACTAGTTTGCAATGTTTAGTGTTACCTGAGCTTGATTAACTTATCTATGTTTACCTTAGCTTCGTTCTTTATTTATATATCTACACATATTTTTCATGGGAAATTACATGCTTTAATATAGAATATTTATGACAGAAAATATGTTTTTCAGTACCAAGGAAATATTGAACATGTACCTTTCTCTTTTGTATAATCAGTTTAGACATAAATCCTAACACACAGCTGTGATAAAATTGTGAAAAACTGCCGTCTTATCAGCTAATTTCCATACTTCCTACAGGAAGCCCACTAAGGTGGTACGACAGGTAGCCTCAGATGAGGAGTCTGACCCACCTGGTACGGAAAGCAACGATGATATTGGTAAGATTGTCTTACAGATAAAAATTCAAAAAGCAATCTTGTAGATTCATTATTCTAAATACACCTGTTCCCCATAATAGTATGTTATGTTGGCATCACTCTATCTGTACCAGCTAGGATGAAAATTCAAAAAGAAATCTTCTAGATTCATTATTCTGAATACACCTGCTCCCCATAGTATGTTATGTTGCCATCACTATCTGTACCTGCATCATTGTAACTATTTTAACATACCCATTTATCATAGGAGAATGCTCCCTTGCATGTTAAGAGTACTGTATATTTGATTACTGGGAGTTTTGTCTTCATATCACCCCTGAAAAGGATAGCATTTCTAATGAGATTTGACTACCAGAGCTTTGCCATTGTCTTTCCAGAGTCGTCAGTTAGTCAAGGTATACAGAGTGCCAAGATAGAAGACAGTACAAACAGTAAGATATCTTGGCCACTTTCTCTAGATGTTATAAGATACCCGTAGTACATAAAACCGTGTAGTGGGATGCATTGGAAATCAAACTCAAGATGTAATAGCCTGTTGTGTTTTTTGTCTTGAAAGATGCCGATGCTGTACTTGAGGCCATGAGGAAAGCTACGAAAGATCAGCAGGAAGTGAGGGAAGAGAAGAAAGAAGCAGTGGTACAAAAAACAAAGACACCTCCTGCCACACCCAGGACAAAAGGCAACAAGGATGCAGCACCAGAAGAGCTGCCTGAAGGTGAGACAGAGAGAGAAAATGTAGGAATACACAAAACAAATACTTGAACGCCAATAATGGCGCCATGAAGATTCACAGGATTTCAGAAGTGGAGTATATCTCTCTGTTTGTTTTTATTGATTATCTATCTGTATAGCTGCTGGGTTAACTGCCAATACCCATTTTTGTACCCAAGATGATGTAAACACTATTCATTATTGTGATGTTCTAACTTTAAATGTGTCACTTTTGCTTTCCTAAGTTTCTGACAAGAAATGGTCATCTAGAATCTTTCTTTCTTTGATGAATGAATGATTCTGTACATTTTTATATGAATAATGATGAATGAAAAAATAGTGATTAATTATAGCTTCATTATCACGGTTTTCAGGTTACGTATGTGAACATCATGTGTACAAAGAAGGCTATTCTCTGTTTGCTTTCCAGGCACAGTGATTGTTGAACCAGAGGCAGTTGTTGATGACAGGGGAGTGTTCAGAGGGCCTGAGTTTAGCAGGAAACATAAAAGAGAAGCAGAAGCAGGTGCCACGCCCACTACTAAGATAACAGGTAGGCTAGCACACAATCTTTTTTCATATTATCAGATTCATAACCATTTCACCAGAGATATTATGCATATTATGAAACAGTTACAAAAGATCTAATCTCAAATGTAACTACTAACTTAAAGGACAAGACAGCAACTAAAAAGAAATGTGCTGTTAAGTTGTGTTACCACAGTAGGAAATCCTTTGGTTTTGTTTATTTCTTTGTTGTTTGTTTGTTTTGTTTTATTGGGATCCCCATTAGTGTTTTATTACATTCACAATATTCTTCCTTCTAACTGTGAGCTGTATTTGATGCTGATGGTTTTGTCTTGTCTTGTGGTTTGCTTGCAAGGATTGGATGATGGTGAGTCACCTGTACTAGTGGTAGACACTTAAGTCATTATGTAGCTTTTCACATAAGCTAACTTTTAATTGACTCATTACAATTGGTAGCTGGGTTACTAAAGCACTAAAAGGACTGCCTTTCTGACTAATTGGCAACTTTCCTAACTTAAAGGTTTTTACAAGAGGTGGTCCTCTAAAATCTTTCTTTATATAAAGATTTTTCTTTACTTTAAGCTATAATAGCTGGAAACTTGACCATAATTTTACAAAAGTTATCCTATTGATGTGTATTTTGTTGTATTATTCTCCAGTAGGCAGCGTGGACCAGATTTACCACTGTACAGCATGTGGTGGTCAGATCTTCCCTTCCCTGCCTGGTACCTGCAAACGGCATCCAGCTCTGAAGGTTCTTATATGTAAGGTGAGAGGACAGCAAGCAGTTTGCACTTGTACATAAACCTAACATTTACTGATAAATTTCTGTTAGTCACATTGACGTGCAAGGCTTTAAACACAGACTATTGTTCTATACATAAAATGTATAGACACCTGTTGACATTGTACTTGGTAGTTATCTCCGTAATTTGTCCTGTAGTAGATTTTGAATTTAGAGTCTGAATAGCCTATGAGAAAACTTAACTACAGTAGTACTAGAATGTTTACCAGATTTTATATGTAAATGCATTGTCTGTATCATTTTGAATTGACAGGATAAATTCAAAACATTCTAAACTTGAGAGTAAAGAAGTTGCAGTAGTTTTTTTTTGTTATGCATGAGCTCATTAGCTGTCAGTTCTAGCCATTACTGACTGGCATCTCTTCCACAGCGGTGCTATAACTACTACCGCAGTGATAACTTCGACAAGGATGAGAATGGAATAGACGAGCAGTGCAGGTCAGAACAAACCTTTCTTCCATATCACCTCTGACATAAGATTAATAGACTTATATTCGAGAAGGCATTGCTTTGCAAACAGAATTTCTTAGTTAGATTTCATACATGGATAATTTCTGCAATTTTGGGCACATTGGGTAGCATTTTATTATCAAAAAAAAGTTTAAAAAACATGCATCTACAGTTAAAGTTCCCCTTTTGCCCATATGTATTTCCCCTTCTTGTTGCTGTTTTTTTTAGTCAAATGCTTTTTTTTTATTGAATGTGTATGTATATGTTATGTTCCAGGTGGTGTGCAGAAGGTGGAAACCTGCTCTGCTGTGACTTCTGCACCAACGCTTTCTGTAAGGCCTGCATCAAGCGCAACCTGGGACGGAGGGAACTCACAGAGATCAACGACTCGGACGAGTGGCGCTGCTACATGTGCGACCCCTTCCACCTGTCGGACCTCATCTCCACCTGCGACCAGGTCATGGAGGTCAGCGAACAGGAGAGACAGAAGCAGAAGCGGATCAGCAAAGCCAAGAAAGAGGAATCAGCGAAGAAGCAGGCTCAGGGAAAGGAGTCTCAGGACGACTCAGACGACGTCCAGGTGGTCTCAGAAATCAAAGGAACTCCTAAACCTGTGGAACCGGTTAAGGTTGAGATAGCTCCCCAGCCTATAACAGTGCCTATTGATCCGTCTAAAAGGATGACGTTGGCCCAGATCAGACAACTGCCGCTAGAACAGCAACAGGAGATGCTCAGACGGCCGGACAGAAGATACGGAAAGCGGAATTCGCCGGTTATTGGCCAACCACAGCCGGTAATGCAGCAATCTAGGCCGCTCGTCAGCCAGCCAGTTGTGTATGCTTCTCCAGTAGTACCCGCTCCGGGAGTGAACGTCGTTAGAGCTCCCTCTCTGGTGGTCACACCGGATTTCTCCTCCACGTCTCACAACATTCTCACTTCTGTGCTGCACATGCACACGTTCCTGGAGTCCCTCCAACAGAGACATGCCTACCTTACAGGAAAGAATGCGACCAAAACCAACTACCTGCTCTTTAACCAGGCCCAGCCTGTGCTGACTGACGCCTTGAAAGAACAGTTAAAAAAGGCACAACCGCTGATCAACAGCGCAGTACAGAAGATAGCCACCATTCAAAAGATAGCACAAGAACTTCTGGACCAGGATCCGCAGGGTATCCCTGTGAGTCCTGTGGGAGCTGTTCCTGTGGGAGTGGTAAGTGCTGATCAACTGGCAAACAGCACTACCAATGCAAATGATGATAAACCAGCATCTGACGTAGCTGATGTAGATCTCACAGATGGAGATGTCCAGCCAGTACAGAACGGCATAGCTGGGGATGATATAGAGGATGGGACCAAAGACAGCGATGTTCCAGATGATGAAGCCAAGTCGGCCACAAAGCGTAAGCTTGCGTTCGAGAACAAGAGTGAAGATGCCAAACGCAGCAAGCAAGGTAAAAACTCTTCAGCAGACGAAGCTGAGAGTGCGACAGACAAGGACGGTGAGAAAAGGCAACTAAGAGGAAAGGGGAAAGCAGACAGGACAGAGGAAGATGTTGCGTCAGAAGCAGCCCTAAGAGCTGCGATGATGGACGAATCCACTGAAATGGATAGTGAATCAGAAAACAATGACAGTGGTGAAGAGTATTCACCATCAAAACGGAAAAGTAAGAGCAACTCAGAGACTCCAAACTCTAGTCAAAAGAGGTCGAGAGTCCAAAAGACCACTCCAAAGCGGGCCAGTCGAACTAGCATGGCATCAGATGAAGATGAAACATCAGAGAGCAACGAGCCCAGACGATCTCTCCGCAGCAGGAAACAAGAAGCAGACAGCACCACCAAGTCTCCACGGAAAGGAAGGAAAAAGAGACAAGACGATTCAGATCTGTCCGACACAGACAAGGAGATATCTGACCTGGAAAAGAAAGCCCTGAGAAGTAAAGGCTCATCAAAAAAGAAGAGGAAAGAGGAAGACTCTGAAGAAGAAAATGAAGAGGATGATAAGAAGGGGAAAGGTACTAAGAAGGAGAAAAAGGAGGAAGAAAATGAAGAGGATGATAAGAAGGGGAAAAGTATTAAGAAGGAGAAGAAAGGTGGAAAGAAAGATAAGAAGGAAAGAAAGAAAAAGTCTGACAAAGATGACTCCAGTTCCTCTGATGGGAACAATACAGGTGATGATGATGGTGTTGATGATGATGAAGAGGGTTACCACAGTGAGGACATGTTTGCAGAAGGAGATGGGGACCTGAATGATGGAGCTGCCGGCAATGATGACACAGATGATGAGAACCCTGAAAATGCTGCGGCCAAGAAGAAGCTGTTAGCTGACATGGATGATGACGAAGATTCAAGTTCAGAAAACTCTGACTCGGCCAAAAAGAAGGAGAAGAAAACCAGAAAGAAGAAAGAGGTGGCCGAGAAGAAGGCTAAGGAAGGAGAAAGTGGTACAGATGAAGATGAGGAAGAAGAAATCTTGCCAAAGAAGAAGTCAAGGAAGCAACATCCCCTTCTTCGCATCAGACTAGAGTCCAGTGACACGGATGGGAGCAAAAAGTCAGCCAGAAAAAGAAAACGTGCAGCCAGCAAGAAGAGCAGCCAGAGTAGTGGCGATGGCTCGAGTGGAAGTGATGACGGCTCGTCCACTGCTGGGGTCAGTCGTCGCACCAGGAGTAAGAAAACAGTCACAGATGAGGACAATGACTCCAGGAGTTACAGGAAGGGGAAAGGAAAGAAGAAGAGGAGACGTATAAAGATTGATGACTCAGATTCAGAAGCTTCACAACATTCATCAGAATACTCAGGTTCTGAGGTACTTTAAAGTTGAACTTCTGTCGTACTGCTGCTTTTTATCACTTTTCTTGTGTATGTGTAGACTGTAAGTTTGTACTCGGTATGCACTTGAATGATTTTTCCAGGGATTTTTTCATTTGTTTTTGGAGTAACAAGGGTATATTAGAAGGCTGCAAAATTTCTTACCTCCTATACTACTTAACTACTGAAAACCATAAAGCACATTAAAAGAAGGTAGCAGTAATTTTTGCACCCTTTTCTTTTCAGGGAGACAAAAAGAAGAAGAAGGAAAGTCGCAAAAAAATTCGGAAGGTGTGGGATGACAAGAAACTGAAGGATGAGACGAAGCAGGCTGCTAAAGCTGAAGAGGAGCGGCGGAAACGCCTGGCATCCAGACAGGAAGAAGGCGAGGTAAGCATCACACTTCCTTGCATTACACCTCAAGTCTCTGTACTGTCTACTATATAGATAATTTCACTAACTGTTACAATATGTGTCACATAATATTGTGTCACATCAGAGTCTTCTTGCTTCCTGTGAAACCAAACTCTGTCAATAACATGTAACATTTTTCGTTTTGTACTTGTGTAGACAAGCTGTCTTTCTGTCTTGTAGTATAAGGAATTGGAAAGGGAACTTCTCTGTTCATGCTGCCTGTGCTTTGCCACTTAACCACTCTGTTATGGACTAGTTACATGTCATTGGGTTTCTAAGCACATGACTGCATGTTATAGGTACTTTCACCAACTGTCACAATATGTGTGCCAAGGGAAGTTGGATAAAACAGTCTTGTTGCTTCCTGTGAAACCAAGCTTTATCAATAAGTTAGCTGTCATCATTTGTAACCTTTTTTGTGTAGAAAAGCTTCTTTTTCTGTCCTATAGTATTATAAGGCATCAGGAAAGATGCTGCTCATTCCTTGTCACTTAACTACTCTTTCATGGACTACCGGTAGTTACATGCCATTGGGTTTCTAAGCTCTTGACTGCATGTTACATTCCTAGGTGCATATGTCCAGGCTTAAAGTAGTTTCATGTATGCATGCATGCTGTATCTCTTAACCCTGCAAGCCTGCAACCACGGGCATTTTTGCATGGAATGCCCTGTCCACGTTCTAACTCTCCCCACTCTGGTTACACCTGACGACAAAGGGTGTTTTCCAGGTGGAGCAGGTGGAAATAGACGAGTCTTCACCTGTCAAGTGTCCCATCACGACCCGTCTCATTCTGGAGAAAGACCCTAAAACCAAATCACCACTGATAGAAGTGGACCGACGACTGTGCCGCAAGCTGAAGCCTCACCAGGTGGAAGGTATGACTATTACTATTTTTCTACTTCAGAACTTTTACAAAAGTTGGTCCAACAGTAACTAGAGTTCCCCGATCTCATACCTTCGCCAAATGATGTTAATCTTTATGACTGACAAAGTTTAGATTAGATTACTAGTATTCCCCCCTGATTTAAGAAATAGGAACCTAATTTTCATGAATTATATCATTTTATCATAATCTCAACCAAAAGACAGTCTTATATTAACAAACAATGCATTCTAGCATTTCCTAATAATTATGCAAATGAGGTCCTGATTTGAATAAATTATGCTTAATGATGTTCACCTCAATTTAACTTCAAATACCACAAGTATGAAATTCCAGGCAGTTATCATTACATAATTATAAAATTTTCTCATGAATTATGCAAATTAAGTCATTATTAACATAATCAACATCTTCTTGTGTTTCTCTCGTTGTCAATTACCAATGTCACAAGCTTCAATTGTCCTATCATGGAATGCAGCTGATTTATAGAATTTCCCCATAAATTATGCAAATTACATCCATATTTGCATAATTGTCACATAATTATATCAAGCATCACGTAAGCTACCTACATACCAAAAATCACGACGATCCGTCAACCGGTTCTTGAGTTATCCCCTTTTGAATATTTTCAAGAATTTATCCCTGCAGTTCCAGAGCAAGCCGCTAGGGGGCCTAAACTCACGTCACTTCTTTGCCAGCACAAGAGCTACCTACCATTTAAATTTCATCACCATAGCATGTCTAGATCATGAGATACCAAAACCGGAAGTTCAGCTGCAGTACCATAACAAGCCGCTAGGGGGTCCAAAATCTAATCATTTTGAGGTCTCATCAAGACCTACCCACCTACCAAGTATCAAGACAATCCATCAAGGCCTTCTCAAGTTATCGTGTTTACAGACAGACAGACAGACAGACAGACACACACACACACACACACATACACGAACGCCCCTGAAAACATAACCTTCTTGGCGAAGGTAATAAAGTCATATTTTATCAACACCTTCAGTACTGCAATTTACTATACAAGCAGAGGTTGTTGGGAAGATCGTTACCTTTTTATATATGCCACATTTTTTGTGTATGCTGTGTTATATTGCAGGTGTTCGCTTTCTGTGGGACTCCTTGTATGAAACAGTTGAGAAGGGGAACAAGGAAGAAGGTTCAGGGGCTATCCTGGCACACTGTATGGGCCTGGGAAAAACACTACAGGTAAGGATGCACTTCATCATGCAGTACCCATTCTTAACAACTAGTGTTGTGTTCCCTGCTTTTGATATAAACAAACTCTGTTTTGTCCTGCCATCATGGTATATAATTGCACAGCATTACTTGATCTCCCTTTTAACCAAAGTCTGTTGCCTGCCCAGGTTGTTACCCTTGTTCATACGGTGATCATGTCTGACGCCCTGCCTGATATAAAGACCTGTCTGGTGGTGTGCCCCATCAACACAGTCCTCAACTGGAAAAAAGAGTTTGAGATGTGGCTAGACGAGGAGGACCAACTAGACGTGAGTGGATACAGTTTTTGTTTGTTTTTTAAGTTGTTCACATCTATGGTATCTGTATCTGTATCTGTATAGCCGGTATAACCGCCTTTCGGCGTAACACACCAGCTTCGCAGGCACGCGGCGCGGCGGCAGCTGGCTATATTACACCGATCGACTTGTTACACCTAACCCTTGAACTTCTAGCTCTAGACATTGTTTAAAGCTATCTATTGACAGTGCCCCTACTGTACTTGGTGACAGTGAGTTCCACTCTGCGATAGTTCTAGGAAAGAATGAATTCTTGAACACCTCAATCCTTGGTTGATAACTCTGGTACTTGAATGCGTGGCTATTTCTTGTTCTCTTCTGAGCTGGTATTAGGTACTTAGTAGTTGGGACATCCACCAGTTTATTAGTCATTTTGTACATCATGCATAGTCTAGACATCTTTCTTCTGTCTTCAAGTGAGGTCCACTGTAGGTTTCTTTTCATTTCCGTGACACTAGCACCTCTTACATAGTTGTTCATACAGAATCTTGCAGCTTGATTCTGTACCCTTTCCAATTTGTCTTTGTCTTTCTTTGTATATGGATCCCATACTGTCGCAGCGTATTCTAGGTTCGGTCTTACAAGTGACGTGTATGCAAGTGATTTTACTCTCGTTGGACATGCCCACAGATTACGTTTAATCACTCCCAATGTCTGTTTCGCCTTAGTTGTGATATTATTAACATGTGCACCCCACTTCAGTCCGCTTGTCAGCGTGACGCCCAGATACGGATGGATTTTTGTGGTTGCTAAAGCCTGACCACAAAACTGGTAGCTAGTTGCATGTGGTGTTCGTTTGTTTGTTATGTGCATAATGTAGCATTTTTCGGGATTAAACTGCATGAGCCATTTGCTTTGCCATTCTTCCAGGGTGTTCAGGTCTTTTTGGAGAAGTTGTGAGTCGGTCTGTGTAGAAAGCTCTACATACAATAGACAGTCATCGGCAAATAACCTCACATTTGAGTCAAGCTGATCTGGTAGGTCATTTATATACAAGAGAAAGAGCAATGGCCCCAGGACGGTTCCTTGAGGGACCCCAGACGCTACTTTAACTGGAGCCGACGCCTTCCCTTCAACCACTACTGTTTGCTCCCTGTTGGTCAGGAAAGCCTTTAACCAATTCAGCGTAGGGCCTTGGATTCCATAATACTCCAGTTTTGAGATGGTCTTAAACAATGTTGAATTTAGTTTTTTAGTCTGTAATCCAAAAGTCCATTCTTCCAACATGGACATAACACATGGATATCTGACATGATAGTACTACATGCAGTTACAATAACTGCAATCATTCCCATGCTTGATTTAATGAGAAATTTCGGAAGGGGGCATTGTCAATAAGGTTTGCAGTAAGCCTTAGCATTCAAGCTGAACAAAGCAGTACTCTTGCAAGAACTCTAGTAAGCTGTTGTTTGCCCCCTAGGTGGGGGAATTTTCTTTCCAGTATTCTATCCAACCAAATGAGGCACCCTGTAGGAGTTACATGTTTTTAAAAGACTATAAAATTGCAACATGATGTAGCCCAAACACCCGTTACCATGGTAAGAGACGGTCTGGTTCAGGTCATTGACCAGGTCAGAGATGACTGTTTGGAGAAGAAGAAGAAACTGAGCAAAAACAATATGTTTTTCTTCAGTAAACATAATGAACGTTCTTTGTCCCCCAGGTATGGGAACTGGCCAGTATTACCTCCAACCAGACCAGGAAGTACACCCTGGAGGCGTGGCAGAGAGAGGGTGGGGTCATGCTGATGGGGTACGACATGTTCAGGAACCTGTCCACAGGCAAACGCATCAAGAGCAAGAAGATGAGGGAGTCATTCCACACGACCCTCGTCGAGCCAGGTTGGCATTTTTTCAAAGTTCTTCGATACCGCTAAGTATAACAAACAACAGGATTCAAACAACTGGATAAGTATCCGAGTCAGATGTTTCAGATAGCAGAGTGTTCGACTCAGAACCAAAAAGTCACGGGTTTGAATCCTGCCATGTCATCGATTTTTTTGCATTTTGGAAAGGCACTTTACATGACTTTCACGCTGTCTTTCATCAGTGACTATGATTCTCTGACTGTAAGTGGAACTGGCAGAACTAGTATCTCGCACTGTTAGATCAAGTAATTCCTAAAGGGCAGATGCAAGAGAGTTTATTTCAGTTTAAGTATCTAAGAAATAAGAAGTCCTATCAGCCAGTGATTACTCCAAACTTAGCTCCATGACTTTGCTCTACTCCACTAGGTCCAGATATAGTGGTGTGTGACGAAGGCCACATTCTGAAGAACGAGGCAACAGCCATCTCCAAAGCCATGAACGACATCAAAACCAAGAGGAGGATTGTTCTCACTGGAACACCACTACAGAACAATCTGACTGAATGTGAGTCAAACACATACATTCTTTTACTGGTATCACTGCCAAACACTGTAGCTACAATATATGTTACAGATGCATTGTTCTGCATACAAGGATACATACATAAATAACTAATGCTTTATTCATGTCAACAATTTATGGTTTCTATGCTACTGTCTGTCCTCCAGACCACTGCATGGTGAACTTTGTGAAGCCCAACCTGCTTGGTACCAAGAAGGAGTTCTGCAACCGCTTTGCCAACCCGATCAGCAACGGGCAGGCGTCAGACTCCACGCAGTACGATGTGAAACTGATGAAGAGAAGAGCTCACATTCTGCACCAGCTGCTGGCTGGATGTGTACAGGTACTGTACTGTGTTGTCCTTGTACATGTCAATTTTTTTTAACAGAGGAAAAGGCCAGTCTTCAACTGTGACATTTCAGACAGTTTCCACCTTCAAGAAGATTTAGAATGTCCCTTTTCATCTTATATCTTCTTAAACTCAACACTTACCCTTGGTTTGGTTGCTCCTCTCCCTTGAATTGCTTCAATTTTACTCTCTTGAATACTGACAATTTTGTTCACTAAAGCCCCTGTTCCGTGTGTTTTCCACAGAGAAGGGACTATTCAGCCCTGACCAAGTTCCTGTCTCCCAAGGCGGAGTATGTGATAAAGGTGCGGCTGGGTCCTCTGCAGATCCAGTTGTACGAACACTTCCTGAACAACGCCACACGGGCAGAGAACATCGCCCAGCGGGTCAAAACCAGCAGCCTCTTCTCAGACTACCAGGTCTGTACGGCACAACTTCTGCTATCACGACTATGGCTTTGGCTTTTATGTACTAATGTTGCCATATATGTAAGATATCAAAGCAACATAGTCTACCTTCCAGCATGGAATTTTCTTCATTGAAACATGTTTGCACTTGCGGGAATCAGCTAACAAGCCTAGAAATGTACTTTGATTCCCAGCAGTTGTTTTACAAATGTATGTGTGCTGTGTTTTCTCCTGACAGAGCCTGATGCGAGTGTGGACTCACCCCTGGGTGCTGAGACTCAACACAATCAGGGAGGAGAACAGGGTAAGTTTGGTTAATCCACAGACAATTTTACTGTCCCAGGATTAGATGACATTTAAGTAGGCTGTTTGCTGTACCATGTGTAGGTTTTGCAGAAGTGAGATAGCACACTGTGGTTAACAGCATGTCTTGAATCCTCAGGTGAGATACGATGATGATGACTCCATGGATGAGTTCATAGATGATGATGATGAGAGTGAAGCCAGTGAAACCGGAGTATCGAGAACAGGTTCTGATGACAACAGCAGTGCCAGTGCCAGGCCCAGAAGGTAGGCTGCCTACAGATGATCTTTTTTTTACCATTAACGCTAACAACTGTCAAGGTAACCAGTTCAACTTAAAAGTCAGTCACGCTACAACACCTACTGAACACTGAAGTTAAGTATCCTATGTTGGTAATGCCTTATTTTAGACCCTTTCTTTTCTTCCTTTAGAATATGCTCTCATGTACGCAGCTTACAAGATTTACTGAATTTTACAGGGAAGTATTAGAATTGTTGTATCAGACTCAAGTGAAAGCTGCAAAAGATAAGAGTAGCTTGACAGCTGCCATTCTCATGTTGTGAACTACCTGTGCCTGTTGATGGAACACTGTGTCTGACTGTGTGTTTCAGGAGAAGAGGGGGTGGCAGTGATGGAGACAGCAGTGATGACAGTAGGGATGAAGTGGTCAACTCCGTGGAAGACCCGGTCCAGATGGTGGCAAGTGGGAACG